CGTGCCCCGCCGTCGAGAGATGCCTATCTGAGGCAACATTCCTCTCCGCACTCATTGCATAGGCACGCAGGGCCCTACAGCGAAACAATGCCACCTCAGCGAGGGGAGCCAAACCTGCCATCTGATCTGTCCATTGAGGGAAAGGCACTGCCTTTTCAATGGCCTGGTTAAAGGCTTGAATGGCCGAGTTAACGGCTGATGTAAAACACTTGCACGAGCCTTCCCCGTGCGGTGAGGTAGGCGTTTGAAAGAAGCGACTGAAACAATATTTTTTGAAGGATATTGCAACTGACAACTGAAACTGCCTACTGTTAAGTGAAATGCTTTACGTACACTTCAATTCCCCTGCCTTGCGTAAATGGTTCTCGATGTCTGGAAGAGGATATCCAACTGAAGATGTTCCGCAATAAATACTGTTTTTTTAAAACACGTCGAGACAAACAGAAGTCGGCAAAAGTCAGCGGGATCTTGTTTGGCAGTGTACGGACAGAGCGAGGTGTGAATTAATAACGACGCATCCTGCATACGGAGCTTTACCTTTAAGAGGGAATGGGTCAGCTCAGCAGCACAGACTGACACACACAGGTTCTTCTGACAAGGTCCCTGACTCCCAAAATGATATTACAATAAGGTGAAGGTGAAGAGGTCATCACGACGAATCCCATTGACGTCACTGCATCCCACGTTGTTTCCTTCTGCTAGATTTGGCATCTGTTGCATTTGCAATGTGTGACCTCGCAAGTCTGCCCTTACAGTATCCCACCATCTGGCTGCACGTCTTCCCCATCGTCACTGACATCTGGATGCCACTTTGATTCTTGTCTCCATAACCTGCGCCACTCATCACACGATCCTTTTCATGATTTTGTTCAAGTTGTTTCCCTGCGTCTGGTAAGACATTCCCATCGTCATCCACATTCACCTGCATTCAAAGGCTCGGGGAACATTTTGTCGGTGCTTTGTTAACATGCACCGCTAAAACCGGCCAGTATTTAAAACAATGTAGTCCCTAACACACGTTTCTGTTTGCTGTGGAAATAAAGCCAGGCAACGTATTTTATGTCGGGATTTCTACACGAGCAAACATCCTTGATTTAACATGCAAAGAATCTGGACATATACCGACTTTCTACCCCCCCCCCCTTCTCCCTACGAAGGGAAAGCAGTTGATGACAGAGATTACTCTATGGTGGTCCGATGTTTATCGGCATTGAGGACGAAAATAATCGCTCCTGATGGTTTCCCTGCAGCAACCAAGGCTCAGCAGTTCGTTTAAATACCCAGATAACTGCAGCAAATCACGCGGGCCAGTGAAATGCAGAATGAATGAGTTTGAAAGGCCGTCATGTCTAATAAAAAAAAAGTTACAACCCAACAACGAGCGCATTATGTGAACTATACAATGTGCTTCAAATTACAAGGTTAGTGAATGTGTCCTAAACTGTGGTCTAACATATTACACAGTTTTTCCAGGATGCGAATACGACTAAAATGGTCCTTGACTTCAATACAGATGCAAAGTTATGTTTGAGGTGCAGATTGGTTTTAAACACAACTACAGTACTGCTGCTCATGATGGCCCGTGAACTACAGCACGTAATGAAGGACTCTTTGACTAACCACGAATGTTAAAACGTGGTCCAGCGATCTGCTAAATTACTCGCTAGGTATCATTTTTCTACATTTTATTATCGTGTTATGCGCTTATAATTATTAAAGCCTACGCACTCCAGCAGTGCGCATTATCTTAGCGTTCTGAGTCCTTGCCTGGGCATGCACACTGAATGCAAAAGCACCCCCAAGTATCGTATAGCCTCTCATATCTTTCAGCGCAGGATTTAACAATCAGAATTAGAAACGTTTGCGGGAGTTTGTAAAAATACTGCCGCGCATTAGGCAGACCGTCAACACGCCTTCAAAGGCTGCTGCTATGCCGATTTAATGGAATATGTCTAAACAAGACAATTTTTCCCTCTTCCTCCATTACATTTAGACACGGTTTGGAAGCAAAGACCATTTGCCAGCAGATGTTGCGCTTGGCGATTATCATATTAAACAGAAATGAAATGAGCGCCGCGTACCCATTTAGCACATAACGGCATTACGTTAATGATTATGGCCTTCAGTTTTTTACGGGATAATGGCCAGGCCTTGCTAATGGTTTCTCAGATTGTGATTAAAGCTTTTTCCAGCATCAGCTGGAGTTGTAAATGAATGCCGGTTAGCACCGATTATGCTTAAAAGGGTTAATGTCTTAATATTTCATGCAGTTACCCTGCGTCCCTCAGCCAAGGAGACGGTTATTAAAACGAATTACAGCAATATTTGTAGGCAGGACTGCGAGAGCACGTGGAGAGATGGGCTGGTGAGTGAGAGGGCCAGGTTCTCGTTGGGCTACTGGGGTGGGTTGGTGGGTGACAGAGCGCTGTGGCAACTGACGACAGGAGCCACACGTCGCCCTCGGCCAAATCTCCCCGCTCTCACATGCGGGGAGGGGTTTTTGCAGTTGAGGGCGGCAGGTAGGTTCCAGGTGTCCTCGTGAAGGCGCTGAAATCTCGTGGGTGGGAGTGGCTGGGTCGACTCAGCAGTAAGTGGCTGGAATACTCAGTGCTGTGTGCGTGTGGACGTCAGCTTTCGAGAGATATAAAGGTGGCTCGGTGTAAATGTAAGCTGTACCACCCCTTGTGTGTCATACCCGCTTTAAAATGTGCTCACGAGAATCGCCAGGATATTTTGTAAGGCTCAATGGGGGATCTTTTTTGTTTACTTTCTGTACGGTAGTTTAAGAAAACGATCATTGTGATAAGGATGTGACGGTACGCCTTGCGGGCATCATAATTGGCCATGATCAGTCCACTGCTAGATGAAGGTGTCCCCAAGCTATTACCATCTCTTACAGTTCTGTGATGCAACCATCCGTGCAGCTCTATCCTCTCGGTGCACCGAGAGGATAGAGCGTTGAGATCCATTGCTAGTCTCAACCACTGGCCATCGTCCCTTCTAACGACGCGTCCTGCCCAAGCTTGTAGGGGTACCCGTTTTAAAACTAACTACGCTCGCACTCATTGCACACAAAGTTGCTTGGCCACAAATGAACCACAATACCTTGCTGATCTCGTCAAAGGAGCATAGACCATCACACACACTCCAGTCATCCTCGCAGCAGCAGCTTTTAGCTAACCATCGAACAGAGACGGTCACCGCATCGCGTGCTTTCAGATGCGCTTCTACAGCCGTCTGGAACAGTCTTCCTTCCGATATTAGAAAGCCACGGCAGCTATGCACTTTTACATCTACATTGACAACTTATTTCTTTAGAACTGCTTTTTGTGTTTAGTTTGTTGTCCTTCTGCTGCACCTCCGATTAGCACGGTTGGCTACGTACGGTGCGAACGAAGTTCAACATACATACACACTCGGCTACAGGATCATGCAGAAATACAACCCTACCTGTACAAACACCGCTCTGTTGCGTCCCAAAGTCAAACAAGTGGTGGGAAAATATATTACGGCAAATTCACGTGCACACCTGTTTTAATATTGACAAGGCCACCTTCTCACCGCCAGCACTGGCTCTATGAAGTTGGTTGTGGTCAACTGCCCGCATCTGATAAGAGGCTGATAAAAACGACTCACACGAAAGTAATCATACGTACATCCGATGACTGCGTCCGTCATGACTGGTATATGTTTTTGCCACGTGGCAGCACTTTCATTCCAACGTCTACCCCTGTCAAAGACACTCACAGTGTTCTGCTGGCAACAATGCCAAATGTATAACAACACGCTTAAGCGGACAAAACTGAGCTAACCAGAAAAATACATTTGCTGGGGCTCGCGCGAAGCTGCAACATCCCGTGACATTTGCAATGTCAAGAAATAAAAGCTTTCTGGATCTGTTTTTCCCTTGGGTTGAATGCATTAAGCCAAAGCAAGAATTTCGCCTATGTCAGTCAGCACTTTATTTATTTATTTGTTTGTCGAAACTGCCTTTACGTATTTAGGGCCCTTTCCCCAAGAAATGAGAAGTCTGTTCAATTTCATTTTAGATGAATCCTCAGGCAAAGATTTGAACTCACAAAGTACTAATGTAACAGCTTTGTAACACCGCGAGGAAATCCAGCATCATTATTGATTTTCTAACCGCGCTATGCAATTTCAAGCCGGCTGTAGTAATCGCCCTCCAGTGCTTCCAGATGCCAGCCCCTTAACAACCTCTGCCCCAACACATTGTTTTGTCAGACGCCGTTGCTTGCTTGTTTAGTTCACATGTGAACATTTAGCAATGACCTTGTCTGAACCCGTGTGATCTGGTCAGCAGCAGGTCACACATCGAATCGATAAGGGAAAGTAATTATTTCATTAAAATAAATGTCCAGGTTTATTTTTTCTCCCCCCCCCACCCAAGAAATAACAGGCTCTGGATAGGTATGTTAACAATAACATGCATTTGCATGACAATATTCACAATGTACAATTTGTATCATCACGAGACGTATTACCATCATCATAATCATCGTCAATTCTTCGTCAATTTCAGCTAGCAAATTGATCCACCATGCTTTGTATTATGTCCTCTTAACTTTAAGCAGAATTTTCTTGCGTAAAATAACATTGAATTCAAGTGATATTAGCCGGCATGTTAACAGTATGAAATGTCTACAGTATAACCAATTGTATTTATTGTGTCCTTGCACACATACACACAAACACAATTGTGTGTGCATGCCCGTGTCTTTGTGTCTTGCTTACCTGTTGTGTATATGTGTGAATGTATGTATATGCGTGCATCTGTGCAGATATGTGCGTGTCATGTGCGTGGATGTGTACGCGCGTGTATGCATGTGTGCGTGCACGCAATGTGTACGCGTGCGGATGTGTGTACGCTCGTACATGTGCACCCGCGTGCGAACGTGTTACGCGCGTACGCGTCTCTAAGTTTGTGTGCGTGTAAATGTTCACCCCTGCGTGCGTGCGTGCTTGTGCGGGCCTGCGTGCAGGGTTTTTTTCGCAGAAGCATCCAAAAAAACATGGTGTACACTTGCCACCGGGACAAGAGCTGCATAATAAACAAAAGCACGCGCAACCGTTGCCAGTACTGCCGCCTGCAGAAGTGTTTCGAAGTCGGCATGTCAAAGGAGGGTGAGTGCAACACCGAGGCAGGGAGGAGTGTGCTTGCTGAGTTAAAAACAGATTTTTTTTTTTTTAAACGGCCTTGCCGCATCATCATTGAACACTCTTTTATTATACGCGCGTGTACAGATTAACGTTTTTTTCTGACAACGTAGTCCCGCATTTCATGCGTGGTGGTTGCCCATCCCAAGCACTCGCCAGGCCCAACCCAACTTTGGGATCCATGATCCGACGAGACCGGGTAAATTCCAAGTGATTTGGTCGGGGGGCAATGGCAGAAAAAATGCATTGTTGTATTGTACTATGCTCCCAAAGTCTATGAGCCCTGCTTCCACCATCCCCCACTGACCAGCATGGTGAAGTATGGTTAAATGATCCTTGCAACACACAAGGCGTGGGGAGGCCCCCGTGCAGCAGTGAATTGACAAGAGTGCTTTATATGTGCGATGTTTCAATCAATGGCCATTCTTTAGAGCTGAGAGAAAAGGCAGTGATGTAGATTTGGAGGCTGCTTTCTACCATGCTATAAACATGTGCTGCCAGTCATGAGAAATGATCAGGTGCATATTGGATTATTGCCGTCTTCTTTGTTGATCAATAGCTTGTATAATGCTGACTTCCACCATAAATCAAAGTTGGCATACTCTATATTTTGTGTACGTCAATGATGATGATGATGCTGGCGAGGTGTTTTTCAGCCAGTTGAGTTCTATTTGATTCAAAACAGGTGCCTTGAAAAATTCGTGAGATGTGCAATAACATCATCGTGCATAGCATATCTCTGCAGGAATGATGTTCAACAAAACAACTTTTATTAAAGCACGGCTGTAAAGTAAACAACGGAACATTGATATTCAATGAGCGATAAAGGTGTCAATTCAACAATCCAATACCACATTAGAAGAAGGGGGGGGGGTGAAACCACAGAAACCATTTCGTGGAAGGAGAGGGGGCAAGGGATGGGGGGGGGGTGCCCTCTCTGTTATTTCATCTTTTCCAAGTGACCCCCGGCCCCCCCTCATCCAGTCCAATAAACGAGCGACGCACGCTTCACACGCGTTCCCCCTCTCATGTCGCCCGTGGCTTCCCCGCCACCGGAGGTTGTGTCTGGTAGTCCAATTACCGACCCCCGGCTGCCGCTGCCCAGTTCATGCATCATTTGACCTCTGACTGCGGCCCTCATAAATGATTCAGCCGCCATGAGAGGCCACTCGGTTCTTTCGTGTCTCGCCGGCACACGTGCGTACCCACCACGCCGGTCCCGGTGCACGTGCAGGCGGTGGCGGTGGCGGTGGTGGTGGCAGTGCTGGTGTGTCGTGCATTTAGCGTCTTTCAAAACCTTTCCCACATCTTTGCGCCTGACTAGGAAGGGGCTGGCGGTTGGATGCACAGGCCAGGCAGTGAAAAATATAGTGTTTTATGTCGATGTTGTTCTAACTGATTATACTTTACACAACGTTCTATGCGCAATCAGCGACCGCGTGTAATCATTGCGGAGCAGTTTAAAAAAATTGCTTGGCAATTACGTGTGAGCGCATTCTTCCACCGCTTTGTTATAATTATTCTAATAGCAACGTAAACAATGTAAGCCTCAGAGTATAGTACTCTTTAAAGCCCCAGTTTATTTTCATATTATTTTCACTAAAACTCAGGTCTCCTTTTTTAAAGAGGTAATGCATCTCAGTGACTTTTAACCAGGTTAAATTACGAACAATTATCCCAACTGGTTTGGACCGCACATAGAACGACAAAACACAATCTAATGAATTACATATCGAACTAAGACTTAAAACGCTCATTGTTCAAATGCAGACAAAACTAATCTCCTTGCACCAATATTGAGACTAGTGGGTAGACAACTTACACAAGTCATTTACTCAGCGTATTCACGTCATTAGCACGTCGTAAATTGCAAATACTATCAAGTAATGGGACACACAACTCACTGGTTACTTTTTTCTAATCCATGTTTCAAATATGTTGCTAAATGACATAAACAACACACACACGACTTCACATTAAAAACATTACAATCAGATTGGCGAATAGAGCCGTTGATGTGTGGAAGGATGAGGTTTGCCTCGATGCAACATCACTTGCTCCGTTTGCTGGGGCTTCGCAAAGCTTGACGCTCTTTGACGACAGTGCTACCATGAGCATAAAGTGTCCATTCTCCCCAACAAAGCTTTCCACTTCGCTAGTTTTTTGGTTTCGGTGAAGAGACATCATTTTCCCTCTATGTCATATTTGCAAGGGTATTGTTACGGAAATAAACTGGCACTGTTTAAATGCCATGCAGTATTTATATCATAAGGTTGGAGCGGTGCCCAGTTCATCCCTTGCTCGATCTACTTGCCGTCCACATGGACTGGGTATTAAGCAGAGAATACTTTAAATCGGCTTGTGCCCAGCGCTCTGCCCCGTAGTTTTTCTAAATGCGGCCTTTGCTCGAAAAGCAGCCGATCCGTCCGTGCTCGACAGCAATATGTGATCTTAGGATGTATTTACTCTGACTTGGCCGTGGTTCGGGGGACTCCATGGAATTTGTCAGCAAAGCCGGCGGCGCTCATGCAAAGTGGTCACTCGGCTAATGACTGATTTTACATGCGTTTACGTCCATCTCCACCCATCAGCGCATAAACAAAGAATGCATACCGTGCATAAATATGACCATGTATGTAACGCAACACTTTAATCACAGGAACCAGGCAGGATCCTCACAAATTATCTGTGTAACAGCCAGCCTGATGATACCCTCAGCGACCGGCATCTCCACTGACAAACATAAACGCCAAGTGCCGACATCGCTCTGTCACAGCGAAGGAGCAGATGGTCAACAATATCCGTTGTGCCCATCAGCAGAATGGGAGGAAAGTGTTTAGGTTGTACACTTTTTTAAATAACCACTATCTACGTGGACTGGAGAATAGGTTCAGAGTAATTGTAGCACTAAACAGGCCTGTAGGAAGCAAGTGCAATCAAGCATTCCTTTCTTCAACATTTTATTTGTGCTTCGAGCAAAGCTTGTATGGATTTATAATGGGACGTCCGTGTTTTTTCTGCTCAATACCTGCTTTCATTTGAGCTTTTTTAAGCCTAGGGAATCTATACAAATGTGATGGTTGTGTAGAGGGAAATGCTCAAGAAGAAATATGATGATAATTACAATGTGCATATATCCCATATTTAATCAAGATGCAATTGTATATTCCTTCTTAATGCATCCCAATATTTTTTATTGAAAACAGATTGAGTCATTTTAAAGGATATGGGTGTAAAATAACTTGACATTCACATTTTTATGATAATTTATATTACATGCATGGCTGATATGTCAACGGTTCTAAAATTCTACTTTGGGGACAATATATAGTATCTTTTAAATCCCACAGGAGAGCTTAACTCTCCAATAACTGTATGGGCACACAGATTCTGATCAGAAACTAAACAAGTAAATTACAACCTTCACGAAATTCATCTCCTTGAGCAGTTTTAACTCGTTTCTGCCAACTTTGCCCTTTGGACACGCGGACTGTTGCGCTGACAGAAAAGCGTGCACGTGTTTTTGTTTCTATCTGGCCAACGAGCAGCAGTGAGGAACGACCGCAACAAAAAACGCAAGGAGGTGGTGGCGCGTAGCCCGGAGAGCGTCCCCCGCAGCTACGAGCTGAGCCCCGAGCAGGAGCAGATGGTCGACAAGATCCGCTGTGCCCACCAGGAGACCTTCCCGTCACTGTGTCAGCTCGGCAAGTACACGACGGTAAGCGCACCGCCCGCCACGATGCCGGCCGTCGGGGACCATGGGCGCTTAAAGCAGCGTGTGGAGAGAATTGGGGGGGGGGGGGGGGGGGGTGCGCGCTGGCCGGGGGAGTTGCAACACCGATCCAGACTTTGTGTGTGTTTTGGGAATTATTTCAAGGGCAGGCCCAAAGATATATATTTTTTAAACTCTCAAGCAGCGAGCGACATACAACACTGTCGAGGGGGGGAAAAGACGATGGGAGGGAATTCCAAGGTCAAGCAGTCTGAGGGAAAAAGCATAAAGTGTTGTGGCCTACAGCGTGGTGGGGGGTCGAGCACAGTTTGGATGCAACAAAATAGTCAGTCTGGTACCAAGTCCTCAGCATTGGTGAAGGAGTCAATTAGCGAATATCGACGGCAACAGTGACCATTGCAGTCGGGATAGAAGACTGGTAAGGAGCAGCCGCTGGTGAGTGAGCGACTGGAGTAAATGAATGAGTGCTGAATGATGAACCTCCCTAACCGCTTTATGTTGAATTCTATCACGTGCAATGAGGTAGGATCCATACTCTTTGGTTCTTTCGGTAAAGTCACGTAGGTATAAAATACAATTAATTAAATCACGACGTTTCGATTGCAACACAAGCAATCATCATCAGGTGGGAAAACCACAGCAAGAAAATGTTTTGCTGAAAAAAAATGTCTTGCTGTGGTTTTCCCACCTGATGATGATTGCTTGTGTTGCAATCGAAACGTCGTGCTTTAATTCATTTTCTACCTACGTGACTTTACCGAAAGAACCAAAGAGTACGGATCCCTGCAGTCACGAAAACTTCAAATCTAGGTAGGAACTAGGCACTCCACCGCAGATATGACAACAGTATTCGTGTACAATTCTAAAACACACAGACGAGTTACACAGCATAGCCTCAAAACCGAGGCAGCAGCGCGATCCAGATTATATGTGTGTAACAGTGTTATTGGGCCAAGATGCGCCGTTCCTATGCAGTTGCCGGCAATACCGGCCACATGCCAATAGGGGGAAACAGAGGGGCTGAGCCCCAGTGCTGAGAGACGATTGGACCATAGGGCCCAATGGTTACCCCTATGGAACAGTATTTAAAAGGGGCAGACCCCAGACCCCAGGAGGGGGGCTGGGGATGACATCATCCCCGGACCCCAGACAAGAAGTCTCCTGAAGACGGAAGAGCCCTAAGGGCAGAGCTGCACCCCTGGCAAGGGTCGGCTCCAGCTTGTATACCAGTGAAGATTCAAGCTTCACTCAGGGAGGACTTGTAGATTAGCCAGTGAGAGGCGGTAGTCGTCTGGAGAGTGACCTCCATAGTGTATCGGGTGCGAGGGGCCGTTACCCATCTGTGTTAAGTGTTAATCGTTAAATAAAAACTGTGTTGCCTCAGAGAACCTCTCTTCTAGTTATTCAACCCCCTCTGACAAAGAGTCGATAGTTGATGGAAGATAATTTTAGAAGTCACAAACAGCGAAGGATGTATTTGCTTACAATTTAAAAGAATGTTTTGCGAAATTGAATACCATATTTCCTTGTTTAACTGTCTGTATAATGTAAAACTGCATATTTGCAAAAATGTTCGAAAAGGCAATCTGATTTCGCAATCACATGGGAATTTCATGTGGCAGTTGGACCCTATTTAATTGAAACTTTAAATACAATTCTTTGCGACATGACAAAGCCACAAGACACATCAATTTCCGCTGAAATTTGCAAGCTAAAACGCATGTACATTGTTATGTGTGCTGTTGGCTATCTTTGGGTACGTGTGAAGGGTTTTCGGTGGATTAATGGATTAGGAGATTGTATAAATACCCTGCGGCAGATTCTTTATAAGAGACCTTCATCTGCGAAAAATGCCCGGGGTTGGATGCTTTGAAAATGCAAACCAATGTAAGCGGAGTCAGCAGATTTCGAAAAATCGAGAAAAAATGCAATCTTGGCACACGACGTTGTGATCAATTCATCATAGGCATGTCATCATGCATTAAACTACAGTATGGCATACGTCGTGAGCTATTACAACTACAGTCACCACTACAGATGCTTAAAGGCCACTATATACTGCACACATGCAATAAACGCACATACACGGCATTGTTTATTCTGCTGTTGTACTCAAAAGCAGGAAAGTGTTAACAAAACACTAAGGAGACTCATGAATAGACCATGAATGTGCTCATTCATGGCATGGCCGATGTGACATTTTGCAGAAACGCAAGTGGCCGTTTTAAAATCCACTGTGGCATTCCAACATCACTTTTGTGACCGGAAACATGGCAGGAACGACGTGTGACTGAGGGCGAAGGGGAAAATGAGCTCACCACTGCCGGTTCAAAGGTTATGCTGCCAGAGGGCACTCCAACCTCCCCATCCATCAGTGAAAAATGCAATCCATTACACTCGTGTGCCCGAGCCCTCCTGGCAAAACCACTGGCCAATGGAAAGAGGGGCCAAATTAGGATACTTACTAAAAAATATGATAAAATAATATGCTCTTTCATTCAAAACAGCGCTTGAGCCAGAGGGCTTATGCATAAATAATGTGTACATTAAACTTCTGCCAATTAAACAAGCAATGCCCTTCCACATGAGGCTCATTAGCACACATGAAATTGTATAATTTGCCAACTCTATAATAAAGTTAGTTGCTACAGTATTTATTGCTCTATATAGGGAACATGAATATTAAGGTAAATTGTGCTGATGAAATATTAAAAAATGTACAGCCACTCTGGGTAATAATTTTATTTACATAGTATAATCAAAATAAAAAAAACGTGGCAATCTAAGATGGGCACAGAGCTAGCTTGAATTAAACTAATACTGTGACGAAAAAATAATTCCCACAAGGCTGTATAGCCAATGGGATGTGTACTAAATACTTAATATTGTATGTGGTGGGATGGGTATGGGTTAGGAGGCATATTGTTTGATTATTTATTTAGATATTAAGAATACATTTTTAAACAGCATGGACATTGGGATTCATGAGAATTCGAAGTATACTTTTACTTCCGTTTTGTTTTCACTTGTCAGGATTTCAGTATTCTACACCTTCATCACTCGTGTTGAGGTTAAGTTGCAATGTCACTTCCCTATGTACAAGTATCATTATCAATGTGCATAATCAATCCACTGTTGGATGAAGGCCACTGCCATCTCTTGCGGTTCTGCAATGTAAGAATCCACCTGGCATCTTCATAAGCATTGTCTCAATATGTACCTCCCACTGCACAGTGGCTAACAAAATGCCCTGGAAGGTTGTTATGCACCAATGCATAATACCTCACACACGATACCCTCTGACAGCCCACGATGCTTTGGTCTCTGTTTTGAGAATAGGTTTCCCTCAAAGAGACCTTTCACGGAAGAGTTTTAAGTCTTATTATAGAAAATTCAACTATTTGTATATCTGGTTCTCAGTGAAAACTAACACAACAAAATGAAACATGTCATGGGAAAATATCTCCATCTTGTAAAAATACACGCAGACAATTACATTGGAATAGCAGCAACATCGAATTTCTCTACACCACAATCTCACATTTTAATTCAGAACAAATACATGCATTTCGTCCCTCCATTTCACAATGGAACAATGGATCAAATGTCAAGTAAACTTTCATAATCGGCAGTGATAAACAATCCAGAATTTAACAACAGAAAATGTGACAATTCTCCACGATTCACCTAAACATTCTGCTAGCTCATACCGTAAAATCATCTGGATAGCATTATTACATTCACTAGGTTTAACCATTTTTCTAAAATATGACACCGTGGAGATTTCCTATCGATTGGTGTGGATTTGCAAAGACGTTCAGTCTTGCGTTGTGTGTGAATTATAGAAAGCTGTGCAGCTCACGGATGTTAGTACCGCTCTAGTTATCAAGTTACAATTTAGTATTCATAATAACAACAAACCGCCAGTCTCAACTTATTTGAATGTATAATTTAACATCACTCTTGCACAACATTTGCAATTGTTGAAGCTAAAGTACATTCTACATGAATTGGTGATGTAAACCATTTTACTATTTACATCTCTATTTTAAATGTTTGTATACGCATCATTACACGTCTGCTATGTATGTGATCACTTGACACCGTCAAGACCCTTGCAAATGAGGAATTATCCAGGTAAAATATTTTAATAAAAAAATGTTATAAACACATTGTCTTCTCATAATTCCCAGCCCCCAAATTTCATAAGAATTTTGTGTGAATGTTTAACTTCTTTGTCGACCCCACCGTAAGTAGCCAATTGTGCGAATCGGAGGTACGGGGAAAGGACAACAAACGAAACTAAAAAAGCAATTCTAAAGAAATGAGTTTTAAATCTAGATTTAAAAGTCATCATCTTAGCACCGATTATCACCGCTGTTTTTATTAACGCCGATGCACTACTAATGCCTACATATAAATTATAATCACAAGCATAATAATAATAACCATGGAGCATGACTGGTGAAATTATATTTTTTTCTTCCACGGGCAATCAGACAATGGACATAAATAGGAAATGAATGCGGCATTGGCATTGAAATGAGTGTCGTCGGGGGACGTGGGAGCAGAGCGGCTCCCCAGGGTTCGCATCTCTCCACGCATTCCATGGCGCGACGCCGCGCCAATGCCGCTCGTAACTTCACGGAGTTCTTTTTTAAAATATTTTTTGTCTCCTCCATAACATTTACACATTTCGCGAAATTTGTTTCCCAAAGTAATAGACTCTGCGATGAAACCACGTTTAGCCAGATCCCAAGGTTTTTGGGGATATCCCGCCAGCATTTCTGTCCATTTTGGACCGTGCTGTGTTAGCTGCATAAAAACAGCGTTTAGTGAAACCACTGTTTAATAACGGAGAACTGTGCGCGTTGGTGTGTTTTAAGCGAGTATGTTTTTGCCATCTTGCAACTCGATCCAACAAGTGCGTGTCGGTATTGCTAATAGACAGTGTGCAAGGAGAGCATTACCAAAATGCTTGGTGCTCATGGGGGAACATTTGTTACCAATGTCTGAGCTAGGCTTGAGGAACTTCGCAAACGTTTTCAGATAAAGTATCTCGCACCTGATTAATATATTGGTGGAAATGACTTTTCTGCCAAATCAATGGGAAATTATAGCAATTTGGCCATTTTACTAGCAAATATGAGTCCTCCAACATCCAATTCAAGCTCATAGTGCCATAAATCTGGGTCAATTTGATGTTTAATAATAATGTTACCCAGGGTATACAATGTATAGGTCAGGAGGTTGGAAGAGCCACTGCAGTTTATATCACCACACCTCGCCATCAAAACTGTTGCAGTCAACCCCAGATCGTCAATCTCTGCTATTACAATCTCCCACCGCCTGGTGTTCGGCCCTGTCCCTGGTCACTGAGTTTTGTGGTGTCATTATAGTGGTAAATGTGTTTTTAAACCTATAATACATTAATACGAAAGTATTTGAACAGTAGACTTGTTGTTGTAACTTTCTTACCTGCCCCCATTGTACATCTGTGAATAGGAAATTCATAGCTCATCATATTCCACCAGGATGAATTCATATTTAGTGAATTAATAATTCAAAACAGATAAATCAACAGCGAACATGCAAGCTCAAGGCCAGACTACCAAAGTCAACTTGCGAATGTTTCGTCTCGTGCAGAACTCGTGCGCCGACCACCGCGTGCAGCTGGATCTGGGCCTGTGGGACAAGTTCAGCGAGCTCTCCACCAAGTGCATCGTCAAGATCGTGGAGTTCGCCAAGCGTATGCCGGGCTTCCCCAGCCTCACCATCGCCGACCAGATCACGCTACTCAAGGCCGCCTGCCTCGACATTCTGGTGGGCATCCACCCCAATCCGCATATCCACCCCTCCTCTTTAAAGCTACATATTTTCAGCTTTTATAATGCTCTTGGTTATTTCCTAGTTTTACTTCCATTGTGCCAGCTTGCATCATGTCTTGGGATGAAGTTAGCCATTCGGGACTCCAACAGCACAATCCATAAGCTATGCGGTTAGAGAATAGTCCAAGAAAGCAGACATCACAGAACTACTTCTAATATGTCTTAAAGTTTACGTTTTGACCACACACGAGGGGGTGAACTTTTGCACGTGCAATGTTATGGAAAATTGTTTGTTGCATGTCAGTCAAACTGATATATATTTATTTCTAATTCTCACTGCAGTCAAGGGCGATTTGGGCTAAGATTATCAACTAACTCCACTTGAGAATCAGTTTAATCGCTGGTGGTTGCCAATACTCAAAGCCAGTTTCTCAACGGTGCCGAATCAGTGCTCTGACCTCTGAACTCCCTCGCCACCTCCAACAACTGTCTTCCCAATTGTTAAGCAGATGAACTAAGGCTTGATTGAAAAGTTGCCAGCAACACAGAGTAGCACCCTTTTCCAGAAACCTCAGGAGAATGGGGGAAATACTTCTAATGAAGGATATGCTCATACAGTACATACAAACATGGAAAAAAAGACTCGAGCACCTACCAACATCCTAAATCAGATACCCAAAGAGGGTAAGGTACACAACAGCATGAGACACTGACATCAGAAAAGCAATGTGTAATATGCTAAACCCATGCGATGTTTGTAGAAGATAGAATAAACATCTCAGCGTGTGCTTCAGGACAATTTGTGCTTCCAAAAAACAGTTGATGTTTCAAATTGTGTGTCTCATGATTACCCCAACAACCACATGCCCCTTCCATGCCCTCAGTTGAGAGGACCAACTCGTGGGAGCTTCTATGTTCAACGCATTTTTTTAATTAAACCTCCATTCATCCTTAAGTCTTCGTGAGCATGTGGCAGTGCAGTCCTGGCAATATCGTGGTTCTTTTTTCGTCACAGTGTCTCATTGGTCACTTCATTTAATGTAAATTATTGGTTTCAAGATGGTAAATGTTTTTATTCGATTATGCTTCCCAATCACCGCCTATAATTTTCAAACAATTTTTCTTTTTTGACAAATTGTTTACCCAAGCCTGCTATTTTCCCCATTTATTTCTCTCGTGCATTTCTTCTCGTTCTGGCGTTAAAGGTCGTCCGTTAAAATGTCAGGCCCTGCCAGTAAGACAGATTTACTGACCGAACGGGGCGGTTATTGGAAATTATTTTTCAAACCCTTTAGGGATGATTTAACCTTCTCTGCGTCTCTGACTCTCCTTTTTATTATCCCTTCCCCTTCACTCCACTCGGTGCGAGAACCATGTTGTCTTCAGTTTGAATACCTGAACGAGTAAAGCCAGAGAGAATGGCCAAACACACGTACACTTTAGCGGTTCCTTATTGACGCCACACTTGTGACATTCGCCAGGACCAATCTGTAAACCAAGGCTTTAAAGGTAATAATATCACCACTAAATATTGTACACACAATATAAAAGTGAAGGATTCGATGATGTCTATTTTTTTTAATTTAAATACAGGCACTTACATATGATTGCAGTAATACCAATCATTAATGCATTTTATCAAAAATGTTATTCATTGTATCTCTATATTCAATCATCCATCGAAATTTAGAGAAGTGCAATTAATTTTAACCGCTCGGATAGCTACAGGCTTAGTACATCCTGGAAGCGTATTATTAAGTAATACACAATACATATTACAATTCCTTACAGAGGCATCACATACGAATTAACTCATTACTAATCTATTATATAATTACAATACCCCCCCACCTCCGCCTCTGATCTCGAAACCTGATGGGGTTCAGTGACGACGTCGTTCTGCACTATTTAAGACCAGAAGCAGGTGGATGGCTTCACTATTCTGGCAATTCGCCTGAAGATTCTGGATGTAATTTCCAGCAAAACGTCGTACTCAAATTGTAAATGTCGTGGATTCACTCTTCAAACACACCGGTGGGCTAAAGAAGTAACTAATTGGCGTTTTGTTAACGTGACACATTTCTTACTGATTGGCCTGTTTCAGGTGGTAGATGAAAAGTTCTCGACATATCGATTTGGTTCCTTGGATTTACCGGCATCGTTTGTGTACTTTTGTGACTGCTCCACTCGACTCCTTGCCCTCTCCAGATTTCCCTCCACCAACATCTCGTGGCTTCAGTCCCTTCCCATTCGTTTGCTCACTGGTGCGTTGAGTGCATGTCTGCACGATAACCCGCCTCTGTCTGCCTGACCTTCAGGCCTGTCGGCAGGAATGATGTTCCGCTGCCACTGTTTCTCTCGCTCTAATGGCTTTGATCCCCGCGGCCACCAAAACCACGAGGAGATTGGGACCCACCATCGATTTCTGGCAACGTTTGGTTTCAGAATTCCAGAACCCCCGACGGGTAGAGAGCAATGAGCTGACACTCCAGGGATGGCTTCGTGTAATGCTAGATGAGTTTTATGATAGCCCGTCGCTCCAATTGCTTTTTTATTACTGCAATCTATTACCGTATCACAGGTTTGCCGTGTTTTCCGACACACTTAGGAGTTTTTTTCCTACACAGCCTGTGCGTTCCCAAGATTCAATAAGTATACCGTTGCAGCATTATGTCGCACGTAACAACTTTCAGCCGTACATTTTATTCTCGCCGCTGCCAGTTAACAAACGTACACCGACCGGCGTAACCCTTTCCCTCCCAGATCCTGCGCATCTGTTCGCGCTACACGCCCGAGCAGGACACGATGACATTCTCGGATGGGCTGACGCTCAACCGCACGCAGATGCACAACTGCGGGCTTTCGGGCCGCTCACCGACCTGGTGTTCGCATTTGCGAGCCAGCTGCTGCCCCTGGAGATGGACGACACGGAGGCCGGGCTGCTCAGTGCCATCTGCCTCATCTGTGGAGGTCAGTGTCAACGGTCAAGAGCCGACTTGGTTCAGCTGACCGAACGCACCAGTATGTGAGAGATAAACATCATGCCCTTTTGAACTGAGCGCAATTGGAAATTTCAGGGGCAACGTTTTCGATTCCATGGAGATTGTCTCCACCTATAATTAGACCAACCACCACCGACCGAAGTGAATGCCTCTGCATGCCCCTATTGCGGCAGCACCGTGAAGCAGGCAATGATCTGGCAGGCAATGATCTGGCAGGCAATGATCTGGCAGGCAATCGCCGTTTGCAAGTGCCTGTGCTGTCGTGCTGCGCCAAATGTGCGCTCATCCTGAATGTTAGTGGCGTTCGTTTTAAGCGTTGCACGTCACGGGAGAGCTGGCTCGGTGGGACAATGCCAGTGTCTGACACTAAAGTCGACTCCACTGAGTACTTCGGTTTTAATTCGGGCTTCAACCACCATCGATTAACGTGGGTTATCAAATATATGGATCGATGGTCTCAATCCGGCATTTTTCTTTCAGTTTGTTTTACCGGACGTGACGTGCGCCCTCTGGTGTTGGACGTGAAAACAGCCGTTGAAGATGTCCCAGAAGCAACCTTGCGATGTCATGTTTGAGGATCGTGATAATTCGAATATGATTAAATATCGCATTGATCCCGAAAAGAGCTCCCTAATTGGAATTTATTGATCGACTGCATGACATTGACACGATTTAGATTTGAGTGTGAATAACAAAAGTACACACAAGATATTTTGAAAGTTTTTCAAGCCAAGGCAAAGTAGCTGCCACACCACTCCCGTTTTAGATCCGCACTGCGCTCCACTGTTTCCCCTGTGAGTTACTGCACCCTGAGGGAAGGGAAAAGCTAAAATGTCTCAAGCACATTTTCCCCACCATGCACATCAGCCTTCATTTTGCAAGAGTGCACGCTCTGTCCTCGGAAGAGTAGCGCTTAATTCTCATGTCGTGTGCGTTGACAAATTAAAGTAGGCTGACGCACCTCACAGAGCTATAGATTGGCAATAAAAGCCTTGCCTGCCAAGAATCATGACCACCAAACTGCCTGCAGGAACTTAACATGGATTTGAAAACATTTACGCCGATACTGTGTCGTGCAATAATGGAGTAATGCATCGTTATTACCCTCACGGCTCTTTATTGTGACAAGGCTATCACAACCACACCTTCAGTCTTAAAAACGCACAACGGTAGTGGTGACAGACGGACATTGTTTGCGTAACGATGCGCTGTGGCGGCGTTATTCTATAGAGGCTCGTTAAGTTAAGGTGTCTGTAATATTTTCATGTTTTAACATTCACTTTTGATGAAAAGAGATTAAGGGAGTCTGCATGACCCTGTGCGTCGGACACACAGGGGTCATGCAGGCTCCGTATTGTTGACCAAGTGGAGTGGTCATGTGATGAATCTCGACTGTCTGCGGGTGCTCTGAATGCGTTGACGTGCACGTGGGTAGTGTGTCTCGCCACAGCTTTGTGTAAATGTTTTGTACACGTGCTGTTCAATGTTTGCCAAAGTGAAGTTACGAGTCGATGATTCTCTGTGCTCAATGAGCACTAGGGCAGTACTAATCACCACTACCACCCTGAGTCAGCTGTGGAAATTCCACATTCCTATGATAGAAGCCAGTTTGTTCATAGGACAACCAGCGTCGAATGCCCACTCAGTGGTACTCGGGACAAATGATTGGTTGAATGAAGCATGAGATGTAGTTGTGTTTAATAGGTTTATAAATTCTAGATTTGAAGCTTTCGTGACTGCAAGGATTCATACTCTTAGGTTTTTTCGGCAAAGTCACGTAGATAAAAAAATAAAATTAAAATTAATAAAAGTAAAAAATCACGACGTTTCGGAGGCAACACAAGCTTCCGTCTTCAGGTGGAACCGTCACAGCACGATTGCTGTATCAAGTAAAGAGAAATTCCAAGAGACCCGACCTTGTATATATACTGGTTGAGGGGGGAGGAACCAAGGTAGGCTCCTGGATCGGAGTTTTGTATTATTATTGTAAGGTTGGTGCGGCTGAGGCTGCTGCTAGGAATGAGCCTTTGTTGTGTAGACTGGTTGAGCTGGGAGGTGCCAGAGTTGTTAAGGTGCCAGAGTTGTTAAGGTGCGGCTGCTGCACCTTAACAACTCTGGCACCTCCCAGCTCAACCAGTCTACACAACAAAGGCTCATTCCTAGCAGCAGCCTCAGCCGCACCAACCTTACAATAATAATACAAAACTCCGATCCAGGGGCCTACCTTGGCTCCTCCCCCCTCAACCAGTATATATACAAGGTCGGGTCTCTTGGAATTTCTCTTTACTTGATACAGCAATCGTGCTGTGACGGTTCCACCTAAAGACGGAAGCTTGTGTTGCCTCCGAAACGTCGTGATTTTTTACTTTTATTAATTTTAATTTTCTTTTTTTACCTACGTGACTTTACCGAAAAAACCTAAGAGTAGGTTTATAAATCCAAATTCTATTGCACTGTAATCTCCACAACCAGAATGTCAACGTCCCGTGTAAGTTGAGCACTGTGACCACAGCGCCGCCAAGCTAGACGACAGCTACTGCAGCAATTTGTTACCAGAGTCCTGCAACTACTTTATATTGTGCATTTTATGTTTACAAACGTATCCAACTATATGTTTGCAAAATCAAACTTGTGCACAATACTTTGATTGCATTTCAGTTAAACACCGTTCAGACATTTCACTAAACAAAGATGCAAGACAGTTTTTTATTTGGGAAAAAACAATGGCAGTGATGATAGACGCTGCTGGGATATTGCGCCGTGGCACTGATTATCGATGCTGTTTTAGTTAAGACGTCTGTAATCTCTGGGTGTTTTCACCTTGGTTCTGCTGAAAATAGCTCAACGTTAGCACAACGCTGATTGCGTGTTCACTGTTCGTTGCACGCTGTGCGGCCGGGACCTGCTCGTGCCAACTCCGCGTGGCTCCACCGTGCAGACCGGCAGGACCTCGAAGAGCCACAGAAGGTAGAGCGGCTGCAGGAGCCGCTGCTCGAGGCCCTCAAGTTGTATGTGCGGCGGCGCCGGCCCAGCAAGCCCCACATGTTCCCCAAGATCCTCATGAAGATCACCGATCTCCGCGGAATCAGCGCCAAAGGTGACGACGAACGGCCTTGGCGTCATTCGGCCCTTGGCAGAAATGCAAACATCGATGCACGTGGACACTTGCGCATTCCGAGGCTGGCATTGGGGACATGAGTGGACAGGTCCAGGGGGGGTGATGGCATGCTGCGATGTTTGTTCTCGTACACGCCCACCGTCTATTGTGCTTTAATCCGATCCCGTGCCTTCGTGTGTTCTTCCTGCAGCAATTCAAAGCATTTCTATTGTTTCATCTTCATTATTCAATTATTATTACTGAAAATGCACTTTTGGGTGCGATCGTCAAGTCAGACAAGCTTTGGGGTGGACTTCAATTCTGGCAGTGGCTTCTAGCCAATGAATAAATTCCACATTTCCAATGTGGTGGCCTATCATTCCCACAAAGTGTTTCTACTTTCATCAAATGTTATCAAATTTCAAGGAATGGATTCGCCAGCTGAAAACTAAATTGTCCAGTAATCTATTTTAGTGGCTATGGGTTCAAATTTTATTTCGAATGTTTACCATCATGAAACTTCATGGGACTTCCTTTGCCAGTACCAAAATATGAGAATAGGTTTTCCCCTTTTTCTGGAAACAAAACAGGTGTTAAGATGTTAAAACACCAAACTGAAACCTTTTACAAAGAATCATGTCTGCATTAACCACAATACTTGTGGTCAGAATGATTATCGGAGTGTGTTTTTTGTTTGCATTCTGACCACAAATATTGTGGTTAATGCAGACATGATTATTTGTAAAAGGTTTCAGTTTGGTGTTTTAACATCTTAACACCTGTTTTGTTGCCAGAAAAAAGGGGAAAACCTATTTTCACATCATGAAACTGTTTGGAATAGGCTCATATATAGCATATAAGATAAAAACTATTTTGATTGAACAAATATTGCCCTCAACCATGCAGTATACTCTGGTTTCCCAAAAAATGCAAATATATTTTAGGGATTGGCCCAACATCTCAAGCAGGACCCTGATAAATAAAGCCATCTTGCGGTTCATTAGTTTTTTGTTATAGATAGATCAACTGTATTATTATACGATTCCCATTCGTGGCCATGTGCTAACCGAGCACCCATCTGACTCGGCTCATGCTTGTGCGTTCCCAGGATCTGAGCGGGTCATCACTCTCAAGATGGAGATACCTGGCTCCATGCCGCCGCTCATCCAGGAGATGCTGGAGAACTCACTCGAGGGACAGGAGGATCCCCCTGCCGAGACAGAGGAACCCACGAAGGCCAACGGCGGCCCAGGCAGCAGCGTAGGTGGCGATGCGGGCGACAACGCAGCGGTAGCGGCTGTAGCACCAGCCGCAGCGACGGTGGGCGGCGGAGCCAAGCCCTGTGGCGGAGACGCACCGGTGGTGAACGGCCAGGGATCCTCGGGGACGCTGGAAGCTGCGGCCTGCATGGCCGTGCCCATCGCTCAGATGCAACTCGCCGATCCGTTCTGAGGCCGCTGTGTGCCGCATGCCGCTGGGCTGCAGGATTGTTCCACTTCTGAGAAGTCGGGTCAAGAAGATTTTATGGCTGAACTGAGTTAAAAAAGAAAAATGAATATGTATATAGTGTTGAATATTTTACTTTACACGACAGTATTGTACATACAGGGAGGTATACATGACGATGAAGAAGGAACACCAGTGCAATCAAGACAAACACTACAAAACCTTACTGAACATGTCGAAGAAAAAAAATACGTACCAAATTTTTACAGCTCGCACTAATATATATGCATAAAAAATGTATACAACGACTGCTGCTACATTGCATCGATACCATTTTACTGCTTCACCAATCCTGCGCAGTGGATGACAAGTTTTAAATAAAAAATGAGACTATCTTTTCACGTGCCACCGAAAGGAAAATAAAATCTCGACATTTGGCCTACTGGTCTACTTCAGAAAGACACTACATGCAAATCAAACATAATTAATTTGTTTTCTTGATAAACAAGAAAGCGACGCGTCCATGTTTCTGCTAAGTGGATTACACTTAATTTGATTGAACTAATGTATGTAAGCACAGGGTAGGGTCATTTGTGGGAAGGCGTTTACAGAGGGTTGAACTTTCAAACGCTATGAAATAACAAAATCTAATTTCTAAGCCTTTAGGAATAAAATATATGAAATCAATACTACAAGTGGATTTTAGCTTGTTTGAGAGATTTGTAAAATGCCACTAAAAACACTGTATAGCTTCTTTTAAAGAAATATAAACACAAATTTCAGTATTCATTTACGCCCTGCTATAATGTGTATTACGTCTGTTTCTTTTTATTTTTTTTACATATTTCAAAAGCTGTATTATATTCATGGCAGAATAGAGTTCTTCACCCCACCCCTGAATTATCTTTTAATAAAATGAAAGATGTACACACGCATGGGTTGGATACATCTTCCGTGCAATCATCACTCAAGTTGAAAATGGCAAAATTCAGCAGTACGATACGGAAAGTGCTTACTGTGTTCATTATACAAGTCGGCATGAGCTCACGATAGCCTTCTTTCACTTAATGTTACTGAAATACAAATGCCTATGAATTAACGTTTACTTACTGCAATATCTCATAGAAGCATATTTTATTTTTTCATTCGCATATTTATCATTAATGTCATCTAAATATAAATCATTAGCATTTGCAGATGCCTTTAAATGTACTCCGCTACTTTTCGTGGTGACATACAAATGCAGTTGTTTTGTATCAAATCAACGTCTATTTTTCATACTGTGAGAATACAGTAAATGAGTGTGTTTGTGTTAACGGAGCTTGTATATTGCCTGTACTGTTTGTAAAACACGAAGGCATGGCCTGAAGCACACAAGTTAGAACCCTCAAGGGATTCGGTGCAAGTTCAGTAGACGAAGCATTCATAACGCTTTTCACGCAAAACGTGTGACTCATTCCATTAACACGTCACCGTGCATTTAACAGAGTAGAGAAAGGAAAGCCAGTGGTCCTATTATACATTTTCTCCTGTGACATCAAAAGGAAACGTGTGGCAAAGAAAGTTAAACTGAAGCTAAATTGTTCATAACTTGTTAGCTACAATTGTTTTTTCTTCAAAATATGGTTGTGCAAGGAGTCTGACAAGTCAATGGCATCGAATTTGCACGCACAATGAAAACCCAAAGTGTTTTGTCTGTGTTTTTTAATCTGGTTACGTACACTTTGCTGTAACCCATGTTCAAGAGCACTGATAAATTATTTGTCAATGCCCAGACTGCAACCCATGTTTAAATAAACCAAGTTTTTACCGCTCTTTTTGTGCATCTGTAAAATTCAACTTGGAATAGTGAATAAAATTATTGTGTGCTATATATTTTTGGATTTCCTTTACAATCAACCCAAAATAATAACATTACCTTACCAATCTGCGCTCACTTAGTTTACTTTCCAACATAATATATAACCCTTCTTGGTTCTTTCGGTAAAGTCACGTAGAAGGGAAGTAATAAAATAATAAAAATAAAACACAATAAAATAATTCTCACGACGTTTCGGCTACAACGCAAGCAGCCGTCTTCAGGTGAAGAATGAGACACTGCCAAGCTAGGAGCTTATATATAAGCTGAGTTGGAAGTGTAAGAAGAGCGCCTTAACAAAGGAATGTGCATATCAAGAGGAATTCAGCATATTCATGGGAAATGCGTAGGAGGTGGGCGGGGGGGGTTTCAAAGTCATATTATGCCCATGCATTATGCAGGATCAGCAGCACCAAAGGGAGGGGGCAGGGGGTAGCATTAACAAAGGGAGGGAATGTTAATAGTATGTAGAAGCAGTGTCTCATTCTTCACCTGAAGACGGCTGCTTGCGTTGTAGCCGAAACGTCGTGAGAATTATTTTATTGTGTTTTATTTTTATTATTTTATTACTTCCCTTCTACGTGACTTTACCGAAAGAACCAAGAAGATGAATCCCTGCAATCACGAAAGCTTTAAATCGAAAAATAATATATAACATCAAAATATTCAAGCAGCACAAACATGAAGCACGCGTGGAGTGGCTCACATCGCCATAGGAGCTTCTTAGCCAGGACAAGAAATTCCACATTCATATGGCTAGGAACCAGTCTCTCCACAAGACAACTACCGTTGAATACCGCTTAGCGGTACTCAATCTATTGCCTCCAGAAGTATAATGGCATAGTACCACCCAGCCAGATGATATGACAGTGGCATGGATAGTTTTTTATTTGACTGCCCACTGAATTGTGAAAATTCCAAGGCCTGGTTCAGGGCCACCAAAATAGCTTTTGGCTCATATGAGAAAATAAAACTTTGACTTGATTATATCCGTGTATATAGCAGCGCATGGCTGAAGGTAAAGACATGCAAATGGAGTTGTTAAACAAGTGACAATATGCTTGACTGTAACTCTGCACGACAGCTTGACCAATCAAGTTTCAATAAAATTATCATGCATATCATGCCAACAAGCTTTGAGAAGGCCCAGAAAAACAAGAACTTAAAATATAATTTGAAAACATTACCACCAGATGGTACGGAACAGTCGACATACATATAAATATAATTCACGGGTCAATTACGAAAAAGTGCTTTGAAAATTACATCGTCTTTAAAAATTTACATTGCCACTTAAGTAACATTTTACAATTGCGACTCATAAAAATACTAATTACTATTTGAATAACTAAACTAACCATTCTTGGAAACAAAAAATACCCCATTGTATTCAATATATGTCTGCCAAAATTAAAATGACATTGGTAACCGATATCAGTAAACACTGCCAAGTTTTTTGTAATATTGTAAACATATTGAAAATAACCGCGTCAATGGCTTTCATCAGAGATGGTTACTATGATGAGTTCTGGCCAATTACATATATTAACAACTGTATATAATCAGGTAAGAACCCATTAAAGCCAGGAGTCTATTTTTAGACAGCAGATTATAATGCAGACACAAACTTCTAAATTTCCCATCTTTATTCAATTTGGGGGACATTTCATGTAATTTACTTGTTTACAAAACATCAACTGGTTATTAAAAAGCAAGGCTTTGTATTGACAAAACACTTGCATTTGTAGAAACTTTTAAATATTTTAGTAGTAAATAGAAATGTTTTACCTGGGTATTCTCCAAAAATGATGGCGTCATCAGCCAGACTAATCACTGCTAGATTAAGGCCTCCTCCCCCCTCCATCTCTGCCGTCATCCCTCATTTGGCTGTCATTCCTTCAACAGTCTTGTCCGATGGCCATCATCCCAAGCCCACTTACTATTCTTAGCGGTCAATATGATGTTTATGATTGGCGTTTGTTCCCTAACCCACGCGATACTCGTTTTGTCTCAAAACATTATTTCAAGCATACACATACCTGTCAACCCCTTATCAGTGCCCTACCTTATTACGGACCAATTCAAACCTTATTGGTCACCCCGTGCCCCTTATGAATCTCAACGTTCATCCTACAAAATTCCATCACAAGGGAGAAACACAAACAGATAGACAAAAAAAATGTGCCCAAATTGAAACGACTGTACGCCGTATGGACCTGAAAGACTCAATTTCCCTGTACAAGAATACGGGGTAAACCTTATGGGTTGACAGGTATGGATACATCTCTCCGTGCTCTGTTGTGCAGTATGTCCTCCGTTTTCTGTGTAGCTATTAATAGGGCGGTGACATGACCAAGTGGGCTTGTTTCAAAGGTTAACGCTTTGAATTCAGGAGGCGCCCTCGTTTTTATTTGAGTGTATTAACCGCAGCATGACGCGCAGCCTGCGTCACAGTGGACGGTGAAGGTACTGTGACGTCATTGTGTGCCGGCGTCATTTTCCAAACTTGAATAATTGCCAGCAAATTACTTAATTGGAATATGAAATGCCAATCATTGCCCCTTATACAAGCTTGGCAGGACCGTCCTGGAAAAGGGAAATAAAAAAAAACACCACTTGACTCAGTGAAGGCTTCCTGGGAAAACATGTAACAAAAAAAATGCCGATTGAAAACGTTCTTCTTAGTATTGTGCGTTTTAGTTTTCTCACGAAGAGATGCAATACTTTTCGGTCAGGGAACTTGGAAACACCGTACCCGACCTTCCCTTCTTCTTTGACTGTCCACCGCTAACGATGATGACTTCGGAAAACGGCGAGAATCATTTTTGCATCCCCTGTGCCCTGATGGGATTGAGAGTTCGGCCCTTCAGTGGAAGCATCGGCCGCACTGTTGGCAAGAGTTTGTTCGTCCGCTGGATGGGATTTAAGCAGTGGCGGATCTTTACATTTCCACTCAGTGGGGCTGTTGTGAGTGACCTCTGAAAATATGGTGTTCTCATGAAAACCTCGCCATGTTAAGGCCCTTCTCGTGAAAGTGCTAAAACTGTCTCATCTACCAACGGTAGGTAGGGGCATTTATAAACAATACGAAACAAAACAAAGCACTCAAATGATGTCCCCATGACCCTCAAGTCCACACTACACAACCCCTTTTACACTGCCAAAAGCCTAAACAATTAAATATCAGCTGAAAAAACTCAACAAATCATTTCAAATGTAATATTCAGGAGTGACTCCACCGTGTTCGTAGCTAAATCTCCGTTTGCTGTACCTTCTGCCATCACCATCGCCTCGTGACATCGTCTCATTACAGCCACGGGTGCCTTTTTCACCGCCCTGAATGGGTCTCAAACGGCGTGGCTAAAATGCGAAGCTGATCGCAACGAATGAAGGGAGACATCTCTCACTCGGATGCCCTTCACAGCCGCACCGAGACCCTCCCCAAGGCACAAATCAAACTGTGGGGTGATGCAGCGATTTCTAACACGAGCATCTTAAAATTTTATATTCATTAGGCAATTCACGTTGAAAGAATCACTTTTATTTTATTTTTTTTAAACACAACCAAAACAATTCATAGAAAAAACACATTCCTGCGGAGGGAGCTGGTAGGAACGTTGGGTTGCTCGGTCAATGGCCAGGGTCAACGGCGGCGTGGTGTATTCCGCAAATATGCCTGACTGTGAGGGTGGGCACAAGCCGGCGTGAGTAGGTTAAACGTTGAGTTTTATAAGGGCACCACGGGGTGACCAGCCCCTCCCTCCCCACCCAGCCCCACCCCTCCCACCCCACACCCAGCCCCACCCTCCCCCCACCCAGCCCCACCCTCCCCCCACCCAGCCCCACCCTCTCCTCCCCACCCAGCCCCTCCCCACCCTCCCCACCCAGCCCCTCCCCACCCTCCCCACCCCTCCCATTTTTCGATGCACGACGGACGGACGGACACAATAATCCCCTGCGGGCTGGTGTAACCAGGATGCTCCTTCCAGCTGCTTGGTGGAGCGGCGCCCCACCGCCCCCTAGTGGACGAACCGCGCCTGGATTTAAGTTCTGCCGCTGCTGGTGTTGATGGGGGGGGGTCCCTCTGTCGTTTCAACCCTCAAGACTACACAGCAGCGGTCCCCAAACTTTTTGGCACCAGTGACCGGTTTCGCGGAAGACAATTTTTTTCACGGACCGGGAGTGAGGGGCTTCATCATTGGGTCTTTCCACCTTTTCAAAGAAGCTCTCCAGCGACGTTTGTTTTTTGACTCATTTTGGCTACTAGGGGTTAGCTTGTGGGCTTACCAAGACTGTGACTGAGATAAGTGCGCAGTGCGGGGAAGAGGCGCGGACGGAAGTGGTGAATAATAAAATGGGGGCGGACCACGTGCGTGGCCTCACCGCTCTCACCTCCTGCTGCGGTGCGGCCCGGTTCATAACAGGCCACGGTCCTGACAGGTCAAGTGGCCCGGGGGCTGGGGGCCCCTGGGCTCCAGCACCATCACCCGGCGGTCACGGTGGGCTGGCGTTGCCTCGCGTGTCTCCACATTGACATTGTGGCTGTCTTGAGGTGTCTTTTAAGGACGTCTTTGTCGGGCAGGTTTTGGCCACCAGGAACACGCTTGGCCCTCCTTTGGGGCCGTCCATAAATGACGTCACGCGATTTTGGACGATTTTTTGACCCCCCCCCCTCCCCCTTCGTCACAAAAAGTCAGACCCCCCCCCCTCAAATATGACGTCACTAAGCTCTCCCCCCCACCCAAAAAAAATATATAAAACATGCTTCAAATCGCTTTAAACTATTGTCATTGTAGTGCGTATTTAATGTGGCGCTGCACTCTGATGTTGTAGGAGAAAACATGTATTAAAAAGTCTATTCAATTAAGTAGAACGTGTTGTCTATATTTATTAAAAGTTTCGCATTTTTATGTGACGTCACATTTCTCACCCCCCCCCCCCCCCTTGTCACATCGTCACAAATGTCTGACCCCCACCCCCCAGGTGTGTGACGTCATTTATGGAGGGCCCCTTTGTAGTTCACCAGAATCTCCATCATCCACGCATTATCTACTAATTTACCGTATCTAGTGGAAGCGCTTCATGTCAGATTGTACCACGAGGGAATTAAAATCTCTACATACGGTGCGAAAGAAGTTCAACATACTGTACATACCTTTTTATAAACTTACCTCGATTTCTAATTGATAATTAATTTTACACGACAGCGGACCAACAGGATGCCATACAACAGCGCCACACATTGGTGGGCGGTCCGAAGTTATTAGAACGGAAAACATTCACCCAAAAGCCATTGCTTTGCATGCACGAAGACACGCACACGATCTTAATTTCTAGAGATTCAAATCCAGTGTATTGAAGAACTGTGGATTGTAAAAAATTAGCAAAGTCAGACTAGACCGTGTTTAGGATTCCTACAATTCAATGGAAATGCGAAGCATACTAAACAATGCATCTCAACATGGCATTCCCATATCGTACTGCAGGTTCCTTGGTTTTTATTAAATCACGTTTTCCAAAATCACTCCATGCTGGTCGCTCACCTCTACTTCGACATTTCTATCCCGATCTACTTTCAGGAATATTCTGCCGTTCCCCGTTACTCCAGCAAGCACAGTATGTTCTTTATTATTTGGTTCTTTCGGTAAAGTCACGTAGAAAGAAAATCAATAATTTATTTGTTAATAATTTGTTTATTCATTCATTTTCTTTCTTTCTACGTGACTTTACCGAAAGAACCAAAGATTAATTCCTGCAGTCGCGAAAGCTTCGAATCTAGTTTAGTATGTTCTTTATTTAGTAAGCGTGTACTTCACTTGTTCACATGTATCTTGATTCTAATTTGGCCTTGTTTGGGAAATTGGTCGCGAAATTCCTGCAAAAGTATTACTGCTTTTTATTATCATTAAATGTGAGATGGCTAAGTATTAACGAAATTTTTAAAACGATGCTTGCACAGCTATTAAATACTTCATGGAATGATGCCCCATTGTTTTGTTAGAAGAAATACTGATCGGAAGTACTGTACTTTATTCCTCATTAGCGTCCCATAAAATAAAGACTAGAGGAAAATGAAGGATGGAAACATCAGGGGGCAACCGTCTATATAAACAATTTGGATTTAGGAAATGTTCTCTACAATTGAACACAAATACAATGTTTCAAATTTTTTAAAAAATGTCATATTCTGGCTTGTAGAACCCATGACGAGGCATATGGTTAATAAGAAACTAAATTAAGTACGGTATACAGAAAAACTTTCAAAGCGGCCACTTAAGATACCAATAATACTGCAGCGACAAAATACACATCAGTCCGGAAAGGAAATAAAATATCAAGGCTATTCACAGCAACATTTAAAGTTCTTTTTTTTTATCAAAACTGGACTGGATAAATAAAGACATCAGTAAAATGGCAATTACCGTATTCCCAAGTGCTGTTGCGCTGGACGATATCAGTGTATTTAAAACTCACCATTATCGCCTTCAATGATCGTGCTCCATTTGTGTGGTGGCAATGCACTTTCACATCGCAACCTCGGCAGTGGGGTTGATCGCTCATGCAGGAATACGAAGTCTTCGATGCGCAGCTTTAAGTCGAGTCGTGCGTGAGACACCGACCTAATAGAATAAGAGATGCGCCTTTCATGGTGACAAAGCAAGGAGTTCGCATGTCTATACATGCGGAGCTTTGACCAATATAAACTTGTATGCATGTTCTCTCCATAAACGTGTTTCCTCCAATGTGTACAAATACTCCAAACTGAATCTTGTAAACTGAATTAAAACGTTCATGCACATATTATTTCCATTATAATTCTTACATAACGTATTATTTTGACTATCATCCTTGATCTATCCACTGCTGAATGAAGGCCGCCCTAAATGGTCGCCATTCCTAAAGGTCTCGTATTACAAAATTCCATCCATCTCCCACACAAAAGTAGATCTCATTGCTCCATCTGTGGAATGGTCATCCTCTTAGACATTATCTCCTTTGGCTGCCACGCCATGGCCAAATCTCAGAAATCAGCCATCATCCTTTGAAGCGATGTGCCTTGTCCAAACATGCCATATGCCAATTGCATGTCCTCCGATCCATGTGCACCTTTCTCTTGAGTATATTTGCAAGCGTACACCTCTCCCCATGCTTTTATGCACGTTCCAACTTTTCAGTTTTATTTTTGTCAGTGTCCATGTTTTTGAACGGTATAGCTGCGAATATGCACCGATTGAAACGTTTATTTTAGCATTGTTTTGCCCATTTACAAATTCGAAATGATTACCACTGTGGGAGGATCAACAATGGTTACCTTACGATGCAAATGGATGGTCACTGCAAATAAGACGAATGAAAATCATCTTTTCACACGGACCCATTGCACTTTCAGCAGACACGTGCATTACCGCAGCACTTTGAAGCTAATTTACACATGGCCGAAAATATAGCATGGTGCTATAAAAAGATCGGAATCTTACCAAAGACCGTTGACGTTGCAGCTTATAGTCAATGTAAAGTATTCAAACAGCCAGGTAACGATAGTATATATTGCTTTGTTCCTTATTTACATTTTTACTCATTCAGGTACACGATATTTGATATCAGAAAATCAGGCATCGTACAATCATCAAATGTTGGTAGAGAACAATAAACGGAATATATTTATGAATGTATGTTGAAAGTGTATTGTGACAATGTATCATTTGCAACTAAACGTGGGCATCAGAAGTTCATCTCGTCAGACTCTTGAAGATGATCCCAGATCAGTGTGGCCTGTGATAGTGAATGATGCAAACTTCAAAATTAAGCAAGATGGTTTCAAAAACTGATTTTTGAAAGTTAGCAGACACCTTCGACATGAGTGTGGAATCAGTTGATCCAAGTTTGAACGATCACGTGGGAATGAAAAATGTGTGTGGAATTCAGGCCAGTGTCTTTGCAGTCATTAAATCAAATAAAAAATTTCAGAAAAATGAAAGCCACAACCTTGCTTCTGGATGACAATGCCCCAGCACACATTGTATTGGTGTCATGTACTTCGTGAATCTAAGGCTCAAATATGTTTGTTTCATCGTACATTTTCAGCGTTTTCATCTGTCACATAATACAGGGTGCTTCAAATTTTTTTTTTTACACTTTTGAGAATTTGCAACAATACCACAATAAATGTGCCTCCGGGCTCTGGAGACCACCTGCAGAAGATTCCAGGCACGTGTTGACAATGATGGCGAACAAGTGGAGACTGACTTATTGAAGCTATTACCATTACATGTGATCATGTTACAGTGTACTATCCGTTTTTTTCCATTAAAAACGACAGTACCATGTGTGTTGACCTGTTTTGAAGCACCTTGTATACACACCTAAATTGCTTTTCTTAAAAATGTGATTAAAACGTAACGACTTTTCACAACGTGCTGCGACTATAACGCGATTATTCCAGTTGGGTACATTTTTCGCATAATGCTCCCTTTATAACGCAGAACGCGCACGTTACAAGGTGGTTTCTGAGTGGTCTATGACGAACTTTCTTGAACTGCGCAGCTGATCGGTACGATACAGTACCATGGCACGATACAGTACTCTGTTATCCCACCATCTGTACACGTGCATCGTATATCTCCAAACTTTATCGTTACGTTATTTATGGGGAAAGTATTCGCTTAATGCGACACTTTTCAGGAACACATCTACCGCGTATTTAATCTGAAAATCTTAAGATTGTCGAGCAATACATTATGTTCATGTCACAGCTAATAATGTGCAAGTGAAGATATTTCATAGCTGTTTTACTGAAATACATTCTAATAATACATTTACTAAATTGACTAGTGATGTTGGGAAACAAAATCAGGGTAACATTTGAATAAATTACAAAGAAGTTTAGGTAATAGTTTTGAATACTAAATTCACGTATAGTATAGCAAATATTACGCAAATCAAGAACAGCAGGTGTTTATGAAATAATACACCAACACGTCAGGCAACATTTTACTTTTGAAGAGTTATGAAAAAGTTAAAATGATCAATATACATCAACGCAAATTACTGCAGGAAACCTTTAACAAGTCTACAATGAAACACAATGTTCACCCACAAACACCTGCCATATCAGGTTAGACTGTAATAATGTAGTTTCTTCAATCAGTGGCCCATAAAAGCACTTGTCCCACTAAGATAATGCCTCGTCAAAACAGACATACAGATTCATCAGATGAAATAGAGTATTTCAGACAAGAGTTACAGATTTATGGTCACATGTACAGTATATGGACATCAGCTCATGTGATGCCTTAACGTCTGTACACAGCAAGTATAAAGTCATGTAGTCCACAGCACACACCATGTTTTTATTCAGCCTATGGATTTTAAAATGTAGCATGCACACCTGCTGATAAAACTTTGGTATTGAGCTGCTTGCAACATGTAGACATTTTTAGTTTTTGTACATGGTTTTAATATACTCGGCTCTCCTTTTCTGTTTTAAATATAATAAAAAATTCCAATACATCTCAGTAATAAATAAAAAGTTCAATGATGTACTGCATCTTCATGCCAAATAGAATGGCGTGGAAATATAAGGTTCATTACTGTGAAGTGAGAAAGTGACATACGGTCTATCAAAATAAGGTAACAATTTGCAATATAACACGTAACATTGCACAGCTTCAAAATTACCAGCATGGCCATCCACTTATGTTGTGTGTGATTGTTACAAGCACGATGTCTAGATCTGTTTTAAAGACCCTTGTGTCTGTGGTAGAATGAGCCTCTTCCTCAGCGTGTTTGATAGCTTTGGGGGTCGTTGTTGCAGCCCTTGGTTACCAATGCTCACTCTCCTGTTCACCTCTGTCAGCACCTCCAACAGATCATGACCCCTACAAGAGGCACACAATGCACATTAGACAGCAAAATGCTAAGAATATATCATGCACTGCGACAACAACAAATCTTCCATCAGTACAGTACACAATATTTGTAACATCATTCGCATTGTGTCCAGCTGATAATCATGTAAATGAGCCCATCTCATTTAAACAATGACACTTGCCTTATAAGACCGTGCACATCACTAAATTGCACATTGGTGTTACTACATTGTACGAATGAAACTCTTCTATTTCAAAATGTACATGAGAAAGAACCGCGCACATAGAGTACTTACATTGTCCACAATTCACTCAGGCAAATAGTGAGGTGTTTTATAAAAGGTGTTCCATCAGACTTGTCTCTTCTGCTACAAGCTTCTTCTTCAACGACGTGTTTGCACTCCAAAACATCAGCATTAATCGGGATGCCTGGCCCATCTGCTTCCAAGTAATCATCATAATGAAGACCCCCTGATGAGTCAACTTGCAAACTTTGGCCATACAATGTTCCACCCACCATCACCGTCAGTATGAAGAACAACTTGGGTTTACCCACAAGGGCTGGGCAATACTGTCCATTGAAATTCATTGACAGCATCTAGAAAAAAAAATAAACAGGTGTGCATTTGTGGTTAGACATCATGCCAATAAGTAAAGAAGCCAAATATGTGGTTGGTTCGTATAGCCATTAGACCCATGCATAAAGTGCAATGATTATATTGTGTCTCACAACGTGGCAGCAAGTTTTTTTTAATTGTTGGTGCCCATTGTAATACATACTTCAATTGAAACAGGAATTCCATCAGTGCCAATTATGTCAGAATCTGTGCCCTTCCCAAGCACAAAGCAAACGAAGCAGCTGTGCATCTTTTTAAAGGGACAGAGGCTCTGGAGATTTCGCATATCCATGCCTGACAGGTCACGTACAATCGTCACTTCAAAGCCAAGGTTAGAGAACGCCTTCCTTATATTTTCTGCAAAACAACACATGCACTCAGAATAAACATCAATTTGTTAAGGTTTTATGACGAACCTGAGCATGGCAGTGCATATCCATAATCTAGTGCGATAAAAGACAACGGTTAAGATGATCACAATGACTTATATAAAATAATTTTAATCAACCATAATAACCAACAAAGAACCCTCCTGAAATAAAGCCCTGAAATTCAGTAAAGCTTGCCTAAATAAGCAAGATAATTCTGTAGTAATTAAAAATAAATCACAAATGTCCCACACAAGCTCACCTGCATCTTTATACAAGGCATCTATATTCCGAAGTCCTTGTTTGTTTACCACCAGCAGGCACAGCCCAAGAGGTTGAGCCATCGGGTAGCTATCCGTCTCCAGCTATAAAAAATAAACAAGGTGAGTACAATAATAAAGATGAAATTTTACATCCTCCAATTGCTTGCTCATGCCACTGCTAGCAGAAGGGCCTCCAATAAAGTAAGTTCTAGAATGCCCCTCTAGAGGGTATTTAGCCTACTCTTCCGTGCTGGCCAGACAGCATACCGATCAGCTATGTACCCATTAATAATCATGAGGAGGGGCCCTCGAGATTAAAAACACTTGCCCATTTTTTTTTAACTGCCGCACCCAGGAGATCAAACACAGAGCCATCTGAATTGCAGGTCCAGTGTGCTTACCATTGCAACATGACACCAGGGATGGCTGATGATCAAGAATAATGACGTGTGGCAGCCAAGGGAGGGAACATGTCCAAGAGGACGTCAGCTGAGGAGACGGGGCGATGAAAGCAGCCTGTGATAGATAAAACTACACTTTTGAAACTAAACTTTTTTTTATTTTACCAGGGAAGGCTCACTGAGCTATGTAGCTCTTTTCCAGAAGTGACCTGGCCACAAATGATAGCTCAACAAAGTGGCTTATCAGTGGAAATGTATAGCAAAATACTCTAAACGCGTGTTTCTAAATGTGGAGGGTAAAACCCGAGGACCCGAAGAAAAAAATCCATATGACCTGGGGGAGAACATGCAAACTCCAAAGATACAGGCGTCAGGGTCGGGATCAAACCCATGGCCCCATGTATACCAGGGCGAGGTAATTCACATCTCGCCACTGCCGCGAGATTACATATTTTTCCTGCAGGATTGTGAGATATGGTGAATGTGTGAATCGACTGTTGGTGATGATGAAAAATGCATATTTACAATGGATGAGCTTGTCGCGTTTGGCCTGTCTCTTGAAGCTTGTACCACTGATGAACGTACAGGTATTGCTTTTGGAGAAACAAAAGACGATCAAAACACAAGCAACACGACTTTAGTACTGAAATCAGTGGCAACAAAATGCTAAATCGTGTTTAAAGAGTGCAATTGCAGAAATAATAACAATAAAAAACACAATAACAATTGTGATGTCACATTGTCTCCAATCAGCTGTTGTCATGTGTAAATTCCTGCCGACCATAATATGCAACTTACGTTGGCGCATTGGAGTATGGGGGTATGCATTGGGATATTGTGACATTAGTGGGCCAGCAATTCCACATACAGATGAACATCCTGAATTGTACGGTTTCTCAACCTAGAAAAAAGGCCACAATTGAAATATTAGCATGATACCATTTAAAATGTCAAATTATGCCTCAAATACTTTCAACAGTCATTTATCAACCACTATATAAGAAAATACATATATTATGCTGGTATTTGAATATTTCCCAACTATTCAATTGTTGCAATCATACAGTTTGTATATACTCATTGCATAATTATAGTCCAATACACAAAATGTACACATGAAGAACCGTGTACAATATAAAGCAAAAGCAATGAATAATAGAATGCAATTCTATCCAATAAATATGATCAATGTTAGAAGCATATTTTTCAATTGGATGTTAACATTTAACAAGACGGACTCAGCGCATGCAAACATCATATGCCTATATTACTAAAGCTGGGAACACTACATTGAAAAACTGTAAATGTGGTTTACCATTTGGACTCCTCTTCCACATCCATTCATCTGTCTGTTGTGGGCACCACTATGCATCAATCGGTCAGGCAGTGAAGCAGGATGTGCATTCACATACACCCTCTCTGCAGATGGCATTCTCATATATGTAGCAGGATCCGCTGCTCTTTCTGATCCTTAAACGATACATCAAAGTACAAAAATATGCAGTGAGCACGAGGAGTTGTTCCTAGTGGAGAGGCTAATGAATGACATGAGCAAGAGCATGCGATACTTGGCTCATATTTTCGAATGGACAAAACATTATTGACGAAGCAATTTAACATTGAATGTTGGGCCTTTGGATTTTCGATACATGTGACATTTTACAGTATTTAGAATAAAATTCAAATGTTTACTTATTTATCCATAAAAGCCTCACTGAAATTCAAGACATTCAAGTTGGTATATCATTAAGATAATTGGCCAGTATCAGAGGTTACAATGTTATACTGTAAGCCTTAAAACTGTACCTGCTGGGCTTTTCAGTTTGAATCGGTTTAATTTTTTTTTCAAATCATGTCTTTCAGCAATCTCAAAGCATTGCTCAAGCATCGATAGGTTGTCTGATGAAAGCTGGCCTTGTTCCTCCAGTAAATGGCACAGTTCCAATAGACTCTGCAATGCAACACAGACATGTGGATTAAAGAAATAATTGCAGACACTCATCACTCTTGTCAATCTACTGCAAGTGCATTTTAACTCGTAAACAAATACAGTTTGTTACAGATGTGTTGACCAATATGGACTATCTCCAGAGTATATGTTTTGTCAATTGGGAACAATACTATTGTGTAAATGTGATACTTACATTTACATTCTTTAGCCTATTTTGAGGAAGGTCATCTTGTAGGCAGTACTTGATGCTTGACAGTTCATCATTTGAGATTCCTTCATTCAGTTCCACCAAAAACTCCCTGCAGAATTAAAAAAACACTACCGTCAAACTTAGTGGAAACTGTTGGTGGAAGCATTGCAAGGAATTTAACTGAGATTATAAAACTATTGCATGATGAATCATCACTTACATCACTAATTTTAATTAACACCCACACGAGAAAAAATATATATCTATATTTGAATAATCCAACTATGAGCATGGCTACTCTTGTTGATTCCAGCCATCCATGAGTTGCTCTTTAAGTACCAACAGGAAATAGGCAACTGTGAATCATGACCAGCCACTGTTTATTCATTGATGAAATGAAAGTCTCGGCATCCTGTCACCAATCCGGACAATCCAATGCTACCATCCATCTCACTCCTGCACATGTACAGATCTCATTGCCCCAGCCTCAGGGTGGTCATACTCCTTTGGCTACCATTCCAGCATCAGTCTCGTTCACCTGCTATAGTTCCATCTCGCGTTGTGTTCAACCCAAAGACATGTACCTTTCTTGTCAATATTTGTGTTTGCGTGTTTGTTTCCTGATCCGTGTACTTTTTTTTTTATCACTCAGTGCAATTCCAAGCATGCTTATAAGGAGACGTTTAGAAACCATCAAGATCTCAATTCACATATTGGAATTAATATGGAAATTTTAAATAAAGCAGTATCCACTGGTGAAATACCAAGAATGGTCAACATTGGATGGAAAGCCGACTTTACGAGAAATATTCCAAATTTTAGGTGGGACGCGATTTTGAAATATCCTGAATAAAAGTCATAAATGGCACATCAACAACGTTTAGGAAAACTATTTATAGTCATGGTACCCAAAAATTGAGGACCAGATTTAATAGAGCATATTAACTTAATGCCAGAAGCATAATTTTAGGGCTGAGTACACCGAGGACCCAAGAGAACTTTAGACACAACCAATCAGATCAGTCAAGAGAGTGAGAAGGGGTTATGGGGACTTATATATTGCTCAGTTTCTTGATGTAAATATTTAATTGCAAAAAATAGCTCAACACTGCACACATTCCAAATATACATTGACGATGCCGTCATCTCAAGATATTTAAATCACAGAGTACCACTCTGAGATTGAAGTGTCCATCGAAAAGATGATTTAAACATGAGAAAATATCCCATTCTTGTCCAGGTCCACAATAGGAGAATACCACCAACCACTGCTTGAGACACTTTAAAAGTAAAATCATCCCTCAACGTGGCCAAGACCCAAGACGTACCCCGACATCCAGCTCTGGTGGTAACATCAACGAGATGTGAACAGTGATGTCCACGAATACACGAGTGAGCAAGGGTGACGTTGGGCCACAGCGACCACCAAAAAGAGGGTCTCTCCTCCTCTCACCTGTAGCTGGAGCCGGTACGACTTGTCGCCACCGTCCCATAAAGAACATTATCAGCTCCTGCTGCCATCTGGGCGTTGTGGATGCCCAGTCGACGCAGCAGATCGTGGCGGTGCAAGGCGCTCAGCTTGGCCGTCAGCTGGCCGATGCCCCCCATCTGGTAGAGGGCCATCAGCAGCTCGGCTGTGGGCAGGGAGGCCCAGGTGGGCAGCTCGTCACGACAAAGGAATCGCAGGCTGCTCACCTCTTCTTCGCTCAACTGTTCAGATAATCTTTGCAGTTCCATGCGTTGAGACATCGCTAAAGAAGCCATATTCGTGCACTGAAGACGAAGAGATCCCCAATGCAGATTCACGTCACCGAACTCCGTAGCCTTCTCCTGATATCCTGAAGCGTGGCGATGTTGTTAAACTCGAGGCGAATTACGAACGTGAGGCGTTCGAAGTTGTCAATACGTCGAAGATTTCCTATGTTGCCTGAAGCTGGATCTTGACTGTAAATCGCTCTCAACGTGAACCACAGAATTGCCTTAACACGTCGCGTACGTCGCCTATCAACTAACAAAGGCTGCGCTAGGCCGACTACGGAAGGAGGCAAACGCGACAAAGTGAGCGCGAACAAAACTATATTTTACACACGATAGACATGTTGGAAACCTTAAGATCTTCCCCAAGTCACGAGGTTCTTGATCCGGCTGTCTTGAGTAGGATCTGTTCGAGGAAAAAAGTTCAACGTCAATACGAACGTCGCGAAGACACTGCCCGCGATCGCGGCCCTCACTCGACGAGACGCGCGCAACGAAATGGAATTCCATTTTAAAACAATTGCGACAACAATTTCGTGGAAAACGACGGATGAATTTCACCGAATTACGATGACGATTAAGCGATACGAACCTCCGGTGGGATTGTGAGAATTTTCACCGTCAACTTACGGTGCATTCCAGGTTGATGGGAATGGAAGGGAGATCCCCTTCTGGTTGCGTCACAGGAGGCGGGCTCATGAAGTTTGCGTATCACGGGGCCAGGGCCAGGCAATAAATAACACGATGTTGTCTATATACAGAGGCATTCATGTGTCGGGATGGCTCTGGAAAGATCCCATGGGTTTCTCAAAACTCGTGTGGAGCCCGTGCGGATCAATCAAGAAGACGCAAACATTTACGCGAGTCAAAGTTCACCACACCAACCCACCCACCCACCCTGGTGACACAATTCGCATTCACGAATCTTTCTTAATACCACGAATATATTATTATTCATATTACCGGAATTTTGTTTTTAACCCAGCTAGAAGGGGTTTTTTTCCTGGGGGCGGGGGCATTTATATCTTAGGGGAGTTTAATCAGGGTATTTTACCAAACTTAAACTTTTTTTTACAATAAATATCGTAAGTAAAACATTAGATAATGTTCGAACAAAAATGCATAAACCTTGCCATTATGTGCGGATCAACCTGCATTTGCATCGCTGCCGCACAGACCACCTCGAAGTCCGTCACGGACCGCTGGCAGTGACGAGACCACACTTTTGAGAACCACTGCAGTTCGTAAACACTGCAAGGTCGTAGCCATGCAGTCAACATTGGGGGGCACCAAATCTTTCAGGGGGTCTAAGCCCCCCCCACCATCCAGAAAAAAAATCTAAATTTTTAAACAAATTTCCTGCCTAAAATATTAAAAAATTCACTAAGATAGGATGGACTTTTTATTACTTTTTTTTACAATGTCAAATAGTGTATTGTATTACATTGCTGTTTTTTTCTTTTTACATTTTCTTGTTTCATTGTAATGACAGAGGTTAGGGATTAATAAACTACAACCATAACCACAATCATATGAACATAAATCTATGCATTGTTATATGAAGACAAGTCCAGATATTGTGGCCAAAGTTTAGCAAATGTTTGTTTTTATTTACATAGCATAGAATATTTTTATATATATACATTGTTTGTAGCAATATTTTGGGGGAACATTTTGAACATATTTGAATATTGGGGGAGTGTATTGACAGTCTATAATGTAGACTGAAGCCTGGTTATTAAGTTTGGTGAGTGTATTGGCAGTCTATAATGTAGACTGTAGCAATGGTTATTAAACTAAGTAAGCGCACTGGCAGTCTATAATGTAGACTTATTCTGATTTTCAGTTATAAAAATAAACCACGACGTTTCGATCGCAACACAAGCGGTCGTCATCAGGAACAGATTGGCTAGCCTCTGAAGGCGAGCTGTTTATAAAGGTTTAGAGATGGACAGGGCAGCCAATGCTAATGTAGGAGAGGGCTCTGACACCGGCAGTAGGTCTACACCAAAGCATTGCACCTCGTTCCACACACACTGCTGACGGTGGAGGTTGACAAGAAAACACAAAGCAAGTCATGACCCAAAGTGGCTTATTTTTCATAATTATTTTTCTATCTACGTGACTATACCGAAAGAACCAAAGAATATTAATTCCTGCAGTCACGAAAGTTTCAAGTCAAAGTTTAAGGTTTATTTTAAACGGAAGCTGTGATGACGTGGGTTGCGACAACAATGTAGTGAAACAATTCTGAACTATTTGAACAGCTGAAGAAAATCCGCTGTTGTGCAAGGAGGGCGAGTGGAAAGCATTGCTATAAGATTGGTCATGATGCTGCAATGAGTAAGATAGTAGGTGATAATAGCAGTGAAGATAACAGGGTTGCGTTTAGTAACCACCTCTTTATTAAACCATCTGACTCTACAAATTGAGCCGGCAGACCTATTGAATGAAATACGATGACAATAACGTTTTAATCAATGAAGACATTAGCATTGGTTGCCTCGTTTTGTTGCGATTAAGTGTGTTAAACAAATTCAACATTCTAGATTTGAAGCTTTCGTGACTGCAATGATTCATATTCTTAGGTTTTTTGTCAGTAAAGTCACGTAGGTAAATTTTTTTAATTAAAATTAATAAAAGTAAAATAAAAATAAAATAAAAATCACAAAATTCTCACCAGTTCAACATTTTAAGTTATCAAATATTTTAAAACAGTTATGCGAAATGAAACACTTGACGCGTGTGATTATTGTTGCTCCAAAGGTGGTGCTGAACCTATGTAGACAAAGTTCATTCACATTAGAAAGTCTCCAACATTCAACTTTGGAATATTTGAAGGTGATACAGATTATTTACTCTTGCACACCCGCTTTAATGCATTTGTTTAAGTTCCAAATCCACCCGTGATTCCGTTTCTATGTTATTACTTGTCCATAAAGTAAGGGACAATCACTGCATCACATACGAGGCATACTGTATGCTTAAATTAAACAACACGTTACGTTGCTAAAAAAGCTGTTTGCATAGCAAAGAGAATGAACAAGACTCGCGATTGAACCAAACTCGTGATTGCTGCAACCATCCTTTCTACATCAAATCCACTGCTGGATGAAGCTCTCCCACTGCTGGATGAAGCTCGCCTCCGAAACGTCGTGATTTTTGTTTTATTTCATTTTCATTAATTTTGATGTTTTACCTACGTGACTTTACCGAAAAAACCTAAGAATATGAATCCTTGCAGTCACGAAAGCTTCAAATCTAGAATTAAGAATATGACAATTCAGGTACCACTGAATATGAAAGCGGGGGGGCGGATAGGAAATCCCCGCAACGAAACGCAACTCCACAACTAGTACTCTGACCATAATTCCAAGAATCGAAAGTGTATGTAAGAAACATTTGCTCATAAATACATGGTCTCTCGATCTCACTTCTCTTAAAATATAAAAAGGGTCGTTCTTCCACATGATCAACCCTCTGGGTCTCTTGACTCCACACTCTGCAGAATGTGTAAAAGACATAGCTTTGTACTCATACATCTGGCACGTGTGATGCCACTGCCTACACCCCAGGGGTCGGCAAACACAATAACAAGTCATTTGTTCCTAATTCGGTAAAAAAAATCGATACATTTTAAAGAGCCGCAATACAATGTGGATACAAGACAGTCTTTAATAACGTCACGAAAAAATCCTTAATAAGCCGCAGGTCGCCGACCCCTGCCCATGGTAACTGGACTCCCACTGTGAACTGGACTCCATGGTAAACTGGTCTCCCATGGTAAACTGGTCTCCCATGGTGAACTGAACTCCATGGTGAACTGAACTCCACGGTGAACTGAACTCCATGGTGAACTGGAATCCCATGGTGAACTGGACTCCATGGTGACCTGGCAAACTGGACCTCATGGCAAACTGGACTCCATGGTAAATTGGACCTCATGGCAAACTGGACTCCATGGTAAACTGTATTCCATGGTGAACTGGATTTCCCCAGTTCAGGGATCAGCAACCAGATTAACAGGGGCCATTATTTCCGAATTCGGTAAAAAAAACACCATTTCAAGAGCGGCAGGTTGGGTCAAGTGTTGTTCGCGAGCACCTATGACCAGACCGGCACACGAGGGGGTGGGTGGCACAGCAACACGCCCGGCCGCCTTTGTCTCCCCAGTGGCGATATTTTTTACGCACCGCACACTAATTTGAGGCTGAGTCGACCTAGGGGAGGCCCAGGACTGGTTCAGATAATCGTCACCGATGTTGGCCGTGAGCGGGAATCGAACTCGGGTCACCAGGTTCTCAGCAGCGCAGAGCTGCACCGCTACTACCGCCGCAAGGAGTGGAAGGGAAGTCCCCCACCTCGAGATGGTGATTGGTGCTCACCAATACCAATAGCCCGCACCATTCGCCACCAGTTTTGTAGTTTCATTTATTAGGTATAGCCCTGTGAGCCATTCGGCTCTTGAATCGGGTGCAACCGCAACAAACAAAAAGATGAACAAGAAAACATCTTAAAGCAACAGAAGAATCCAGGAAAAAAACAGCAAGTCTTCCAGAAAAAGCACCGAATATCAACACTGTGTGCAAAAATCCCAGTGGGATGCAAGTCAAACAATAACCATAAGCCAATTTAGATTAAAGTTATTAGTCGAACTCTGTACTACAACAAACAAACATGGCTAAACCAAAACGTTTTCAAAATCACCAAAATAAAGCTATAAAAACAATGTAACAGAGATCAGAGGAACTGTGATTGAAATTTTACAATAAACGATATATACATAACATGTGTTATGTATATTACCAAGTGACGGTGACGTCCCCACGGTGCCTGTGCCAGGCTAGGTGCACTATTGAGGCTATCACGTGAAGTGTCCAAGTCTGGCTGGCAGGAGGTCTCGGGACAGACCCAGAGCGAGACAAGCGGTAGGTGGCACAACCACCGGTGCCAACTCCGCCGCATTTTATCCGCCCGGCGCCTCCGCTCGTTGTTGTGAGCGCCGCCGTCGCCGCTCCTCCGTTGTTGCTTGTGGGTGACTGCCTCCAACCGCACAGAAGCAGCGTCCTTCACGCCTCCCACACACACAACACATACAACACACAAGGTTATTTCAGACGAACCGCGTCGAGTGTGAAGCCCCACGCACACCCCTTGCCGCTTCGTGACAGCGCTGCGACGAGATGGCGAATGTGGCGGGCGACGAATCACTGCGCTGCGTCCGCATCGCTGCAATGGGTGGCGAATGAGGCTGGCGACGAATCACAGCGCCGCATTGAGTGGCGAATGTGTCGGACGACGAATCACAGCGCTGCGTCCGCATAGCGACGTCACCACCACCAACACCGCCACCGAGGGGGAAGGCCTCGGCGTGACCTCCTCGTCCTCCGCACCGGCTTCTGACTCCTCCGCACCGTCTTCATTCTCTTGTCTGAGACGCCCATGGCTCACGGACACGAGGCGGCCCACGGGGCCCACGAGGCCCACGGGGTCCGCGGGAACGTGCCCGGCGTGGACATGCCGGACTGGAAGACGTGGAAGGTGGAGGGGACGCCGCTGGAGGTCGTGCAGCAGCGGCTGGCGAAGCGTGGCCTGCGGGATCCTTGGCTCCGGTTAGAGACCAAATCCACACCACCACCACCCCCCTCCTCCTCCTCTTCCTCCACTGCCCAACGGGGATCCACGGGGCACACAGGGACGGGGATCACGGGGACCCCACGGCGAGCAGTGAAAGACATTCGGAACCAAGGGAAGAGCCACGCGGCTGTTGAATTCCGAAGCGCCCCCCCCCTTGCCCAAAGACGTGGGAAGGTTTGACGCGGTCATTTAGGGGGATCGTAGAGGGGTTTGTAGCGGTCATTTAGGGGGATCGTAGAGGGGTTTGTAGCGTTGGGGATCCATGTCAGGTAGCTGAGGGGAGCTCACATGATGGTTGTTGATACGGCCCTCATAGGGGGGGGGGGGGGGGGGGGGCCTTTATGTTGGTTGCTGTGTCGGCTGCAGACAGTGGTGGATGTGTAACCAGGCTCGTGGTAGCCGATGTGGTCATGTCGAAACGACGTTGAAGTTTATGGTAGGGGGGTAAGCACCTATGGGGGCCCAATGTCCAGTTGCTAAGAATGGTGATGACGGTCGTCGAAAGGATGTCGTCCCCCCTGGGTTTGTTTGTGTCGCGGTAGTAACGGGGAGATGGTGGTTGGTTGTGGTGAATCATGATGAGTCGTGTAGTCTCGGGACAGCTCATTCATATCAACATTGTTTGAAGAGTACAATTATCTCATCACAAAATATTAATTATGCAGCATAGTAATCCTGCGATATAACTGTGCCCCCATACAAGAAAGGGGAAATTCCCTCTGACTAAAGTGATATTTATTCACGATGCAGACAGAAACCGCTTATGAAAGCGTGGGTTCTAGCGTGTGAATTGAAATCTATTGGGGGGGGGAATTACCGGATTCCCCCTCTTACCACCTACTTTCAGGTATTGGTTAAAATACTCACCTTTGAGTTGTACATGTTGTACATTATTATACTGATACGCCACTAGCAGGAAATACCGAGCGTTGCCCAGTTGCTTGCGGATGGCGTTTGTGAATGTAAAGTGTCTTAGTCACATACTCTTTGTTTTTTCGTTAAAGTATGAAAGTATGAATCATTGCAGTCACGAAAGCTTCAAATCTGGCCGAGTCACTGCATTCGGAAGGAGGGAGTCACTGGCGCGTTCCAGCAACTGTTAAGATTTTGCTGTGCCACGGGGCCTGTAATAAATGTATAATATAACGTGCCACAATGAGGCTACGATATATACCGAAGCTTTTTTTGAAGCGTGAATTATGTCATTTGCCTCGCACGGAAAGACGACGGGCGTGCTCATGGAGGTTGACCATTAATTTAAATCAACGGGTTTTGGGGCAATTGTTAGTTAAACTTGATTGGGGTGGGGGGGCAGGTTAATGTGCTGGGTTAGGGATGGTGACGTCCCTGGGAGCGTGTGGGGTGCCGTTTGGGGGGCTCCGGGCCCCCTATATTAACCGTCGGCTCGCCATGTACCTAAGGTTTTCCGCGGGGCTTTAAAAGGTAACCCTGCCAAAGCTTGGTGACGATAGCTTGAACGTTGTGGATTTCTATTCGGAACAGACTTTCATTTCTATATCAAGATTATGTTATTCTAGTTCATAAAGCCTGTCTTCGCCAGGCAAAAGTTTTAAAGAAATATAATGAACCTGATGCGATTGTTTTACTGTTTTATCTACGATCAGACACTGTTTTTTTTTTCCACAAAAAAACAAAGTGTTGACTTGATTCAACTTAAAGACTACCCATCGGAAACCTCTCAATTTAGATTCCGTTCTTTTTTTTTATTAAAAAGAACACAAATGAACTTAACCCTAAGAGGGGAAGCTCCTATCTTGGACCGTGTTTTTATTATTCAGATTTGAACATCCTAAAATGTGTATTGTTTTGTTAATCCGAAATATCTTAAAGCCAATAAAATATAGAGCAATGGTTCTCGTAGGTAGAAAAGAAAATAGATTACGACGTTTCGATCGCCACACAAACAATCGTCTTCTCTCCCACCTGAACACGGTTGCTTGTGTTGCGATCGAAACGTCGTATTGAAGAGCATTAATTTTAGTTGCTGTTCAACGCTCGATCAAAGGGAGAAAAAAAACGCAATCTTATATTTTAAACGGTTTCTGACTGACAAACATTTTCACGGGGCACTTTTATGAGGCAACTTAAATCGAAAATTGGGGGCCAAATTTCAGCTTTATACCTTGTCGGGAAGTACCCTAGAGGTTTTTGGGACATTCATATTAAGGTATTTATATAGATTCTATGTACAGTAATACACCAAACAAAAGCGTGATATCTTCCATGTGTTGCGACGTCGAATGAGCCGACGGCATATTTGGCGCCAGGTGCAAGTTATTCAGTGTAATAGTGTTTTAAAATATTAATTTGACGTTTGACTTTATTTCTAGCGTTGTACCGGATTCCAGCCTAATTTATCCGGTTTAAAAACCTTTAAGTATAGTTAAGTGAATTTTCCCTCGGGTAAAATGCAAATGGCAAAAGCATTTCTACCAAGACATGATTAATACCCAAGTCTACTTTGTAATGTGTTGCCATTATGAGTGCATTACATGCATTACATAATGCACTTCAAGCTCAATTAAGCAAACCCACGAGTGTAATTCCCAGTTGGGGTTTCTCCTTTAACAAAAATGGCAAGAGAAACTTTTGACAAATTTCAGAAAGGGAGCTGAGAATGAGTCTCAAAAGGCCTTGTTGGGTTAAGTGATGCTCAGTCGTAACTTAGTCTTTGGGATGTGCCAATCTTCGCCTTTGACGTAATTTTACTGCACTTTTGGCGTAAACTGTTCAAAAACAGCCGTCTATTTACTGCTGGCTGAAGGCTTCCACTTTATCATCTTAATAAAGAACATTGATGTTCTGGATTCTCCCAAAATCATATTTGAAACCATTTGAAATGTAACTGTACTACAGTCTAATTTGTAAAGCAATATATCTTTGCCAAATAGAGTACACACAGCTCACACTCTGACATGCCAATGATGTGCTCTGTATTCTCTTTGCAGCAATGAAGCATGGCGATACAGTGGGTCGTTTGCCAACCCACCTACGTTTTGGAAAGTTGTCTTCAAGGGCTTCAAGTATGGCTTTGCAGCATTTGCGGTGGCCCTGGCTGTCGAGTACACCGTTTTTCCACCCAACAAGGGAGGACATCACTAATTCATCACCGGCGACACGTGTACACAGATAACATTGAGCATTGTACTGTACTGAAATATAACAAAACTGTCAGCAGTTCTCCATAATTGTGAAATAAAATTATAGCTTCATTTCATCGTGTATTGTGCATTATTTTCACGCTTGCCTTACCACTGTCTCGAAGTCCTGATTCAAATTGCACTTCCGGAAATCTTTTGACATGAAGCCAGGAAGGCATTTTTTTCCACAAGTAATCAATTATGCAAGTTTATATATTCTACTTTCACAAAAAGCTTTAATTTTCAACAGATGAATCAGAGATAGTTACAGAATATACATACAAGCCTAAATATCAGGTTTCCCAAACACAGTAGTGTAGTTCTTTAAAATGTAATTTTAAATTCGTTACATTTATACTCTTATTGCAAAAGAGATTGGTGAAATCAAATGAAGGGGTTTCACTAATTTAACATGACAATATAATTTTCTTGCACAAATAATTTTAATAACTGATCAAAATACCAACCTCTAGACTGTGCAGTCTAAATAATTATCTTGTATATATCAACGTTGACAAATTAGAGTATACATTGAATGCCAAAATATGTTAATTCATTTGCTAGGTTAAAACATTGACAAATCAAAAACCCAAAAGTGCTACTGATAAATAAATGCACAATAAATAAAGGTTGATGACACTTTGTTCACAAACACAACTGTTTGCCTATACAATCCAGTAAAGCATGTATATTATGCATTGCTTATAGTGTGACAACCACTGCCTGTAAACAATAAAATAAAGGAATGGATAATAGCTATACAGTGCATCAAAACATTTACATTCAGTGCATTTGTAACATAGTATTGGGATTGCATTACTCCTTGACAATTTCCTTACACATTCAAAATGATCACAATCGCTAATAGGACTTGTAATTGCGTTAAATGAATACTTTTACTTTGGGTTATATTTAAATTCTACTTTCAAACACTCACAAAAAAGAAAATTACAGTACAAAGGTGAGAATGTTTATGAAAATAATTTCGGTTTGGGAATGTTTAAGGAGTTACTTTTCTACGTTGTATGTTACAGAACAATAAAATATTGGAAACAATACCCAAATACATTATCAATATACACAACTGACTTAAGGCTTACACGTGGAAGACCAATAACGAGAACAGGTAAAATTACACTTTGTGTACCTGATCTCCACAACCGCTTCAGATGACGATTACCACACAAACTCGAAATAGACAGTGTAATTGGAATAAAGGTCATTTAACTATGGCACCTTACCAAGCCAATGCGAACGTATCTCAGCTTTCTTTCAACGTGGCAAGATCTGGCAATATACAAGCAACTATAATGATATTACAAAGAGGTAGAGGTTGAGGCTGATTGGAAATACATAACTTAACAAAAATTAAAAATTATGCACCTTAATATAACTAAAGTTGAAAAGCAAAGCCACCACTGCTAATCACGGCTAAACCACAAGATTTAGAGGTCAAGGATCCAGTAGGCTGGACACAAATGCACCATGGATTTACTCTAACACTGACGTACAATATATATTCTGTCCCATCTGGTATATCAAACCAGGTGAGTACAATGTTGTTGGTGGCAAAGCAATAATGGATGGGCGAGAGGATTGCCTCCGTTTCCATATAATAAAAACAATCTAATATTACATCAGCTAAACTATTAAACTTAAGTGATGAGATGAGCATTCAAGCTTGGTGAGCGAGCTTGTTGGTTGAGCTGGTGGCTGGGAGAGAACTCGACAAGTTCCAAACTCACATCCTGCAGGCTGCTGGAAGACAGAAGCCCCACATTCTCAGTGTTCATCTCGCTGCTTCCTTCCTGCATGTCGTCGGTAGCTCTCAGCAGTGGGTCAGAAGCATTGGCGCCACTTAAATTATGCTCACATGAATGGATGGCAGCAGATTCAGAACTCAAACTAAACTCCCTTGGCTTTAGTGTGGACATGCTGAGACTCGGGTTCACTCTCTGCGTTTCTGTATCTGCTGTCCCTGATATGCTGTCTTGCTGTAAGTAACTCGTCTCAGTAGCTGCCTCACTGGCATCTGACTTTGAGTGGGGAGAGGACCCGTGGCCTGCCAATGGAGGAAAACACTTCCTGGTTTGGCCTGCTGCTGCTGTAAGTCCTAGCAAGGGTAAATGTTCATCTTTTTCACCTAAACCTTTAAAGTGTGAAATGGAATCTGCTACTAAATCTGTAATTGCTGGCTTAGTATCATGCCGAGAGGCCAGAGGTGAATTTTTTATTTTACCCTTGCTACCCTTTTCGCCTCGGCCTACCCAGTTACTCACTATTTCTACTTTCCGTGTGCTGGATTTTTGAGCAAATGATTTGCTTGTGCTGGCTGAAGCAGAATGGCTGGAAGTTGACGCTAGTGAAGAAAATCCTTCATCAGCCTCTACAACCTGCAGACTGTCTTCTGTGGATTGCTCTTCCAGCACTGCACACACAGGACCCAAAGACAATTTAAATGCAAAATTAGGTGGACAGTTCCTTGCATGCAACTTAAAACGCAATCAAACAAAAATACATTCAGGACCCCTAATACCAATGTTATGGGGCAGTTTCATGCCATGTATCACAAAAAATTACTAATTCAAGGCATTTGCTATAGGTGACCAGTTTTTCTTTCACCAAAAATCGATGAAAACTGCCTTTCCATGACATGAACTAAACCATGCAAGTGCTAGGTCAGCCGATAAATATATGGGCACGAGTGTAAACAATGGTGATATGAAATGTTCCTGACCATCCTTCCGCCAGCGGTGACGGCGTATGGACGCGCTGGTTACGGCGCCACGAGACAGCCTGCGGAAGGTAGGCGTGACGTCCACCTGTATGCACTGCTGTCCCTGATGAATGGTTTCAGGCGTGCTGTTCTTCAGCGAGCTGCGCATTGCATTTCCCACCTTAAGACGAGTGAAAGATGAAAACAATCGTCAAATTGTGCAAATACTTTGCAATGGTGAGTGACTCATTTTGTAGTGAGGGCTCACCAGCAATGGCTCAGTATATAGCTCCAGCTGAGCTCGATACAGCACATCATCCAAGGCCTCCTGTCCCAATTCCCATTGTCCATTATATCTGCAAAACCAAAAGTCAGTGTACCCACATTATTACTCAGCATTGCATACAAGCGATGAGCAGGTGACCTTCAATGAAGCTTATGCATATTTTAAAATTACAGTCGAAAAGTGATATGCGACTGCAGTGTGACATACATAGAATAATAGACGCCTGTTAAGAGATCAACAATGAACTCTGGAGACAGTGATATCTTGGTACGGTGCTCCCGCCACCTTTTCTTTTGCCGTGGGAAGCCACTCACGCACACCCTGGACAGAAAAGTGTAAAACAAATAAGCAATCCCCCAGTCGATTCAATGTAGCTACATATATACATTATGTTCATTAAGCAGTTTAGAATTCTAATGGTGATGGTACAAACTACCAGAATAGAGAAATACATTACCGAGAACACATGTGACACAGGGCTTGGTGGGAAGACGGAGGCATGTGAGCAATGGCTGCATTGTAGCAGAGCATCAGGAAACTCAGAACCTCAAACCTGACGAAACAAACAACATTAATGGAAATTTCATAATCCCTATGCAGCACCTGCAATGCAACGTGCTTTATGACTTTGTATGTGCTCACATTTATGCATGCAGTGAACTTCACTGTGACTGCTGGTGTTTCACCTGTTCTGAGCAGTGAAAGCTTCCCTCTGTGGCAGGGGACCAGCATAAGCAACTCTCACTGCCTCTCTTCCAGACAATACAGCTTCCATCATTGCCATGGAGCCCAAACTCCCAGGCTAAAGGCAGACATAATCAACACAAGCAGCATGATAAAAAGCATGACCAAACCACTCTGTACTCTTAGGTTTTTTCGGTAAAGTCACGTAGGTAAAAAAATATGATAAAATAATAATAAATGAAAATAACTAAATTAAATCACGACGTTTCGGAGGCAACACAAGCTTCCTTCATCAGGTGTAAAAAAGGCACAGCAAAATAACTAGCGAGCGAAGCTTCAAATTTAGAATCAAACCTCTCCGGTCAGTGTTTAATACTGTTTTATACATATCTACATATTTTGTATTGCACCAGGCTCACCTCATGGTAAAGAGAAGGTTTGGCAAGTGTGGGAATGGTGAAGGCCAGCACCTTGCTGTTTCCATCAGCTTCCACAATCTCCTGAATAAGAAAGAATGAAAACAATTACATTTCATCTCTTATGAATGCAACCATCGTATCCTGTCATTGACTTAATACTTTTTTCATGGATCAATGTCGCTACACTACAATGAAATAATGTTACGAATGTGTTAACATATTGAAAAAATAGTTGCAGATAATAAAATGAATAAGTTAATAAAATATTTAAACATGCATGATACACAAATATTACACAATATACCACGTGTGGTGATACTAAACATCATACGGGAATGGCCAGCTGTTGCCATATTTTGAACTGCATGTGCATTCATACCATGCTGTGTGCACGTTGGCTTTATGAATGCATGTTGTCATGAATGCACATGCAGTTCATAAAGCCTATGTGCACACAGCATGACTCCTCACCAGGTTATAGAGGCCCAGCAGCAGGGCATCCACACAGCCGTGGCTTTGCACACGGAGGCCATAAGGCGCGCTGCCCGCCAGGTACCGGCTGATGAGCGCTGGCAAGAACTGCAGGGCAAAGTGGCGCAGGCGAGCCTCACCACTGCGCACAAACTCGAACAACTGGTGGCACACGGGCTCCAGCAGCTGTAAAACGAGAAAAATGAGATGGCAAAAGCATCACTTTTGGTTTTAATGTAGCGTTGACAGTTTGTCATTCCATTTTGTGTTTAAAATACCACTGTAAATTATTCGATTTCCTCAATTTACAAATGTTTAGCAACATCTTTAGTTTAAAAGAAATACATTTTAAAACTGAGCATCTATTTGCCCAAATGGATAAGAGGTCTATGCTCATCTCCGTCAGTGGCCAAGGGCCACTAAGGAAATTGTACAACAATTAAACATTTCTAAGTATAATTGCTATTTATGCCATGTTATTTTTAAGTTACTGAGAATTATTCAGGGTAATTTTTTTTTATTCTAAACATAGTGAGATTGATAATGCTAGCTTGAAATGTTCAAGTTTTCATTGCTGTACACAGATGACCAAGTAGAAAACATTAATCAAGTATCGTTTGATGACAGAAAGGGTAATGTAAAAAGTATTATGTCTGCGTGGTGCACTTTCTGCTCCTTCATACTTCGCTGTTTAGCGCTCCTATCACTTTGTAAAGTGCAGACACGAGAGCTGTTTTCTGATGGACTGTCACTGCATAGCTGGAGATTGAGGATTCTGGTAGAGCCTGTAGAGACACATTAGAGAGGAAGATTTCACTTCCATTACAATTCTTGGGAAAAACACCACCGAGTAAAATTTTTAACCAATAATTCCACTAAAAAAAAAAACACTTGGATAACAAGGTCAAGCAATGACAAAGCCGAAACTTACTTTCTCAATGTTTTCCCATTATGATTTTACAAACTAAGGCTGTTGATAAATGCTAAAAAGCTATAGCACTTAGAATAGTGACAGGATCTAAGAAACCTGTTTGTAAATTTCGTATAAAAAATGTGATCTGTATGTTATTTTTCATTATCAACCACAAGGGATTGCAGCAGAAAAAAAATTGGCTCCATAATTTTGAAGATTTTTTTTTACTTATCCATGAAAGCCACACAGAGTTATAGGACTCTTTTCCAAGAGTTCCTGCATTGAGTGTTTTTTATAATATGTTTTAAGCTAATCAAAGACTGTTAATACAAGTGGGAGGAAACCAGAACACCTGGAGAAACCTCACACACCAGAGGGCATAAACAGATGGAAATTAGTCCAATTGCTGTACTGCCTTCTCCTCGCGAGCCAATGTATGGGCACCTCAACACCCATAGGAAGGGAGTTTCACAACATGTGTGAGACCCACCAACCTCGTGTCCTGTGCTGGATTACAGGCGTACATATCCACCACCGCCTGGCACACCCAGGGTGAGAACAGCCTGCTTCTCTTTTTTTTCACTTCATTAACAAATGACCAGATATTTTGCAAAAATACATGGAGGCCCACATGTATGTATATTTGTACCTTGAACTCTGAAAGCCAATCTTCCACAACACCCTTGTCCATGGTTGGTACGTTTTTCCAAAAGCCCCAGGCCTATCCTGCAACAACAAAGGGCAGAGAAGATTAACAAAGAATACATGTTTGTATTTCCCTATCATATGACTGATGTGAAACCTGTCCAGCTGTGTGTGACATTCGTGTATGTGCAATCATGAATACATGGTGCACAGCACTGATTACAGGATGACATAGCATGTGTCACTGCTGACGTGTCAAATTTGGTAATCTCTCGACTTGTATGTTTTACATTGTTCAGTAAATATAAGTGCTTGTGAAATAAATATTTTGCTTTAAAGTCTGGAAACCAAAACATTTACAATGCAGAAAAATATGTTTTGGCTAAGGGCAGTAATTTGAAACTGTAAGCTAGTTTGCCCACTCAATACACAATATTCCAGATAGCTGTAAATGTCTTTTCCAGGACATGAAAAGACATACTGAAGTTTAATGAAATAGTTCGGTTTTTTATATATATGTTCCATGATTAGCAAACATTAAAATGTCAATTTATGTTTTAAAAGCCAGACAATTTTGATAAAAAACAAAAGGACATAACCGATGGTAAAATATTGTTGGACAAATTATCATGATTCTTGGTTCTTTCGGTATTTCGGTATTATTTTATTACTTCCCTTCTACGTGACTTTACCGAAAGAACCAAGAAGATGAATCCCTGCAGTCACGAAAGCTTTAAATCGAAAATTATCATGAATGCAAAGGCAGGCACAATGCTGTGTGTGCATGCTGTGTTATCTTGAAAAGGAAATATTGTTAAGGCCAGCGAGCCAAAACGTCAAGTTCTTTCTTTCCTCGCAGTGACAGGAAATCAACTGTTTATTTAATCAGATGTTATTTTTTTATGTAATTTCACGAAAGCAGCAACATTTACCTCATGCTGTTTAACCTCCAAACAACAACACAACAATTTTCCAAACTATATTTGAGTACAACGAGATGTTTATTGTGGGCACTTAAAAAAATACTACGCAAACACGAGTGCAAACAGGTGCTTTCACACACTATATTATTATTGGCCATGCTCAAGTCCATGGCTGGATGAAGGCCTCCACAAGTCGCTATCCTCTTGTGACCTCGGGGTGTAATAATCCACCTACACATCTGCATGAGATTATTTAATCTAGCTCAGAGGTCGCAAACGGGTTTTGATTCCTTACCCGTACCCGGCCGCACCAGGGTCGCAAACGGGTACCCGTACCCTACCCGATACCCGGCTACCTGTACCCGGCCGGGTACGGGTAGGGTACGGGTACCCGATTGCGACCTCCGGGATGAAGCCATGTTGCAGGCGCGGGTGGGTTGATTCTAGGAACCTGAATTGTGAGAAGAGACAAGACGTTGGGAAATGAGTGACAAACGGTTACTCACCAGTGACTCACGGCCTACCCGTACCCGTACCCGGCCGCACCAGGGTCGCAAACGGGTACCCGTACCCGGCCGGGTAGGGTACGGGTACCCGATTGGGTACGGGTACCCGATTGCAACCTCTGATCTAGCTCCCCAGTCGACACTCAGATGTGCTACATTCCTTGGCCACCACTATGTAATTATTCTTGAACGTCAGCAATCATCCTTTCAAGCGCCGTGTTATGCGTTTTAAACCTGCGTATGTTCTCTGATTCTTCTTTTTCTGTTTCTTAATTTAATTCCAAGCATGCAATTTTAAAATAATCTAAATAATTGAAATAATCTTGAAAACTCATCTTTCTAAATTGGCCTTTACACCATGCCTCGTGTTGGCCGTTTACCCTGCAGGTTCTGTTTTTTTTTTCTTCTGCTTTACATACACGGCGGTGGTGGCACATTGGTGGGATATTACAGATGCAATAATAATCATTTACAAGTGTAAACTAATATTGTCATTAAACTTGCTGCGATGGGGCAGGCGCAGGTGGTTTGCGGGGCGGGCGGGAAGGTTGACTGGCTGGGCTGTAGCCTGGCGGTTGTGTGACAGGCGGGCTGACTGGCTGGGCTGTAGCCCGGCGTTTGTAATTCCAAGCATGCAATTTTTCACGCTTCTCTGAACACTTCCAAGTTTACTAAATTTCTTCATGAATAACCATGTTTCTGATCCATGTCATTGATATAACTTATTTATTATGCAATAACTCAATTAAAGACGTAATAAAATGTAGTGAAGCTTGCCACAATGATGCAACTAAAAAAACAACATTAAATATGAATGGCAAGTATAAAAATCACACCATGAAATTACTTAACATGCTATGCATTTATTTTCAGCTGCACTTCAAACATGAGACACCACATCCAAAGAAGAGAAGCATTTCTGGATATAACACTGCATGAAGCACAACAATATTTCCCATTCATATAAATGTGAACTTTCGTGACTGCAGGAATTCATATTCTTTGGTTCTTTCGGTAAAGTCACGTAGAAAAAACTAAAAAAAAATTTAAACCTAAAACTCACGACGTTTCGATCGCACCACAAGCGGTCGTCATCAGGTGGAGAAAAAAAGGAAGTAAGCCTCTAAATGCAACTGTTTATAAAGGTTTAGCTGTAGCTCTTACTAATCCACACTGTATATATAATTGTTTTCTTCCAACTGAAGGAACACAACAATCACCTGTGCAGATGTACAGTTCCAATTACTCCAATGTCATTTATTTCAGAATGGATAAACCAACTAAATGCTGCAAGCGTTAAGCCCCTAATCCAAATACAGTACTGTCTGCCCCTACACACAGAAAAAGTGAAAGCTTTTCCAATAGGCAGCTTAATATGCACAATTAAATTAAGACTTTAGTTCATGAAAAATATAGCACCCTGTAACAAAAATTAAAGAACAAAAGTTACACTATTAAAAATGCCAATTCGTTAATCTCCAACACACCGGTGAGCTGTACTAGTAACGAATTGGCAGTTTTAAAAGTGTTCTGTTTACGTGACAAACCTTACTAATTGTCTGCGTCGAGTGGTGGCGGGTTTATTGACGTATAAATTTACACGACCCAACCCAAAAAACCTGTTTTGGAAAGTCTGGGGTGTTGGGTCTATTTAAGTTATTCAACTCCAACATTTAATACACCTGTCACACATCTATGGTACATATCATACATCAATAGTAACACATAATTTGTGTTCCATCCAAACTAAACTGTAAAAAACGTATAATGTTCTTGTGTCTTGATTAATAATACTAGTAAAACATTAATTTTACAAAACAACGCCAAACGAATCTTCTATAAATACAGTATCGATAAAATAGTGATTATCCTCCGTGGATACTGTACCCTGCCATCAGAATGTGGATTGTCCCACCACTGGCTTAGGGCCAACAAAGGAGAGGAGTACTCTGGGTGGTGGTTTGGCGAGGGAAATAATGCACTTTTCTGAGATAAAAAAAAAAATGAACAATCATAAACACAATGGGAGGTGAAACCATTATAATTTTACTGCTGAAAAACTATATTTGCATGTAGCTTGAGGGATTAAAAACAAATGTCATCCTCAGAACTTGAATACTTAGAATATCCATTTTCCTCTTGGCACCTAACAACCACGTTGTCCACCTACTGTTCAAATTACTACTATAACAGCCCAGAAATGTGTGTAACGCGCGTGACGTCACTCCACATGCCGCACCCCCCTCCCCCCCCGTCATTAATAATTAAATAATCGTGTGCAGGTGTATTTTTACAATCACGCGGAAGGTCGAGCGTAAAGATATTATTCTTCGCAAAGTCGCTTCAAATATGATGTTTCTTTACAGAAAGTGTCGGTAAAAAATGTAATATACACAGCACAGTGCTACATCTGTATGTGACGTCACTGAAAAAGAAGCCCCCCCCCCCCCGTCATTACTATCATAAGCAAGACATTTTTTTACGCAAATTCGCTTTCAATTTGACGTTTCTTTATTTAAAGTTAATCAAATAAATTATTCTACGCAGCAAAAAGTCTATTTGGTGTCTTTATTTCTTCAGCGCTTGAAACAAAAGGCAAGTCTAATTTTTGCTTCTAAATTATGATAAAATGTATACATTTATGTGATTTGTCAGACATTGTATCGAATTCAAATTGATTACAACCTCATCGAGCGAAAGCTGAAGAAAATAATGTATCAGAGCAGTGATTTTTAACTAATTGAAGGCGAGTTAAATGCAGTGCTACAGTGACATGAAGTGAGGTGTTTTATGACGTAGTTTTGTGCAAGAATCACTGCCATTAAGACAGTACAAGAGATTCACACAAAATATCATATACCAAGGTTTCATTTTTAAGTTAAGAAAAATGTATTTACGTGCAACAATTCCTAAAAGAATGTACAATCACGCAATAAAACGTAAATGTACATCTTTAATATTACATCTTCCGTCCTAGGGCGGGCAAAAGACTAATTGAAGATCAGTTAAATAAAGTGCTACTGTGACATGAAGTGAGGTGTTTTATGACATTTTGTGCAAGCATCACTGCCATTAATACAGTACTACGGTGAAATTCAGTGAAGTGTTTGATGACGTAGTTTTGTGCAAGATTCACTGCCATTAATACAGTGCTACAGTGAAATGAAGTGTCGTGTTTGATGACATTCTCTTGTGCAAGATTCACTGCCATTAAATTTACACAAGATACAATTATACTCTGCTAGATTTTTTCGTAAATATTACAGCTTCCGTCCTAGGATGGGCAAAACGCTAGTAGTGTATAGGATAAATGCCAAAACTTAATTTTGCTATGCTGTTGGTGTTAAAACTGTCAAATAGCACCTTCCAGCTACTTACCATGGACATTAAAATTTTTGAGCCAGGAATGTAAATTAATATATTTGCGAAAGTAGTTGTTGAATGTGATGTATTATCAACAATGTGCTCATCAACATAAATGAGACTGCACGGCACCCTTTACACTGAAGCCATTAGTTAAGGAGGTAGAGATACGGCTCCATTCTAATTTCCTTAAACGACAACAGCTCAGCAATACCACTACCTTGGCATTTCATCAAATGTGCTTTTCCATTATTTTTCTGATGTGCTGTCACGTACGCAAGCGGTTGTTTACTGCATATACTGTGCTTCATATTGAAAACAGTCTCCAAGTCAATATAAAGATATGTATGCCTACCACTAAGACCAATACTGTAGATATGTTATGGATTTGGCATTGTAATTCAGGTAAAAGACAATGGATCTACATCATACATAATTTGGAATAACCATCTGCAACATTACAGGTGCTGCGCTTTCCACCAGCAAGTTGAAGCTCCTTCAATAAAACACACGATATCCACAGAGGAATATCTGAAATACTAATTAAAATCAATATAGTTAATGCATACAAATTCATACTGAAAGGTATGATAACAATTAAGGTATGTACACTTAAATGTGCGTAATACTTCATTGTGTGGCCTAAGAAAGCTTAATGCAAAAACTAATGCGGCCCCTTCAATTATTACGCATTAAACTAACCATATTTAAACCACGAGGGTAAAGAAAGAATGCCGTTATAAAAAATGTAAGGCTCTTCAGAACTTACGCTTTATCATGTACCACAAGTCCTTTTGAGATAATGAGAGTAAACTAACGTATTACTCCCGTAAGATACTGACCTGGTTATAGTTATATTATGGATTTCCCGAGCACTGACCCTAACACCAATCACGTATTTCTGCTTCAGTCAATGGACAGGCCAGCATGGCATCGTTCATTCATACGAATATTGGTAAATGAGACTTTAACCTTCAGCCTCATCCGAATTCTTTCTGAAATACAACTTCATTTTTCAAAAGCCACGGGGTTTAAATAGCCAGTATTTGTAGTAAAAGTGGCGTTAGTGACAACTCTATACACAGACTTGTTGGTAAAAGCGTTGACAAGCAAGTGCTTATTACAGGCGATCACCACCACGTCAAACGAGACTGTAGTGGGACAAGCAGCTACATGCTTGTTTGCCTACCGAGGTGGTTATGTAATTCATGTTTATGGCAATCGCGGTTCATACGAATGTTTCGACTGGGTTTGCCTAAGAGTAAAGCAGGCCAGGTTCAATGCCACGTGTGCCACTTGTCTTCCTACTAAATTTCACATAAGACCCACGGACACACTGAAATCACAATGATGTCATCGGAGAAATTTCATTAATTGCTGTAATCCAGCCACTGGCGGTTAAAGACACGCACATTATACAGGCAAGAGTTATACATTGGCAAACATTTCACGTGCAGCCGCGTTATTTGACTGTTGTGGCTAAGTGCTGGTAGGGAACATCTATCAAGGCCGATGCGATGCGAGAGGGAATGGCATGGCCAGCAAGCACCACACTCGACCGCATTTGTCTTCCCAGTGCTGACGTTTACCCACAACATCAAGTCCTCATTTAAAAGCTGATCGGCGACTTAAGTGAGGTCCACGACCGGTTGTAATATCACTCGCCACAGATTCATTTCCGCGACCGCGAATGGAACTCTGGCCGCCAGGTTCGTAGCGCAGTGCGCTGACCATTGCGCCACCGCTCTCTCGCACCCCCCCCCCCCCCACCAAGACATACAATAGGATAAAACCATTAACACGTTGTTTGTGGTTCAACGGAGTTAGCGAGCACCTATTACAGTCATTCCGACACCCCCCCCCTCCTCCTCCTACACACCACGCGTGAATATTAATCACTCGGCCGCAGATTCGCCCATTTCACATCGCAACGCTTGCTCTCTTCACCGTACATTTACTCGTGCCATAGGCGACGATAACAAACGAGTGCAATAGTAATAATAACAATAATGACAGCAGCAACAATAATGGGGCGATTATGTCACAATTGCGAGTGACCCCGCTGTCCAACAGGGCCCAGTCGCCGCGGGAGCCGGGCAGCTCTCAGTCTCTCCTGTTTCCGCCACACGAACGCGTACAAAAACCGCACAGATCGCTACAAATGATAGCGCACAACAACACGGATAAACATCGCCTGATTAATGGAGGGGGGCCGCTTCTCCCGCGGCTCTCTCCTGCCTCCTCACCCGGGGCAGAGGTCGCTCGGCGCGGCAACGGAGGCAGCGTGAACCGGGGATGAGGCCGAACTCAGCTCCCCTCGTAGCTCCTCCCCCCCGTAGCTCCTCCCCCCTTCTAGCTCCTCCCCCCCGTAGCTCCTCCCCCTCGTAGCTCCTCCCCCTCCTAGCTCCTCCCCCCTCCTAGCTCCTCCCCCTCCTAGCTCCTCCCCCTCCTAGCTCCTCCCCCTCCTAGCTCCTCCCCCCTCGTAGCTCCTCCCCCCTCCTAGCTCCTCCCCCTCGTAGCTCCTCCCCCCCGTAGCTCCTCCCCCCTCGTAGCTCCTCCCCCTCCTAGCTCCTCCCCCCTCCTAGCTCCTCCCCCTCCTAGCTCCTCCCCCTCCTAGCTCCTCCCCCCTCCTAGCTCCTCCCCCTCCTAGTTCCTCCCCCCTCGTAGCTCCTCCCCCCCGTAGCTCCTCCCCCCTCGTAGCTCCTCCCCCCTCGTAGCTCCTCCCCCTCCTAGCTCCTCCCCCTCGTAGCTCCTCCCCCCTCGTAGCTCCTCCCCCTCCTAGCTCCTCCCCCCTCGTAGCTCCTCCCCCTCCTAGCTCCTCCCCCCTCGTAGCTCCTCCCCCCTCCTAGCTCTTCCCCCCTCCTAGTTCCTCCCCCTCCTAGCTCCTCCCCCCTCGTAGCTCCTCCCCCCTCGTAGCTCCTCCCCCCTCGTAGCTCCTCCCCCCTCCTAGCTCCTCCCCCTCCTAGCTCCTCCCCCTCCTAGCTCCTCCCCCCTCCTAGCTCCTCCCCCTCCTAGCTCCTCCCCCTCCTAGCTCCTCCCCCCTCGTAGCTCCTCCCCCCTCCTAGCTCCTCCCCCTCCTAGCTCCTCCCCCCCTCGTAGCTCCTCCCCACTCCTAGCTCCTCCCCCCTCGTAGCTCCTCCCCCCTCGTAGCTCCTCCCTCTCCTAGCTCCTCCCCCCTCCTAGCTCCTCCCCCCTTCCTCCTCGCCCCTCCCCCTTTCCCAACTAAGCCCCTCCCACTCTTAAGTTTTTTCGGTAAAGTCATCACGTAGGTAAAAAATAATAGAAATAATAATAGAGATAAAATAATAAATCACGACGTTTTTGGGACCGTCACAGCTAGATTTACTGTCTAGCTTTGACGGCCCCAACCTGATGACGGAGACTTGTGTTGCCTCCGAAACGTCGTGATTTATTATTTTATTTCTATTATTATTTCTATTATTTTTTTACCTACGTGACCTTACCAAAAAACCTAAGAGTATGAATCCTTGCAGTCACGAAAGCTTCAGATCTAGAATTAAGCCCCTCCCATTTACCATCAAGCCCCTCCCCCTATCTTATCCCCCATACCACCGCTGTTTAGCCTTTCCCGTTAAGCATTTGCCATAAAGTCAAAATTTATGTCTCCTGCTCAAATGACAAAAAACCCCATCTCAAACTGCACGAAACGAAACATGTATAATGAGCGGACAGCAGCCCGTCTTAATCTTCTTCTGCTCCCTTACTCCCTTCCCTCTAGGGATGGACAAACACATTGATACATCAGAAACAATTTTTGTAGGACTTTATTTGTTTACGTTGCATCAAATGAAGAATTGTGTAACAAATTTCACCTTCTTTTGCGTCTTCTGATATAACTTTTAATCGCTTAATTAATGTAACTGAGTTGAGGTCATTAGAATACGTTCATATTTTTCATTAAGAAAAAAGACAATAACAAAAAGCATGACGAACAATGTAACAGTGATCATAGGAACCGTGTTTCAAATTTAACAATAAACGATATACATAACATGTACGACTAAACTTTGCAGCCATAGCTGGCAGCATGAGTCACGCCATAACAGCAGGAGTATCAGCAGGAGTATCAAAAAATTGCAATGCACCTTTAAAGATCAGCACACTATAATCAAAACTCAAGATCATACTTTGCAGCGGTCATCCGGAGCGATGCATTTTATTTCAGGCCTCTCTGCATAGCAGTGGCAGCTAGGGGTGTACAGCTCCTCAAGGTAGTGATCCAAGTTACAGTTTATTGGCGATAGCATTCCAGACCCTGGGAGCATCAACAGCAAAGGCCCTTCCTTCAGTATTTGTACGGCAATAAGGAATGTGAAGCTGGTAAATGAGCGAGGACCTTAGGTCACATTTGTTCTTCGAAACAGTGAGAAGATCCAGTCTGCTGATTTTTTTGTAAGTACATCATGAATAAATCATATCTGATGCACAAGCCGTCGATCATTAAGAGATGTTAAGTTTGACCCAATGTAGAGATCGCAGTTCAATGCAAATCTTAAGGCCGAGGTACTCGAATCCAGAGACCGTTTCCTTCAGAGTGATCGTTAAAGGTCCCCTGAGGTAATTCGCAAAAGTAGGCCACTGTGTTCTGGCTTCTGGGTCCAAATTTGAAAATTACCTGAAAATTACTCCATTGGGATTATACACAGCAATCATGATCTTCTACTGACACGACACTTTTGCGAATGAGACTATGCTTGTCTCTTGAGGTCTCACCAAGTTAAACTAAATCAACGTAACTTTCTTTCAATATCGCATCTCTACTTCCCTCTTAGCCTATCGCCTATTCTATTCCCCCACGATCTCCCCACACACACACCTACTCCCTCCTCTCTCCCTCCAGCTCAGAGGCATGCATTTGTATGTAACGATGAATCTATGCATCAATTACAATTTATTTTTTAGGAGATATGCTCTAGCCAAGAGTAATTACTGACAAATTGCAAGATTTCCGAAAATAATGGATAAATGAAGACTGAAACATAAGTGGAGAATACATTAACATTAGAAATTTATTTTGATTCAAAGCTTTCGTGACTGCAGGGATTCATCTTCTTGGTTCTTTCAGTAAAGTCCTTGTCTTTTGTTTACGTTGGTATGTTCAGCCCAGAAGATGAACACAAAATTTAGCAGTCTTTTGAAATACGTGGTCAACCAGGTTAGTGTCTACCTGTGTTGTTGGCCGACTGGTTTGGATCACATTAGGTTCGCGTCTCCCATTTTCTGGCTGTATTTGCCTCCATGCAGTTTGCCATTCTCTGTGTGCTCGGTGTGATGTCCCTCTGTGTGTTCCCTCGCTATGTGTTTTGCCCCATTTTCACCTGATGATGAGCGCTTGTGTTGCGTTCGAAACGTCGTGATTTATTTTAATTTAATTTTATTTCTACATACGTGACTTTACCGAAAGAACCAATTAGTATTGTCAGGTAGACAGGTTCAAAATGTAATAAAATAAAGACATTTATTAGTTTTTGAACCTATCTACGTGACTTTACAGAAATACCCAAAGAATATGGATTCCTGCAGCCACGAAAGCTTTAAGTAAAAATAAATACATAAATTGCGATTTTCACTTCCGTTTATTCGGGACTCTGGGGTCCTGCCATAAGGTTCATTTGGTGAATTGCAGTTAATCTGGCTTCAAATTTAAATTTGGCACAATGCAAACTGGTCGGAGGTCGAGACGAACGACGGAGTGACAGCAAACGGGATGGAACGCGTCCGACAGGACGTATACGAAGTAGACGGTGCGATGAAATCACCTCGTGCACTAGATGGATTATCATATCGTAAGACCGTGAGAGATAAGCCTTCAAGCAGCAGTGAGTGGAACGATCACGACGGCTTGATTGATTTCCCAATGAACATTTAATCGCGGAGCGGGGGAGGGGGGCCATGTGCGCAAAACGACCAATGGCAAGGGGGGGGGGGGTCCAAATGCTATTACGTCATGAAAACATAATAATAGACGTTACCCTTTCTGGTAATAAAAGTTCAAACACCAAATAGAAACCCTTTTTGCAAGGAATCAAGTCTGCATTAACCGCACACGGTACTTGTGGCGAACACGCAAACAAAAAAAAGCATGCTCTAATAACATCGATATGTCTTCTTGGTTCTTTCGGTAAAGTCACGTAGAAGGTAAATAATAAAATAATAAAAATAAAACATAATAAAATACAATTCTCACGACGTTTCGGCCACAACGCAAGCAGCCGTCCTCAGGTGAAGAACAGGGCTGTCGGAAAGCGTCCGGACGCTGTCTTTCTCTGTTCTTCACCTGAGGACGGCTGCTTGCGTTGTGGCCGAAACGTCGTGAGAATTGTATTTTATTATGTTTTATTTTTATTATTTTATTATTTCCCTTCTACTTGACTTTACCGCAAGAACCAAGAAGACGAATCCCTGCAGTCACGAAAGCTTTAAATCGAAACATCGATATGGCATTGTCTTTGAAACTGATTGGCCTACAACCATGACGTCACAAAGCGTGCCTCGTCACTCAAAAGGCGGCCCTGATGGGGGGGAGGGGCTGCTGCGCTGTGCGCCCTCCGCTCACTGTTGTCACGCCCCCCCCACCCCACCCGGCGGGGTTGATGACGTAATACGGCCTTGGTGGTTACCGCGCGCTCGGCACGCCCCCCCTCTCTCCCTAGGTAAGATGGCCGTGGCGAGTCGCAGCTCACGCGTGCCGGGGCCTTGCCAAAGGCTGCGCGTTGTTGATGACGTAGTGCAGCCTTGACGGTGCGCGCGCCCGGCACGCCCCCCTCCTCTCCCTAGGTAAGATGGCCGTGGCGAGTCGCAGCTCGCGCCTGTGCCGGGGCCCTGCCAAAGGCTGCGCGGTGTGGGCCTTGGCGGTCAGGTCGCCTCTGAAGCATGTTGATTAGCTCCGTGGGATTTACCTGGTAATATTAATAACAAAAAAGTGTATTAGTTTAAATGCTTGGTTCTTTCGGTGAAGTCACGTAGAAGGGAAATAATGAAATAAAAAAGCAATAAAATGTTATTGTTAGATTTGTATTAGTATTTTATTATTTCCCTTCTCTACGTGACTTTACCGAAAGAACCAAGAATATTAATCGCTGCAGTCACGAAAGCTTTAAATCGAAATTTGTATTAGTTTAGTTTGTATGTGTGTGTGTGTTTATATTTAAGTGGTTTCTTTACACTTTTTATACTTTGCACCCCGATTGTGTTTTTGTTTTGTTTTAACGTTCTGACTTTTATAGCTCATCGGATACATTAATATTGTGATTTCATTACGAACGCGAGTGCGACATGACGCAGTACGGTGCTACAGCGCTGATACTATACACGTACAGACATTATTGCTGATCGATACACTGTTCGATGACGGCCTTGCTCGTCGTGCGTGGTGGTCGTGGTTGTTTGACCGCCGTATGAAGACGGGGGAATGTGATATGGAAGCATTCGTGTACAATACGACAATGTTGCTATCTCAATTTCGGAGCTTTCGTGACTGCAGGAATTATTCTTTGGTTCTTTCGGTAAAGTCACGTATATAAAGATAAAATAATAAATTAAATAATAGCATACTACGACGTTTCGATTGCAACACAAGCAATCATCATCAGGTATAAAAGATATTGCAACACAAATCTAACCAGAAAACTATAGACAGTGATGTCCGTCTGCTTGTATGTCTGTCTATAGTTTTCTGGTTAGATTTTTGTTGCTATTTCTTTTATACCTGATGATGATTGCTTGTGTTGCAATCGAAACGTCGTAGTATGCTATTATTTAATTTATTATTTTATCTTTATACGTGACTTTACCGAAAGAACCAAAGAATAAGGACAATGTTGCTGTACTGTTTGCTGCCCACAACGTGTCTCCGTAGACTATAACAGCACTTGTGCATGGTGACAGCTGTGCAAAGAAGATCTTCATAGCTCATTGGATTCCTCCAGTCTAATTAAACATTCTGACTGGTTGCTTATTCCAGCACTATCCAGGATAAATATTGTAATGTACGACTTATCTTCCAAGAATTGAGATGGTGCGTATTTCGGGTGATCTGGTTATATGATTTTCGATTATACTACAGCACTACATCTAATACAACAATACAAATACTATAAATTACGAACACGGTACGAATACAGCAATATTGATATGCATTGACAACACTCAATCATAATCCATTGATGTCGCCATCCTTCCTGGTGTTCTGATGTTTCCAGTTGCCTTTTTCTCATTTTGCGTTCTTCATAAAGTTATTTAATCACTACCTGGAGTGCATTTCCGACGGTTGTTACAACAAATCGGTTGCAGGCATCTCCACTAAATGCAAGTTCATTTTCCGCACGCTTTATGCACATTAATGTACTACAATTCTACTTTTTGAATTCACTATTAGAGGATAAAGGCATCTGATGTTGGATCTAATAGTCTCAATGGAATGGCCAACATTTAATGAAATGGTTATGTATAGATAGAGTGGTGATGGTCATGTGGCCATACATCAAGAAGGTTTGCAGCCCATCGTGTTAATTAATCAGCGTTTTCTTCTTCTAACACCATCTAGGACACTAAAGATTGAAACTTTTTCCATGCAGGATCCTTCAGGAAAACTACGAATTGAGGGTGTGTTGGGTCGATAAAGAATAAAACTATGCTACTGAAATGAAACCTGTTGACAAGGTTGTGTTTTACCATTTTATTTCATCAGTTTATATGAAAAGTAACTATTTCTTCGGTGGGCGCAATGGTTAATAATGTGCGTTTTTAAACGGAACTACGGTGTTTTATTGCACCGTTACAACCATCTAGAGCGGGGGTAGGGAACCTTTTTTCTGCCAAGGGCCATTTGGATATTTATAACATCATTCGCGGGCCATGCACAATTATCAACTTAAAAATTTGCCTGTTATATTTGGTCAAACATTTAATTAACTCGCCACTAATGTGATGGCTGGAACTGCTTCTCTTTGGCGAGGCGTGTGATGTTAGCTGGTATTGATGAATGTTGCAACTCGCAACTGCTTTTCCAGGTTTGCTCCTAGATTTATTGAATTTCGAGTCCAGCCTGCGGTTGCCTTGGCAGGGCCACACCAAATTATTTCGTGGGCCTTTCGTCCCCACCACTGACTAGAGAAATTAAATTATGCTTGTTTGCAAGATTGGTATGTTTTATTGTTTACACTCGTGGATTATACCTCATTTGAGTGCATTAAATATCTGCTAAACAATTGTGAAGATTCATGGTGAAATTGTATTTAAAAAACACCTGGGATGTTTATTTGTGCATTGATGTTTCCATCAACAACTTCCAATCATGATGAGTTCATGCAAATGGAATATAAAATGTTCGCAAAAGGCAACTCTGTGAAGTATTGTACAGTATTTGGGCAGCAAGTCAGGCCATCAATTCATAATTCACACACCCAGTGTTTACAAGTCGTGCGAGCGAAGTGGATTCAAAGTACAGTGGCGTATTCACTTACAACCAGTCGAGTGGGATGAATTATTGCCGAGCTGTATGCCCTGATATTAACGAAGTAGAGCCCATTGCCGTATACGCATATGTGGAGTGCAAGGAAGGTATTGTCCTCATGGTCGCAGGCGAACAGATGCTTGAATGTACTTTTATTGTGATACATTGTATACCCACGTCTGGTTAATATTAAAAAAAAACTAGATATAAAAGTCATGTCCTTCTTTGTGGAGATGCATTGAATATATAGCATTTGATAAAACGAGTTTTTCTCACTGCAATGTACGACGCATTTGGATGAATTCGGGTGGTGGCATCTTAGTCACCTGTGTAGGTGGACACATGGATTACATACATTTCCACTCGCGTCATACAAGTTGTGCAAATAGTAACAATTCAACAAACGGAAAAAATAGGTCTCAAATATCACAACTCAACTTTAAAAAAGAAATGAACATCAGACAAGCCCCATTGCTCATGAATGTTTCATGATACCCTACGTACTTTAAGAATTATTTGGTTCTTTCGAAGTCCTGTAGATAGAAAATAATCAAATGATAATAATAATAAAACTAAAACGTCAGTTTTTGGTTTTTATTTAAAAAATAATTTTAACTTTTTTAAAAATAAAATTTTATTTTATTACTTTCTATCTACGTGACTTTACCGAAAGAACCAAAGAATATTAATCCATGCAGTCACGAAAGTTTTAAGTACAGTACACTTTCAGAAGTTATGTGCTGTTAGCATTCATTAACAAGCCGTCACTGGTTGTGCCCGGGTGCACGGTGCGTGATTGTTTTAGCCACACGAAGTCATCGTGCAGTATCACAGAGACGTCAACACTACCGCAATGAGACACTGCAGTGTTTCTGTTTCCTGTTCGGCGACAATCCAGGACTAGACCGTTACAACACCAGCTCATGAATAATATAATTGGCCTTGTAATACACCGGTTACAGGAACATATCGAGCTCCGTGAAATCCCTTGCAAAAATTATTAGGATCTAGAAATCACCATGGCTAATGCCTTAAGTAAACAATAATAGTTGTGGCTGCGCCTCGGCGTACAACGTTAAGTGGGGCTTAACTCCGGTGGCTTTCCACGAGCCATTGTTTTAACATCCATAATCCAATGATGGGGCCCAGTTTAAGATTAACTCTTAAAACCCAATACGCCAGTGTTGTATGGCGCGCAGTGATGTGTTCGTCCCAGTAACATTAAGAACACTAGTACAATGCTTGTAGTACTGTGTGGGGAGCAGCGGATAAAAGTATTGCCCACGAGTGCCATAGTTGTAGTACAGAGTTCTATCTGCTGAGTGCGTAACGCGAGCGTGCGTGCGTCGGTAGCGCAGTTGTGTGCGGGCCAGCACAGCTCAATGTCTGCTGAACTTCGCACCGTGCGAGGCAATCTGGCACTTGTGTGTGTGCCAGCCCTGTGTAAGATGAGTGCTCAATGTCTGCTGAATTTCCTTCGCACCGTGCGAGGCAATCGGCGGTGCTGCGTGGGGGAGCGACTTCCATGCCGTCACCGCGTCGCGACTACAGTGGCGCACTGTATTAAACAGCTGAGCGAGAATGAGCGTGCCGCGCGCTGTGATTGGCTGCCCTCCTCGCCCTCTCGGCCAATGGGAGCGCGCGATGCGGCCTCTCCCCCCTCCCACTTCCCCAGCGCTGCGAGGAGGTCGCGGCACCGCTGGGGAGTTGCGCGTCCTCGGCTCTCGGCAACAGCTCCTCCGCCTTACGCCCCCCTCGCCTCTTACATCCCCCACCCCCCCTAGGCTCGGCCTCTCCTCGCGGCCCCCGTGCTAATCTTTCCGGCCTCCCCGCGCCTGCCTGCAGGCCCGGCGACGACTGTGTAAAGCGCATCGCGGCGGATCTGCTGTGACTCGACCACCACCTCGCCTGCCTACCCCTGGGGTCTCCTGGCGACGTCATCCTGACCTCCTCCTCCTCCTCTCTGACCTCCCTGCCTGGGTCGCATCGAGTCTCCTTGACCCCGTCTGGTCTGCCTTCCCAGGTTCCCCACTCGAGTGTGCAGACCCCCTCGACACTCCCCCTTGCCTGGGTTTCCACGCCGAACTCCGAACCGAGGCAGTGTCCCCCCGGGGTGTTCATTCCTTCAGCCCGCGGTGGCGAGGGAGTGGTGAAGGACTTGGGAGGAGGACTCGCTTGGATTGTGACAGGAGGAGAAAGGACAAGGAGGAGAGAGAGAGAGAGAGAGCCATGGCAGAGGCGCCCCCCGTGGGTGAGGGCCTGAGTTCGGCGGCCGCGGTGCCGCTGCCCGAGGGGGTGGACGGGCTGGCGCAGAGCCTCCAGGGCGGAGGTGGCGCCACGTGGGACCCGAGCCAGAGCAAGGACTGGGACACTGAGCCCGCTTCTTCGGCCTGCCTGCTGCGGATCAAGAGGTGCGGGGGCGCACACGGGACTCGGGGGCGCACCCACTGGGAGTACGGCTTCACGTGATATGGGGCCATCCATTTAGTACGTACGCAAAAATCTGTGAAAACTTGACCCCTCTATGTACGCACGCGTACCTTTTTACACCCCCCCCACCCACCCACCTGCGTACGTACCCCTGATGCACCCCCCAGAATCCTATAGAACGGCCGATATTTAATCCACGCAGAAACGATCAAGGATGAATAATATTAACGTGTTTAAGCAAACAGACCACCGCCAGACTATTTAACTCATTTGAAGGCTAATGTAGACATTATCGAGGCTTCACACCCCCACCACCCCCCCCCCCCCTGTTTCCTTCTGCATACATTGTCGATAGAACCCCCATACTCAAGCGTATGTATTTGGGTTAACTCCCCCCTCCCCTCCATGCGTACGCACTAAATGGATGGCCCCTAAGAGGCTGTATTTAGGCTCACTTGCTACTCAGGCTCACTGGACACATAGATCCAATAGAGTACACGCAACTCACTGGGTAAACAGATCTACAAGGGACACAGACTTAATAAGCACTACACGGGCCCGTTGACATGGGCTCACTGGGTTCACAGACTTAATTGATACACATCCAGTGAGTACACCGAGTACAGGGGCTGACTGTTCACCGACTCGGTGGGTTCACGGATTGATCAAGTACACGATTGAATACCCGAGCTCGTGAACACACCGTATCACTTTAGATGCGGTGAGCATGTGCTCCAGGCCAGGGTGGTGCTGCATGCACGTCGTGCCGTGCATTGTGCACCAATGTAGTGCATGCAGTGCATTGTAGGCGTGACTTTGTGATTAACAAACATCGATATAGAAGACACGACGGCAAGTAGATAACTGTTGTTTGATAGTTATCGCTTTGCGTGCGTTTTATATACGGGCTCTCCAGTTTCCTTCCACCTGAAAAGCCACCCAATGAGGGAACCGACCGATATAATTAATCACAAAGTTCAGGGGTGCGTTAAATAGACAGCACTCTAGAATGCGTCTGTTAAACGAGCCGCTCGCTAGCCCAGGGCACATCGTAAACAGGACCTAACGGTCTGAGCAGCCACCTCGCTGAGATTCATGTGGTCGTATCAGATTGTTTTGCAGAGGGAAGGGGTGTCATTAATTACAATTTCCGTATGAATGTTTATATTTACATACTTAATATGTTAATGTGATCCCTGCAATCCGCTTGAGGCTGCTAGAGTCATAGCTTTGTAAAAAAATAAAAATATACCGTACACTTTATACGTGAATCACATCTAAACAATATATTGCATTGTTTGGGGTGAATTTATATTTTACCTAGTACATGTAAATAACTTAAAAGAAATATTAATTTAGAACCCTTTGCCTGTGCAATTTTATTCACCATTTTATAAAGAGCTCCCTTTTGAATAAGAGCTAACTTCCCCCTCATAGTACCATTGCAGAGTGCTCAGCCCATTGAACCATACCTCCAGTACCCTCCTGAAAATGCATCTTGAGATGCAGTGTGAGACTGCTGAAAAATAACCAGCTTCGAAGCACAACTGTGCCTGGCCAGCTGATCTCTCATGATTAAACAAACCGGGTTGAGTGGTAGAATCCATTAGTCATTTTGGGTTCCCGCTACATACCTATTATTATCACCCAGGAATGTCATTAACGCTCGTGACGTCACTTCACATCGACCAGCCCCCCTAAATTATATTCATGAGCAGGTGACGTCCTCCAAATGGACCCCCCCCACCCCTCATTAATAATCATGAGCAGTTTAATACGTAGGCTTTCGCGACCAATATCATCCATAAGAGGTTTTTGGGTTAGATCACGTAAATATATAAATGTGTCGTTAAACCCGCCACCACCCACCACTGCCAACTAGTAAGGGTTGTCACGTAAACAGAACGCGCCAATTCGTCACCAGTACAGCACACCGGTGTGTTGGAGAGCCAAGCCACAACATTTACAATCCAAGTACGACGTTTCGCCAGTAATTACAACTAGCTTAATCAGATTTGTGGAGAAGTCTTACTATTTCGTTCCTTATATAGAGGCGTTGATGTGTTGACCACGCTTCTGCGCTCTTGCACAATGTGAGGGGGGGGGGATTACGGAGGTAACGTACATTATGCATGTGTATTATGCGAGCCCTTTGAACTTGTCCTTCCTGTCTATTATGTTTATTAAAATAGCTCTACCAAAAGATGTATTACCGAAGCTATCAACAGAAGGTGTGTACAGGATTAACTGCACGAGTGGTAAATGTGACGTTGGGAAAGCAGGACGAATGATCAGCACGAGACTAAAAGAACAGAAATATTAAATTCTCCCAAATACAACTATCAGCAGTAGCAGAACATGCGTGCCAACAAGGACACTCAATTGATTTTGATGTTGAAGTTTTGTGCAAAAGTAGCTACCGCCTTAGTGCTGCGTGGAAGCGAATCATCAAATAATACATTATTTCAATGTATGCCTACAAAGGGCAGCGTACTTCAATAGGGATTACCGTTGGTAGTGCTATTTTAGTTTAACACGTAGCTCGCTTTCGCGACCAATATCCATAATTGAGGTTTTTTGGTTAGCTCGTGTGTATATATATAAATGTGTCATTAAAACCCACCACCACCCGACACAGCCAACTAGTAAGGGTTGCCATAGAAACAGAACATGGCCAATTCGTCACTAGTACAGCACACCGTTGTGTTGGAGAGCCAAGCCACAACATTTACAAACTTGAGTACGACATTTCGCCAGTAATTACAACTAGTTTCATCAGGCGACAGCTTTAGGCTGCTGTGGCTTGGCTCTTCAACACACCAGTGTGCTGTACTAGTGACGAATTGGCATGTTCTGTTTACATGACAACCCTTACTCGATGGCTGTGTTGGGTGGTGGCGGGTTTTAACGACACATTTATATATTTACGCGATCTAACCCAGAAACCTCTCTTATGGAGGGCGATTTTAATAAACACAATAGACAAGAGGACAAGTTGAAAGGGCTCGCATAATGCACATGCATAATGTACGTTGTCTCAGTAATCTCCCCCCCCACACAGATTGCAAGAGCACAGAAGTGTGGTCAACACATCTACGCCTCTATATAAGGAACGAAACGGAAAGACTTCTCCACAAATCTGACTCTCGCCTGATGAAGCTAGTTGTAATTACTGGCGAAACGTCGTACTCAGATTGTAAAGTTGTGGCTTGGCTCTCCAACACACCGGTGTGCAGTACTAGTGACGAATTGGCATGTTCTGTTTACGTGACAACCCTTACTAGTTGGCTGTGTCAGGTGGTGGCAGGCTTTAATGACACATTTATATATTTATGCGATCTAACCAAAACTCTATTATGAATAATTATAAGATGACGCCCTCCAAATGGACACCCCCCCCCCCATTCATAATAATTAGCAGCTGACGTCACTCCACATGGGGGGGCCGAGGTGCCTCCTCCCCCCTCCTCGGCGTCAACTTACGACCCTCACTACAAAGGCAGAACCCTCACGTCAAGCGATCTCTGTAACGTTATTGAGACGTCACGCGATCAAAGTAAAAAGGACGTCATGATGAACAAGGGATTATAACCTTAAAATGAAATCGGTCTGTGTCACCGCGCCCTTATACATTGCACACGCATTAATGCAATTAATATCACGTCGCGGTCTGCTTTCCGTTTGCAAGTTTCAGATTTACTGTAATACACCCGGCCTTGGATGGACAAAAGGCTACTTTTCAACAATGAGGCTTTTAAGTGCCATGTTAATGCTTGACAGTACTGTTTCTGAATGTCACAAAATGTGTCAACTACCCCGCCCATCGCTGTGGTGTGTTTTTCACCCATGACTAGACTAGTATCCAAGAGCCTTTTAGTTTGGTACAATGCGGTTGACTGCTTTTTGGAAGTGTGAGAATAGACATGTGTGATCAAGTAGTACAGGAATACTGTCGTCATTAGAGATTTAGTGTACATTACCTACAACTCGAGGTTTTTCATCTTTAAAATTCAAGATGTGTTAATATTTGTTAAACGAATTGAATATTGTTCTTTAATCATGGAAGGCTCACTTGTCAATTTATTTTTGAAATTCATGCATCAATGTTTGGTAAGTTATTCTGTATTCACATTACACATAGACCGTCACCTTGAAGTGGTAAAACAAGTTAAATGAAAAGGATTGTTAACATAAGGAATGCCATAATTTGTTGGTGCGTCGGTCGTATCCTATTGCCAAGAAGTAATGTATTGTATGTCATTGTTTGGTGATTCAGTTGTAGAGTGAGATGCTTGCAATCATAAAGTCGTGAGTTCAAATTCCGGTTGGGAGTTGACTAAGCTCATTGTTTTGGGGACGTCAACTGCACGTGTCATATTGGTAGACTCATCTCTGTCAGGAGATAGATGAGCATTGCCTCAATGCTTATTTGAGAAAGAAGTCACGTTGACTTGAAATAGTTCAGCTGATGTAAAAAAATCGCCTGCGGTCGCTGGATTGTGCAGCCAGTTATGTCATGCAAGCTGCTGCAGTTTTCCGTGTGCTGCTCGATGAGTAGATAGTGGGTGTAGCTGCACCACCAGGTGGTTGGTGTCATTGAGCGAGTGAATGTACTAAACTAGCGTTCGGTGTGTGCGATGTGTATGACTTTTAGGGACATAATGAGCATATACAAGGAGCCTCCTCCCGGAATGTTTGTGGTGCCCGACCCAGAAGACATGACTAAGGTAAAATATGGCCCTGGTTATAAGTAGTGCTGCTGATTAAAACGTATGTCCTTCTTTACTTTTTCTACCAATAAGGTGGTCTTTTTAAACAACTTGAATTTTAGAATAAGCATGTATTGTACAAAATGATGACAATGACCTGCAGTATGATATATTTGGTACAATTTACAGTACTACCCAGCATGTTTAGTCTCATTGATGCTTTTCAGTCAATCTTATCAACAGAAAAAAACATTTTAAGGTCACCTTGGAAAAGTGGCCGAGGGGGTCTCTTCCAGTGGGCTGTCATCTGCTTCGAAAGTGATATTGACATTCCATTTATAATATTAACCGTGTAGTATGTTAAATTACACTTTTTTGTGCCATGGCGTTCCTTGGCACTGATGTCCTTGATGGGTAAGATATGTTTTGTTTTATGTTGGTTTACAGTGTGGAAATGTAATCCAGTCATTCAGTTGTATTTTTTGTACCCAAACTGGGTGTGGTCTTACCAGGCCCTGGAGATCTCAAACAATTTAGACAATGACCCGCCTCAATATCAACAGCAGAGAATATTATTATTATTGCTGCTGTAATGGCCCTATGGTTATTTATTACACATACAACTGTGTGTTTGTTTGTTGCAGATCCACGCGTTGATTACTGGGCCATTTGACACCCCTTACGAGGGTGGCTTTTTCCTTTTTCTGTTCCGCTGTCCACCCGACTACCCAATCAAACCCCCCCGTGTCAAGCTACTCACCACGGGCAGCAACACAGTGCGCTTTAACCCCAACTTCTACCGTAATGGCAAGGTCTGCCTGAGCATCCTCGGGTAAGTTCTGCACAAGTAACATTACTGTCCTCCAGACTTCAGAATGTTAAGCCTTGCATCATGTTACATTTGTTCACTATTTTTTCTTTTAGTAAAATAACTTGACTTGGTAATCTCATAACATGTGTTTGATGCATTGGTGGTGTCTGCCATTTGGGCAGGTTGTCTTGTATTTATGTTTATATTGCATTGACTTATAAACAAAAAGGGGACACTTTGGTTTGAGGCCTAGTTCATGCAAAATATTCTGATTCTGACATAATTTGGATTAACATAACACAGCTCGGATTTTCGTCTGAGTTAAGACATTGCCCACAGCTAACACACCGCCAATTTTACAAAGTACTTTTGGAGAAATAAATTGAGACCGATTACCTGGTTTCCTCATCATTCATGTTGGCTGTGTAAAACTCTACACTGGGCACTTGTATACTCACTGCGTGTAATAATTATTCTGTTGCTGTGCATTGTACATGTGATGTAGCGATCACAAGGTGGTACGTATCTTGATTACTATTGGTGTGCGATCTAATGCTTAGGACGTGGTCAGGTCCTGCATGGAGCCCAGCCCAGAGCATCTCATCTGTTCTGATCTCAATACAGTCGCTTATGACAGAAAACCCATACCACAACGAGCCAGGCTTTGAACAGGTGCGTGGAAACGTGCATGAGACGAAGGCATATACAAAGCATTTCATGGGGGTTTAACGTGATACGTGGGTGAAGACATTTTGTAAAATTGATTTTATTGTTACACGGGATGTCATGTCGAGTGTTAGCGCATCGTCGTTAGTGCTCTGCGCTATGAACCCAGAAAACCGAGTTAGATTCCCGGCCACAGCTAACATCAGTGGCAAGTGGTATCTTAATACGTATTGGTTACAGCAAGCAGACTGTAGTGAATATATTATTTTAAATTTCACCACTAGGTAACTAGCCCTCGACCCCCTTAAACTCACAGACCACCATATTGAAATATGGTGAAACAACCTTCATGACCAAAACACTTGAGGCCTTTATCAAGCAATCAACAACAAAGGGATTTAAATTCAAAGGGCAAAATGTATTTAAAGATGATGTGATGCTGTTTGTGTAGGAACGGCACTCGGGAGATAGCAAGCGCTACAATGAGTGCATCCAGCACGAGACTATTCGTGTGGCTGTGTGCGACATGTTGGAGGGAAGATGTCTTTGTCCCGATGCCTTACGGTAAGGTGTAAGCTGTCGATTGTCAATTACATTTTTTTTTCCTATAAAGCTTTAGATGCTTGTACAATATTTTACAGTGTCTGAAATATCTCACTGATAGCCCATCTCGATGGAAACATTTTTAAAAGCTACTGCAAGAGAAAATTATTTGAAAAGTTACAAACTCAGGCTTGCATACAATCACTAATCTTTTTGTGCTGTCGATGGATCACCGGAGAAATACTAGTTCGCGCACTAAGCCTTTCCAGTATACAATGCTGAGAATGAACCATAAATGTAATTTAAGAGTACATATCCATACATTTTCCATGCAGAACAATGTATTTACGTGTAATGATTAGACTTGGTACGGTTAAATGATTTTATATATATACACCATTTGTATACATATTATTTAATGATATTTTTTTTCTTCAGGAGTGTCATGGAAAAGTCTTTTCTTGAGTACTATGAATTTTATGAAACCGTGTGCAAAGAAAAGGTGCATACGCAAGGCCAGGCAATGCAGGTAAAGCAATTGTCATTATTTTTTACATTGATAAATGTAGTAATGCAGCTTTGTATTTACAAGTGGGGATCTAATGATGTGTGAATATTGATACCCGATCAGTGTTACCAGTTTTCATGGTATTAATACCGACACTCTTCAGCATGTGTTCTAAACAGCACGTTTGTCCAGTGATAAATGTGTCAGAATTTTTCTAAGATGTTAAAGACATGTTAACATCTTGCATGATTTTAATAGTATGGCGAGTGGAGTGCAGGACGAAGGTTAATAAAGTAGTTTACTTTGAATACACAAACTGAAAAATATAAATGTTCACGACAAAGTTAGCGGTGTATTACACAATATATACAGCTCAATTTCCAATATGCTTTGTAAATGCTCAATATGTATGTGTATCTGAAAACCGGTGTCTGTAAAGTTAGTAGGTCTTTGGGCACAATGAAAATTGAGCTGTATAAATAACTGCCCACTCCTATTTAATTCCCTCCCTTTTGTTCCCTATATTTAAGCTTACTAGTGGTGAAATTTAAAGTAATATAATCACTACAGTCTGCTTGCTGTAACCAATACGTATTAAAAGACGTGTGTGCCTGAAGTTGCTGTCGTGATGTATTTCTGTTATAAGGAATTGAAGTTGAAGCCTGGAACTGATATTTTGCTCTCAATCTGTTATCACGGTTGCTGCCCTGAATTTGCACAGGATCCTTTTGGGGAGAAGCGCGGCCACTTTGACTACCAGGGCTTGCTGGTCCGCCTCCAGGCAGTGCGGCAGCGGCTGCACATCCGGCTGGAAGAAAAGCTTTCCGATCCCGACTCGGATTCCAGCACGAGCAGCGCGGGCACAGAGAGCGAAGCTCGCAGTGCGTCCTAGCCTGGGGATTTGGGCCGCACTCGCGCCACCTGCTTCACAGGCACTTCCCCGCACCTCGAGGGTTTTTAGCTTGAAAAGCAAGGACTGGAAAACTACCGACGCTGGGCAAAGACATCTGTGATTAAAAAAGGAAAAGCATGATTTCATATAGTTTCATTATTGTTAACCTGCATTGTTGGCTTTGAAAATCGAAACTCTGGACATGTGTTAGTGTGTGCCCAGAGCAGTTGCTTTGGGACAAGTCGCGCACTGAACCAACTGCATTCCCAACTCAAGCAGCACTGAAGCTCCTACCATTCAACTCGCCGCACATTCTATTTTGGTGTTGGCATATTAAATATGCATCTCTTTACCAATCTCGCAATAAGTGCAGAAATGTTGAGGTCGGGTCCACCAATTTTAAATGTAATAGAAAATTACGTCCTACATGGAGTGTCCTGCTATGAATGTAACCTACATTATTTAATGACAATTAGATGTAATGTTTTAGCGGCACCAACAGCAAGACATGCACTAGACTTACCCTGTGTTAATGCACATACCAAGTTTGCAAGTAATCCTGTACAGCTTGGAAAGGAGCTTTAAAGGGGAAAAGTCAATGTTGTGAATCACTGAAGCAGCTTGCTCACTCTTGAAACCACTCTACATTTACACAAGGGAGCAGCCCCGTGAAGATGCCTATAATTACTGGCACTGCATACTTTTTTCTTAAGACAAAACCACAGCTTGGGTGTTGTACAAACTACAAGGTGCACTTGCAACAATTGTGGACGTTGGTTAAAATTATAATTTAAATGGTCTGTATATGCCATATTTCTTTTAGACCATAGACCACATCAATTGTATTCGTATGCAAGTCAAAGTAAACCGCTGGTAATTGTCGCACGTGTGAACACTGCTTATAAGTTGTTCATCAATTGGTGACTGAGAATTTTGGAAATTGCTGACATCTGCAGTGATCTGGTAATTTCTCCAGGTGTTTTCAGTTGCACTGATGGTAATGATTAAAATTCCTGTATTCATTGGCTTGTGCAAGGCTGTTAAGTTTTGCAGAGCAAACTTGTACAGCTGGGAGGAAGGTCAATGCAAATATTGTAAATATTGTATTTCTTGTTTAGTCTTGAAAACCACAAATTATGAACCAAATGTATGCATGTTTCAAACCTTTGAAGCTCCCTTAAATGCAAGTTTAAGAAATGGAGACTGGCTTCCTGATTATTTTTCTTGTGTGTAATTTTTTAATCGCAAAACATTTAGAACTGCTTCATGTGCAAATTCCACTCAGTTAACATGCCATTTTCACAAATCAATGTCATGGGCTGTTACTATAAAAGATTTGCAGTTTGGAAGAATAGTTTTTTTACAGTATTGTTATTTAGTAATGGAAAATGATCAACGTTTTGAAGGAATGTAATTGTTTCCCCGAAATACACGTGGATACATTTAGGGTGATCATTTTAAGTACTCTTGTGAATTTACACGATCGCACCCAAGAACCTCTTATGGATCAAAATAAAGAGAAGCTTAAATGCTCCTTAAGTGGCAGCTTTCACAGATTCTGAATGATAGTAAAATGTATTATCAATGGAAGCATCAGGGCCACGTGTTTCCTAAACCTTAATTTTCACTTATTCCTGGATCCACAATAATGGAAATATATTATGGTGCATGCGTGTTGGGTGGGAGCTGCATGGGCAGGACCAGAGGTAAAAACATTGGCTTTAAAAAAGTTTACTGTGCAGTTGCATTTTGGAATTCACATTTAAGGTTTAGTGGAAATGTAAATAAAGCAGTCCAATGCAAAAATGTACAAAACCCTTTACGAACTGGTACAGACAATCCCCCCACACTAAGCAATGAACTTGTCGGGGTAATCCTTTAGCCCTACTGTTGGCACTTAGCTCTTATTTGGTAACCACATTTGGACACTCGTCAACACAAAGCCTGACTGCTGTGAAATAATTCTACAGGAACGATCAAGTTTAATGTTAACAAATGAGTGTTGTATCTTCAGGATTACATAATCAGAGCTTTAAAACAGACCATAGCAGGGAACTTAACAGCAAGATGTGTACTCATACATTGGTCATAATTATGACCCAGCCTTTATCCATCAGTCAAGGAGACAGCTGACAAAAACAATCCTCCATGAACTTGGGAGTGTAAAATTAAAAAGTGTTCTCCGTGAAATACAAAGCTCGTGTCAAAATGATATCCATTTGGAGATAACAGCTGCCTTTATTCACTCACAGTTCCATAAAGGACACATTTGCAAGAATGAACTGCGCTACGAGCTGGCTTCGTCGGGACTGATGTCCTGGCTGTACAGGTCGGTGAAGAGAGCAGGGAACCAGTACTGCGCTCCCCCGAGTGCCTGCTGGTCTATCCAGGCCAGTCCTTCCCTCAGCAAGTGAGCCTGTGCAACATTGATGTTCGGTTAGCACAAGAACACAATGTTTGAGCTGTGGAAAAACCCAAAAAATGACAGTGTAGATGCTGACAATGGTGAACGTTCAGCCAACAGTTCTTGAAGCAAGTGACCCTTGCCAATATATATTTTTGTCTATAAATTACAATGAAACAGCATTAGCACTGCTACCTTTTAAATTAAACTCGCATGAACAAAAGGCAGGCACTTACCAACACGTGGTTTGTACGCTCCGTTTCCCACTTCAGAGAAGATTTTATTTCCTCAACGCTCACATAGCCATTTTTCTGTTATTCGGGTAAAAGCAAAAACAGACATTAACTTGAGCAAAAAAAAAAACAATCAGGGCACTCGTGTGCGACATGTGTGCTGACCTCAGCGATTTGCAGCACTGTGGTGTGGTCCATGTTGAGCTCGGCAGGAACAGACTGCACCAGGTAGGTTCCACCCATGGGGATCATGCAGAAGCCATTGCCCAGCACCTTGAGCTTCTTTATGGCTCGGATTAGGTCATCTCTGTAAACATTGGCATGGGAAGTAGAATAAAGCTACAACAAGAAAGTCTGAAAGGGTAAAATTCAGATTTTCATACAATATTTAATTCGTTTCATTTACTTAACCAGGAATGAAATAAGATGGTGAGATATACAAAACTGAAAGTTTTATATTAAAATATATAATTTTATTCTATGCAAAGACACATGCTTGACTTTTGCAAATTTTTTGCTTGCGATGCCTAATTTGTATTTAAAATGCAACAGTAAAATGTGAGGGTTACAGCAAGTACTCTTTAACAGCAGCAAATGCATGTCTTTAGATGGGTGGGCTGTCGGGCCATAGGTCATTGAGAGGGGTTTGAGCACTCACTGACTAAGCTCCTGGCCGTACTTGCCCCTGCTCTTCAGCACATGATTGTGTAGCTCCTCCAGCATCATCAGCCCTAGGAAAACAACCATTTACATTTTAAGTTAAGTTTTGTTCATGTTTTATTCATAAGTTAAATGATACACTGGCCAGAGCTGGAGCCAAAACAGAACAGTAATATATATTTAATGAGCCATTGGTCAAATTAAAGCTTATGCATGAACGAAGAAGGATCAGAATGGGACATCCGATGGGAGAGCAAAGAAAGTTGCAGTACAGACTATAACTGAAGAAAAATTACCAATCCGCTACCAAACTCAAAACTGGCAAAACAACATTTTACTCCAATAACACTAAACAGTAGACAGTTGTTGTATACTAACCCTTCTTCCAAAATTGAGATTAATAATATTTGATGATTTTTATATATTATCTTTTTACTTGTTTTTTTTTAAACACACCAAAGCGCAGCAAACTGCAAAACACCAGGTGTTGTTAAGTGATGAACTGGAGGAGGGCTAGGATGGCAGAATTTGCAACCTTGCTTCAAGGGAAGATAAGGCCTGATGAACGGGCACATGTCACCCGTGCAGGCGGCAGAGACAGTGGGAGTGTCAGCCAGACATAGTTAAGGCAAAAAGCCCAACCATCCTGCATGGTTTTAAAGTAACGTCAAAATTCGAAATTCAACAACAGAGTAGGCTAAAGTATCGATCCTCGCGCTCGCTCAAATTGGAGACCAGGCTGCGAGCTACATCAATGAACCATTGCCATTTGCTAATCCAATACTGAATGTTAATATTACTGAAGTCAAAACGAATTCTATGACCTCAGCACATGGGCAAATAATAGGGCAGTGTCGACTCAAAGGCAATGGAAGAAACAGAGGCGCCTTTGTCTAAATCACAACCACAGAAAGCCAGGAATCATCACTGATTGTGTGTTTAGGGATTCCGAGCTAGTTGGAACACGTGCACACAGGGGGGGGGGGGGGGGTAGAAGTACGCCTTGTCCTCCTGCAGCTGAGGGAACGAAAATAAGTGGGTCAGCTCAAGGCTGTGTGCACAGGGGAGGGAGCTGATTTAAACAACCCTGCACGTCTGAACGTGAGGGGGCCTTTGACCTGAAATTAAGAATAACACTCCCAGAGCAGAAGGTTGGATGACCACAGTGAGACGAGAATAAGAGTGGTGTATATCTCTCAAGGAGGCAGACCCAGCTGAACAACAAGGCTGCGGGGGTCACCAGAAGTTCGCGTTCGCCTAGTTAAGACAAAAAGCTCAATTATTCTGTATTGCTATTAAAGTAACGTTAAAGTCGGAATTTAACAACAGGGTAGGCTAAAGTTTGATATTCACACCCACTCCAATTAAACCAGGTCACAAGTTACGCCTACTGAACCATCACCATCATTAAGTCAATATGAAATGTTATTTCCATACTTTAATACTTTCTATACAACTCGACCCGAAGCATATGACAATCAGAACCTTCCTAAGTTAAAATTGAATCGCACCCAGACAGGAGCGAATAGTCGATATAAGGTTGAAGAGGGAAGGAAATTAAGAGCACGGCGAACTGCAAACGTAAGCAAAAAGCCGGGAACGACCAGCCCAGCAACAGCGAGTCGGGCTTCGACAGGCCATAAAAAGTAGAAATAATAACTCCCGGGGTCAGGGGACACAAGAAGAAGCAGGCAGACAAAAACCAGAACTGACTCCAAGGTTCAACCGCCCTCACACACAAGGAGTGACGGAAATTAATGAGGCCTTGAGTTAACGGCGTCAGCTAGGACAGCAACAACCACGGCGAGCAGAGATAGGGTGGGGCAAAGACTGCGGGGCTATGGAATGCAACTTCGTGTCAGTAAAGCCCTGACAAACAAGTTAAGTTAAAGACATCACAATACATAATATCGTACATAACATCAATGTTAACGCTATTCACCGTAAACTATATTCCGCTTATATAACCATGCAGACACCAAGGAATACGAATTCCTAGGATCAAGAAACTTACCCCTTAACCTAAGATATCGGAAATAAATTAATAGTACTAAGCATATGCATGAAAAGACAAAAGTAAAACTTATGGAAAAGCCAGGATAACGGGATGAATCACCACCAGGTCGAATATAAATACATAATAAAAAAAAACGATGTTAAACCCAGGGTCGGAGAGAAAGGGAGATCCCGGCCGTCTTTGTATCCCCGCAGCGCGGGATAGGAGTGTGTATACGCTCGGGGAAACACCTCCACTTGAGTCAAGCACCACGATGGGAAACGACAGACCTTAGGTTACATACAGAATCATAACTGTGAAATAGTAAGGGACAAATGTTAACTTAAAACTTCTTAACCATTTCTTTGTGCGCCGGGTCGGAGAGAGTGTTGCCCCTCCCTCCAGGTTGTGCAACACGAACAAAGACGCCTATGAGACGATTTGTAACGTCTGTGTTTTGGGTTCATGAAGAAGGCCAGACAAGAGATAATATTGCACCCAGACAGAGAGACGACTTCGAGGCAATTTGTAACATCTGATTATTTGCTCGTGGGTTTTATGGAGGGAGGGTGACAACGGAAGATACCGTGAGTGATGCACACAAGGACATACGGACGTACGGACACACACATGGACACACCTGCCTACGGACAGATCCTGACACAGCAAAAATCGAAAGAAGCCCCGCCTTGTGGGCGGGATCCAGGGGGATTTTTCGGCATAAAGGAAAGGATCCTGAGCATTGGAAATTAGTGCGACCAGCGGGTCGGCTCACGTGGGGAGTGCGACCAGCGGGTCGGCTCAGGAGCGAGCTCGACCGGGAGGGTCGACTCAGGAGCGAGCTGCGACCAGCGGGTCGGCTCGACTCATCTTCAGCTCGTCTGGGACTCAGCCGAGTTCGATCGGCTTACCAAAGCCGGCTCTCGGGGCTCGACTCAAGCGGCTCCCCATCTCCTCTGCAGGCGGGCAAGACCCGCTTGACAGCTCAACTCGGCCTGCGTGGGTCAACCTCTGCCGAGTCGGAGGTCTCTGCTGCCGCCGGAGTGGTGAGGGTCGCGGGTTTGGCGACGAGGCTCCGTGCACACGACGACCCCACCACTGCACGCTGCGAGCGAGTTGTGGGCGCCACCTACCGACCGGGTTCCGAACTGCGACAGCGTATCAACGGGCATCCGAACCAGTTCCCCACGGTGACAGGGGAGCGACTGATACGTATGACGCGCACCGCCCCCTCACCACACGACCACCAGGCGTCTGTTTGACATAAAGAATCGACTCCGAACACTGACTATTCAAGACAACTCTTACCACTCAAACACACTCGAACCCATAAGCCATCCGTGGCTGGGAAGGCATCACAACGAGACCGAGTGATGGCCATCCGTCGTTTATAAAAGTATTCGTAATTTTTATCTTTAATATTTAGTGGGCTGTACTCTTAATCGCATAAATTCCCAACAGATCCATCAATACGAACTGATTTTTGGCACCTCCTTCCGCCGAGCCACGCTCACGTGGGGAGTGGTGGCCCACCGGATCCTTATCAGGTGATCTGGTCCCCAATTAGTAAACTTGGTATAAGATAACGATCTTCGGAAAAGGAGCACCGTCGCAGGCCCTTACTCCGAGCCGTTCTGTTGTCAGATAACCTGCCGATGTATCTGTTGAGATTGGTGCCTTTAAGAATAATAACTGTTTTTGATTGTGTTTTTTTTTTTTCGCCGTATAATCTTTCAAGTATCTTTCAGTCATAATCGCCGCACGTACTCGCATCCTCTACAGAATATTCAACTGTCCCGTGACCCAAGGTGCTAACAACGTGATAAGGGTTGCGTATGATCAATAAGGAGTGCGGTACTGCGTGAACAAAATTGAGTATAATCATTCATTAACGTTAAGGTTTTCTTAGCATAGTATTTGCATATTTTAACGACTCTCTCTCTCACTAACAACCATCGCGTTATGCGGGATCCATGTGCCGTTGTCAAAGTGAAATCAGACAATCGTTGATGATACTGTATTGATGCCGTGTTGACGTTCCGGGATTGAGAGTTCGCATACTATATCATAGTTAAGGTTGAATTAGTAATAAATTGATCAATACAGAAGTGGTTGTGTGATTCTTTCCTGAAATCTATGCATAAGATCTGCTTCTGCGTTGAGATCTGAACTTGGTGACCTTAATAAACACACTAATACATACTCAGTAAATGTTAAAGCGATAACGGGGTGAACCGGGGACCTAAAATATAACCACGAATACACACTCTGGGAATGTTAAAGCGAGAATGAGACGAACCTAGACAACGATGCCGAGTTAATCTAAGTTAATCTTGCATACGTACACTACACCTGCATAACTGCATACGATTAATTGCCTTATTCCGATCGATAACCCACCCTCATCACCGAGGCGGGGTCTGGTTATCATAACGACTTGCATTATCATAATTACACCCACTCGCATAATTAATACGATTACCTCTCGAATTGGCATAATTAAAATGTGCATAATTACATAAATTAACATATTTCCGGATAATTACACATTTGGCCAAATTTCATTTAATTATTATTATTTTCACTGAATATTCATAACCCACATATACAACATAATAATTTCACCCACGCACGCATACAACATAACAAATTTTGATAACCAACATATACAACACAGTCAAACATGATAAACCCAGTACATCAAATACTAACCCCTGGCCAACCTTTCTTAGACTACAGGCTCTTCCGATAATCACCTCAGCAATCACACACTTGATTAATCTTTCATTTTCCACTGGAAAGATTCGAAGCACATCTAAAGAATCAAACTAACCACTTATAATTAAACCATCACTAGCCATCAATGACTCGAACAGCTCCAGATCCATAACTCATTTACCCATCATATTGAACAAATACTGGAAAAACTTTTCTCTAAACAGCGTTTCCATCAAAACAATGCTAATAACCTAAATCCGAACCAATCAGGTTTTCAAACCAACTATCACATTCCTTATGTGGTGACGGCGATGGGAAAATGGTGGTGGGGAAATTAATTTAAGAATTATGAATGTGTTTTTAAATTGATTTTTTTAAATGCAATTTATGCTTTCTAAAAATGGTGTTCAATTATTTTGTGTTCCATGTAATGGAACCTTGAACAGCAGTGCTATGTAAGAGCACTGCTGTCCAACGTAAATGTTATGTTGATTACGTTTGTTTACCCAGAGCCTCACTGCCTCTCATTACACTTAACAGGAGGGGGGTCCTGACAAGTTTTTTCAGAAGGGTGCCATGATTGCGATGTAGACTCAAAAGGAGTAATTTTCAGCAATTTTTTCAAATGGAACAAATGTGGACCATGATGCCAGCACACAATGGCTTACTCTTGTAATCACTTCATGGGATCTTTAACGTTTATTGTGAAGCAGATGATGCATAATGTATGGTTAACATACCTGCAGTATTAATCAGGGCGAATGCTGAAATAGAACTGAGAACCTCTGCAACATGCAGTGAATGCACTACCAGTGGGCTATATCACCGCCTAAAAGTATAACGCAGTGTTCCGGTAAAATTGAACAGAGGCAGAGTAAGGTTGACTAGAGATTACAGTATCCAGATAATGCAGTGATAGGAGATATTTGTAAAGTTTTTGAAAATAAACATGGAGAATCATCCGATATTGTTCGTGCACCAACCCCAACACCCAATGCACTGCACAGTACCGTATTTTCCCGCATATAACCCGCGGGGTTTCCTACTTTTTACAAACAAAACAAGACTCTGCGGGGTATATGGAGGTGTGGGGTACATGGAGGTGCGGGCAATCCCAAAAGTATTTTACACGTGTGACATGTCATAACTCGTTTAATGTTTTCATGGTAAGACTATCCACACTATGCAACACTTACCTTTGACTAAAGCACTGCTGAATAAACCACTCACACTAAAATTGCACTTATGTTTTAAATTATTCGAATTGTTTGTACAATGAATGAAACGACAATGTTTGAAGTGGGCGCACTTTGTTTACCGTAATACTTTCAGTGGTTGTAGGGGGGTGCGAAAGCTTCAGCTGAGGGCCTTAACAAGCCTCTACCAGACACGGAATCATAATTGCTGAGTCCCTTAGGCCGCTGCTATTAGCTGAGCACTATACAGTCGCGACCATGAGCTTTGTTTCAAACTTCCAATGGCTTTGTTGCCAGGAGGCAATGGCGTTACCGTAGTGCCGCTATTGTCTGCGCAGTGCGCAATCTACCAGTGCTAAAACTGTACAGGGGTAACTACCAGTCCAGTAGCTGTAATATGATGAGGTGAAATGCTGGTAAGCCTAAAAGTTTGCTTACTTATCTACCAGTTATGTGTTACTTATTTATTGGATATTTACTTTTGTTATTTATTTACTGTTTTAAGTTCACTCGTTTCCGGTTAGTTCGTTTTCTTTGTGCACGTTATGATTTTAATGTTAACAATTGATAGTGGAATGTATTACAAATGTAAACTTTGTATTAATATGATGGAATTAAGCTGCGGTAACGATGTTAAAGATATGAATGCATGCGGGGTATATGGAGGTGCGGGCTATCTGAAATTTGTTTTACACAAAACGCTATTTTGTGGGGTATATGCGTCTGCGGGTTATATTCGTATACGGGCTATATGCGGGAAAATACGGTAAATTTAAATTGGTTCATTCAAATGTGTGACAATTAACATAAGGGCTAAATTATTTTTTCTATGTTTTCTAAAGTTGCAGTGTTAACTCTTCGGGAAGAAAAATGGCAGGATTTTGTGCAGAGCTGAATATGAAGCTAATATTTCTAGATTTGAAGCTTTCGTGACTGCAAGGATTCATATTCTTAGGTTTTTTCGGTAAAGTCACGTAGGTAAAACATCAAAATTAATAAAAATAAAATAAAATAAAGATCACGACGTTTCGGAGGCAACACAAGTCTCCGTCATCAGGTGGGACCGTCACAGCCAGATTAGCTGCATCAAGTGAGGCAATGATTCAAGATGTAATCCCTTAAAAGCGAGTTGAGGGGGGAGGAGAGGGGGGGGGAGAGCTCATCAGAATGTGGCAGCCAATGAATGGCACGTATCGATGATGACGGAGACTTGTGTTGCCTTCGTAACGTCGTGATCTTTATTTTATTTTTATTAATTTTGATGTTTTACCTACGTGACTTTACTGAAAAAAACCTAAGAATATGAAGCTAATATTCGGTGGACCCCTGTTGTTAAAGTGCTAGTCGTAAATGCTTCCCAATATTTAACTGGGAAAACTCACCTCCATTTCGGTGACGAAGGGCAAGGCAGACCTCCACGATCTGCACACCCAGCTCATAGTAAAAATCTCCCACTCCGAGCATCTCCGACCAGAACCCCTTCCCAGCTGCAGATGATAAGGCACATTTGTTATTCGTGCATGCGGAAATGTGGCCACTCATGTTATGATGCATGGAAACACATGAGCACATTAAGTCCACAGTGAATTACAAAGTTAACATGTGGCACAGGGAAGTAATCTCTTTATGTTTTTACCCATAATGTTCCACAAGAAAGCATTATTTTGTACACAATATTGATTTTTTTTCGTTGAACAAGGCCACAATTTAAAGTGCTCAAGCCAATACTATCTGGTAACCCCACAGTATTTACTACTATAATGAGCCAAGAATGTCCGTGTCCCGCGAGCGACATCACTCCACGTCGGCCAGCCCCCGTCATTAATACTCATGAGCAGGTGACGTCCTCCACATGGACCCCCCGCCTCATTAATAATCATGAGCGGGTGCCGTCACTCCACATGTAGCACCCCCCCCCTCAATAATTATATAATCATAAGCAGGTGACGTTACTCCACATCGAACAGCCCCCCACATTAATAATTATGAAGAGGTGAGTCTTCCAAATGGACACCCCCGCCATTAATATTAATTAGTGGCTGACATCACTCCCCTCCTCAGCGTCAACTTACAACCCTCACTACAAAGGCAGAACCCTCACGTCAAGCGATCTCCGTAACGTTATTGAGACATAGAAGTAAAAAGGACGTCATGATGAACAAGGGATTATAACCTTCAAATTAAATAAGTCTGTGTCACCGCGCCCTTACAAATTGCACACGCATTGATGCAATGGATATCACGTCGCGGTCTGCTTTTCGCTTGCAAGTTTCAGATTTACAGAAATACACCCGTCCTTGGACGGGCAAAAGGCTAGTGTGTTTAATAAGCACTACGATGATTATGAAACCTAGAAGATCAAACCGGTTTAATGTTTTCTTGCTTAAATAAATGTGGCTGGGTAATATTATTCATATGTGGAGGAAACAATGGATTTCTCCTTATAAAAATAAATAGATGTTCTTCATTGGCCATACAAAATCCAAGAGCATGTGATGGTATGACTGTGGGTACGAACATGCAAGAGGATCAACGCCAATGGTGGCACACATGTCCTGGAACTGCACTCTGAATTGTGGGTTGCGGCGGATCTCCTGCTTATGTTTGCTGGCAAACTCCTCCAGGTTGGTCCTAAAAGTCTCCAGCTGCTTGGACATCTGATGGGAAAGCCACACATTTGCAATGGTAAGATGAATCACATTTTTTACACATTTACATGACAACAACCTTATTTACACAGTTGCACATTATTTTTTGGTGGACAGTACAACATCACATACCCAACTTGTTAGGGACTGAGGTGTAGCCATATGTTTGAAAAGTTGGATGTGTGAACAATTAGGGGAACTAAGTTAAACCACATACAATTACTACATTGGGTGTGCAAAGTTAAGTGGAAAGTTAATTGGTCAGTGGGGATATGTGACAGTATATTTTACTTTACTTTATTACAATGAAACATAATATTTGTTATATGTGTAGACATTTATAATAAAGTAATAGTTAATATTGGAATATGAAATGAAAGATGAAACCTGTGAGAGCTGATCTTCGGCCATGACATTCCCCCTTTCCTTATATCTTGCCTGTAGAGAACATAAATTGATGCTTTTATTGAATTTTTATACATTCACCTTACATATCACAAGAAATGAGTGACTTGTCGTAATTGCACTTACCATGATAAATATATTACACAAAACATGTTGTGACATCTACCAATTAACATGCACTAAGCATAATGCGGTGATATGTCAACTATTTTACACGCATTATTTTAACTTACTGTTCTTGTCATTGTATCCTCAAATATTGTAACTCAATTTTAACCCACTTCCCAATGTGGTATCGACTGTCATACTGATGACAATACTATATTCTATCATAAAAATATCTATTTTTAAACATTATTTTTTACATGTTATGTTTCGGCGTGGGTCTAATTGTCCACGCTCAACTAATGTAAATTACCACGGTCCCTGTCATTATGGCAAGCTTCGGGGCCACTTCCTGGAGTCGTGGAGTTCTGCTATTACTAGTACATTTCATAAAAGCGCGTTTAAAAATAAAGTAGTTTTTTTAATATTACTTATTTAACCTCACGTTAGCACTTCAATGTGATAAACTCTACACTTAAAAGGAAACTTTTAATGTTTAATATGCATTTGCTGTGAGCAGTGGGCAGCCTAAACACATCACCTCGGCCAGCTTTTTCTTGGCAATGGCTCCAGCTCCAACTCCTCTCCGATGCATTGTCACTGGTCAATGTCTGCACAAAGCACACACCATCAGCATGCAATTTCAAATGATTTCCATCAGAGGCGGGCCGTCAGGGCCAGTAAGGCCTTCTCTGCTGGCCTAGAGATTGTCAGAATCAGAAAATAATAGTTTTATTTCATATATATTTTCATTAATTCTATATGCATTTTACAAAGTTCGTTCCCATCAGTTTATTAAGGTGATTTCATTGCTACTCTCTCCCTCAGTTGCGCTGCTTTCAGTGCAGCTAATACATTAGAGCTTTTATTCAATCAGATTTTCCACCTATGCTGTCTCCGCCTCTCCGGGTGAAAAACTACACCGAGGCCTTCAGAATGTCGAGTGAATCCCCTCTCTGCTGTTGAAGCAAATGGGGACGATGTTGTCATATTCTTTAATCAATAAGATTTCGAGTTTGCCATGTTGGGCGTATTCTTTGACATGCCGGAGCCTTCTAGCTGGCCTTGCGCCGACGCATTATCGTGTGGCTTGATTGGAGGGCCAATTAGCTAACTGAAGTAAAACTATCTAGCACGCAACGTAGCATCATCTAACATTTAAACTTTCTTTTGTGACGTTTAGATTTTTAAATGTAGTGCTTTCGATTTTTTTTGTGGGGAAGCCTGTTGAATCCTGATTGTGTTATTTGTGTTTTACGGCATTTTTGCTTGCTTGGTGGTCGTACGACTAAATGTGACTAATTTTGAGTTTGTTCTTGTTTCTTTGGTAATGACATTTATTTGGGCAATGTGATGTCAATTTGTGATGCAGCATCCTGTCATCCTGCGTAATAGCGGTACATCCTTGATGGTTTCAGTCACCATGTATTCATGTCTCTGCAATTTGTGGATTGTAACTCTCATTGGTGTTGAGCCTCGTGTTAAATCACTTTATTCCACTCGATAAAGGTTACTGTCACGGTGAATATGGGGTGGTTACGTCGAATGACAATAGCCTATGGCCCTAGTGTCATGGTGAGGTTATTCGAAGGCGGTTTAATTGCGGGAGAATAGCACTGAAGGCTTCGGTGTAAAATACACGTCCCGTCACTGATTTCCATGCATCACCAATGCCATAAAGGCATATGAGGCAGAGTGCGGACGTCACATAAATTCTGAATGCCACATGTATGTTAAATCAAGACCAAACTGGAATAATCATCATCCGTGATCTATAAACTGCTGGATGAAGCCCTCCCCCTGTGCCGATCCATCATGGTCCTGCAAAGCCACAATCCAATGCCCTCCTGTGCATGAGCCAGAGACGTCATCACTCTCTCCTCGTTGGTCTTAGGTCTAATTTCAGCCTGCAAGGAGGGACATGAAGATACATAACACATTATTTTTAAAGGATGCAAGAACATGAACGTCGAAGAGCTCAAACGGAGACAAATGACATTATCTCGATCTTTCTTAACATCCTCAGATTGCCAAGGATGTCTGTCCTCAACATATTAAATACAGGAAGTCATCACAGTCTGGTTACAGTACAGTATATGCAAGTTACACTTTAGCATTGCCAGTCTTAACATCACGAATACCACCACCACCACCACTTACAATGATCCCCCGTGTAGTCCTGACTATTGGGGAAAGTGCTGTTAGTGAGTAGCAGCGCCTATGAAGACCCACGAACACCACCATCACACTCACCTCCAGTACTCACATCATCACCACCATCATCATCATCACTAATACGAGTACATCACCACTTACGTTCCCACTCGCTCCACCACTACCATCAGCACTCACATACAATGCTAACATTACCACTACTTTACATCACCAATAACATCACCACTCACTCCATCACTAGCAATACCAATCACCACCACTGACCACTCAGCTCCACCACCAAAACCAACGCCTGGCCACCATTAGCAAATACAAAGATCCCCCGTATAGCCTTGGCAGACTGTAGGAGCAAGTGCTGTTAGAGAGCACCTATGAAGGCCGGCACGGCACACTAGGGGGTAAGGTGGCCATCACCACGTTACCAACACCACCTTCACCATACCACCATCACCACCAACACCACACTACCATCACCATCACCACACTACCAACACCGCCATAACCACACTACCAACACCACCATCACCACACCCCCATCACCACACTACCAATACCACCATCACCACCCCCCCATCATCACCATCACCACACTACCAACACCACCATCACCAACCCCCATCATCACCATCACCACACTACCAACACCACCACACTACCAACACCACCATCACCACCCCCCCATCATCACCATCACCACAGTACCAACACCACCACACTACCAACACCACCACACTAGCAACACCACCATCAGCACACCCCCATCATCACCACACTACCAACACCATCATCACCACACCCCCATCATCACCATCACCACACTACCAACACCACCACACTAGCAACACCACCATCACCACACCCCCATCATCACCACACCACCAACACCACTACACTACCAACACCATCATCACCACACCCCCATCATCACCACACTACCAACACCACCATCACCATATTACCAACGCCACCATCACCACACCCCCATCACCATAACCACCATCACCAAACCCCCATCACACCACCATCACCACACCCCCATCACCACACCACCATCACCACACCCCCATCACACCACCATCACCACACCACCATCACCACACCACCATCACCACACCCCCATCACACCACCATCACCACACCACCATCACCACACCCCCATCACACCACCATCACCACACCCCCATCACCACACCATCACCACACCACCATCACCACACCACCATCACCACACCCCCATCACACCACCATCACCACACCACCATCACCACACCCCCATCACACCACCCTCACCACACCCCCATCACCACACCATCACCACACCACCATCACCACACCCCCATCACACCACCATCACCACACCCCCATCACACCACCATCACCACACCACCATCCCCACACCCCCATCACACCACCATCACCACACCACCATCACCACCCCACCAACACCACCACACTACCAACACCACCATCACCACACCCCCATCATCACCACACTACCAACACCACCATCACCACACCCCCATCATCACCACACCACCAACACCACCACACTACCAACACCACCATCACCACACCCCCATCATCACCACACTACCAACACCACCATCACCACACCCCCATCATCACCACACTACCAACACCACCATCACCACACCCCCATCATCACCACACTACCAACACCACCATCACCACACCCCCATCATCACCACACTACCAACACCACCACGCTACCAACACCATCATCACCACAACACCAACACCACCACACTACCAACACCACCATCACCACACCCCCATCATCGCCATCACCAATCCACCAACACCACCACACTACCAACACCATCATCACCACACTACCATCACCACACCCCCATCACCATAACCACCATCGCCACCACTCACCCCACAACCCCTGAGTGCGTGCTTCCTCCCTCCTCCTGTCTCCGCGGTGTTCTCCCTGCGTCCACTCGTGGACATGAACGAAGCTGGCGAGGGACGCGACGGTAGACGGTGTGGTTGTGGTGGTTGTGGTGATGGTGGTTGTTGTTGTTGTGGTTGTTGTTGTTTATATTTGGGATCCTACTCACTTTGGATTTTGACCGAGCCCGGCCACAACCACGAAGGGCAGCAACTCGAGAAGCAGTCGTAGAATCGATACAAAGAAATCGTTTCCATAGTCGGTGTCAATGACAATCCGGTACAGGTACTTCGATATAATAATGAATGTGGGATTATTCTTTTACTTTCCGAGTTGTTGTTTCTTCAAACGTTAAGCAAATAAATATTACGTTCGAACAACCGATCGGAACGAGCCATGAGACTCAATGTTTATATTTTTGAATCGCGTTTATAACCAAGGAGTTGGTGACAATACAATCCCACGACGGGGATGCATCGTCAATGTTTTATTAAATGTCTATTTGTTTGTGTTTCTCCCTTTTGTGACGGTGACTTTGTCGGGTGAACGTTGTGAATTATAAGGGGCACGGGGTGACCCGCACGACAGCAGTTTGCACAATTCTGGACGAGTGCACTTTGTCCCCTTTTCATTCGCTCTTGGTAGAGATACATTCGTTTTTATCTTGAAAATACATCTTTTAATGCGTTTTTTCTGCAAGACTTTGCAGTTTTTTCCTGGGATTTTTCTGTTTGCGCAGTCACTTTAAGATGCTTTATTTCTCACGTTTTTCGTTTGTTGCGGTTGCACCCGATCCAAGAGCCGAATGGCTCACGGGGCTATTACCAAATCAATGAAATTAAACTGAAATAAAACTAGATTTGAAGCTTTCGTGACTGCGAGGATTCATATTCTTAGGTTTTTTCGGTAAAGTCACGTAGGTAAAACATAAAAATTAATAAAAGTAAAATAAAATACATTTTACTTTTATTAATTTTAATGTTTTACCTAAAATTAATAAAAGCAAAATAAAAAATACATTTTACTTTTATTAATTTAATGTTTTACCTACGTGACTTTACCGAAAAAACCTAAGAATATGAAATAAAACTGCGTGACCCACAAAAGTCCATTCCGCGATCGAATTCATCTGGAATCGGCGTGCGATGCCCTCCCGAATCGAAGCCCCCAAACGCCACTTCCGCTCACGCCGAGCTGCCGGCCAATCACGAGCGGCCGTCGTTCAGTTGAGCGCGAGGGAGCCAATCGGTGCGCGGAACGCGGCGGCGGTGGGGGCGGGGTTACATTTGGTGAACCAATCACGACCTCCCCCCGCCACCACGTGCGACCCCCCCCCCCACCACGACCCCCACCACCACCACGTGCGTCTCAATGGCGGCGGCGGCGGTCTCTAGGCGCGGGGTCTCCCTGGTCGCCGCTCTTCCCCGCCTCGCCGCCTCCACGGTCTCTACGGGGGCCTCTCGTCCTCCACCCGCTCTTCCCCGCCTGGCCTCGCTGGCAACTTTGACCCCCACGAAGATCTCCACAATCCCCGCCATGCACCGCTCCGCAGTCCCCTCTCGGGGTTCTGCGGTCGCTGCGTTCGTCTCCGGGGTCAGCCCAAATCCGTTTTTGCGCAGTCCTTCCTCAGTTGTACCCCCTCGGGGGGCTTCTACGAGCACACCGAGCGGCCCTTCGCGTGCGTTTTCTAGCGGAGCCCGTGGTGACGACGAGGATGGAGAGGAGGATGATGATGATGATGCGACGAGCGGCAGGAGGAGGAGGAAGAAGATTTGGGATCCGACCGGTGAGAGTGGCCAAGCGGTGACCGGTCTGAAGTAATGAATGGGCCACTGCGTTGGGGCGGCATTCGTGGCTGATGATAATGAGAATTGCATTTTAAACCGAACAAGTTCTCAGGCGTGAGAAGAGGTTTTCCCCTTTTTTCTGGCAACAAAACAGCTTTGTTAAGATGTTAAAACGCCAAACTGAAACCTTTTACAAGGGGTCATGTCTACATTAACCACAATGCTTGTGTTCAGAATGCAAACAAAAAAACATACTCTGATAATATATGCATTGTCTTTGAAAGCTCTCTCTGGTGTGGACCAATCAGTTTCAAAGACAATGCATATATTATCAGAGTATGTTTTTGTTTGCATTCTGACCACAAGTATTGTGGTTAATGCAGACACGATTCCCTGTAAAAGGTTTCAGTTTGGTGTTTTAACATCTTAACACTGTTGCCAGAAAAAAAGTGGAAAACCGATTCTCATATTTTGGTACTGGCAAAGGAGGTCCCATGATGAAATCAGCCATTTGTCAATCCACTGCTGTGGATAAGGGTCGCCTCGGCGCCTTGCTGGTCGTGGGGTTGTTTGACCACACTTCGCGTCGGTCATTGCCGGGTTGGTGAAGGAGAGTTAGTCCAGGGACCCTTGCGGATCAGCAATCGCTACTGACGTTCGCTATGGCCGGGAATCGAACTCCGTTGACCAAGGTCACATCGGAGGGCAAGAATCAATGCACCACCACTCTTCACCTTCCGGTGGTAGTAGTTCTGATTCGCTCTATACAGGAAAGCGGTCGTTTGCTGTCATATTTTTTTGCATTAGGGGGCCTTACACTACTGGACTGAGCGATTCCCAGAAAGCGTGTTGTGCGTGGAACCTGCGATTGGTCGATGATGTGATTCGGCTGGAGCGGTGCTTAAGTGAGCGTTCATTGTAGCGGAGCGCAACCATTCTTCATCCTGCTGAACGAGCAAGACTGCGCTTCAGGTGCCCATTGACGAGACACCTGGGATGGGGAGACGTGCAAATAAAGCGGTTGAACATTTCAACAAAAATCGGTAGTTGCACAACTTACTCAATTTCATTCTAAATAGCATCGCCCCCCTACTGCGACGAAAACGTGGCAGGACCCTCCTGAAAAGCGTCATGAGACTGAGGCTTTCTCGGGTAAATAAATTTAATAACAGCAGGAGCATGGTGAAAGCCTAAGAACGATTTATAACCTTGCACGGAGAGGTTGTTGTAGACTGATGCAAGGTTGTGATATGTGGTGGTCAGCAGAGGGTAGTTAAAGAAACAAATTATGTTTTTTTATTCTATGCTCCCACGTGTACCCACCCCTATTTCACCAACCCGCACTAATCAGCATGGGGACCTATGGTTAAAATAACCCCCACGACCCATCCAGCAATGTACAGTTTTGATGCAATGGTTTTCATGATTCGCAAACGCTTGGCTTGTTTGATAGTTGCGTTTGTGTGTGTGTGCCATAATTTGCAGCGACAGAGTCTGGCGAGGACATGGATGAGCAGCAGCAACAACAGCAGCACTTGTCTGAGATGGAGGCCATGCTGGATCCCAGAGCGCATGTGGCGGGGGACATCGTGGGGATGTCTCTGGACGTTCTGGTCGCTGCTCTGCATCAAGAGAACGGACGTGACCTCTGTGTCATTAATGTTCCGCCAGAGCTCAACTACGTGGACTACTTTGTGGTTGTCACCGGGAGCTCAACGCGACACCTGCGCGCCATGGCCGAATACACGCACAGCTTGGTGCGGTGGCGTGAGCGAGCAGAATCAGAATCTTTATAGACTGGAGAAATTCGATGAGCTCTGAAGCTCTTTTCACAGATGCCCAGTAGGAGCAGTGGGAGTGGCGTAGTAATCGAGCGTGCAGGCAGTGAAACTGAATCGAGGCCAATGAGCAGAAATGGCCTGAGCCCTGTGTTACAGAGGGAAGGAATTGGAAAAGGGGGTCCCATTTTATCCCTTGAACCAATGCTATGACGACCACACTGCCACCGAGGGATGGAGCAGCTTTTGTGAGGCTGATGTTTAATGACTTCAGTTTAACGGTGGGGGTTGCCAAGGTTTGACAGCATTTGCAAGTGTTAATTTCCAAAACTGTGTGTAAGGCCTTTACTGAAGATGTTTGCAATAGCTTGGAAAAGCAGGGCTTTCCAAAACGCCAATCCTGGAGACCCACTACTGTCTATCCACATTTACTGAGATCATCGGCATGCTGTTCATGTCTGATGATTCTTAAACTCATTCCATGTGATGCAGACAGCATTGATCGAAAGTAAGAGAGATCTTGTGTACGTATCCTACTTTCACAAATAACTGGTTAAACTTAAAATAAATTCACGTGGCGTACACGTTTATACATTATTAGGCATGTAGTGTGATTTACATTTAGTTTAATCGGAGAGAATTGGCAAATGTGGAAGGGCGAACTGCGTTGGATTTCAAAAACTGGTATTTGCTAAACCCTGTGGTAAATGGTAAAATATTTTTTTTGCATGTGCCTGTTAATACCATTACAGCATGTTTTACAATTCCTAATAGCTTAGGTAAATAAAGAGCCAAATATACATTTAGCATGTTTAATGTATTTGGAATGTTTTTTGTCCTTCCAACAGTACAAATATCTGAAAATGACAAAGTATGAACATGTACGCATAGAAGGCCACGACACTGACGACTGGATGTGTATAGACTTTGGTACGTTGTAAATATATTGCAGTCACCAACTAAACAAGTTTTATTCCATAAATCTTATCAATGTTATCAAATGCCTTTCTAATATTGGTGTGTACAAAAATGTATGTGTGCACTTGAATTCAGCTGTGGCTCATAGTGATCTGTGTGTGTTTAAAACAGGTAACATTGTCGTTCACTTCATGTTGGAGGATGTGCGCGAGCGCTTGGAGTTGGAGAAGCTTTGGACTTTACGCGAGGACGATGATCAGTTGTCGAGCATCCCATGTGAAACCTTCCCGCTGGAGTTTGTCGGAGATCCTACCGAGTTCTTTAAGCAAGAGGTGCTCACAAAGAAGACCACCCCACATGCTCCATTCGGGTGAATGAACAAAAGTTGAATTTGTGAATGCTGTCAAGAATTTGTAAACATTTGGTCATGCCAGCCTGTGGCACCTTTGTAAGTTGTGTTATATATGTTTTGCGAAATAAACGTTTCCCGTTTAGTTTCTTGCACTTTGTATGCTTGTATTTTTGAATGCATAGCATATCAGCATCTCAATCACACTGTACAGTTTAATAAATGTACAACACCATGCACAAATGCTGTCACCAGTGTTTTATTCTAACGTAAAATAGTTTTTGCAATACACGTAGATTGTATCAAACTGAATATTTTTTTATCACCAAAACAAATCGTGTGCCTTATTCAAGAAATCCATTGGCTTGCATTACCCGTTAATTTAAAAACATTGAAAATGGAATAAAAGTATTGAAAACAAAGTTATTCTGTTATGAAATTCCAAACATAGGGAAGCAAGCAATGAATACCGTTTCAACAGCATAATTAAACTTTTTTTCTTGGAACCTACACAGGGTTGGGTGGCTTATTCGATTACCTAGGAGCTAACTGTGCTCCTGCTGTTTGAGCCACTCCAGGAACTTCTTGGCTGACAATCTGTCCAGCATCACGTTCATGTCATTGGTGAAGCTGCCGTCTGCGTGTCGCTTCTCCAAACCCGCGCCGTCCTGCACATCCACCCTATGGAACAAACACCAACAGAGATTATCCTATAGGATCTGTCGTTGGCCCCTTTCTGGCCCATGGACATTCGCCTCGGCGTGTTAACGCTTCTGCCCCCTATTGACAATAAGGGGAACTACCGGCCTGCGGAATGGTGAGTGACAATCACCTTTACATATTTAACAGGCTTCTGGTAAATGCTCCTCGTGAGCGCTTATGAAGGCCAACGTGGCATGCCAGAGGGTGGTTGTGACATGCACTGTACCCAACTACCGACGTCTCCCCCGTGCTGATGTTTACAACTGCACCGGGTCATCATGACAGACGACCTCGGTGGGAAGGGTGGTCTAGGACGCGTGTGAGATGTGTGCATATATATTTATTATTGAGGGAGTGAAGATTTAGGGGTGACGCTGATTCTTGCCCCCGCAATAAGTGCATCAAATTGCATGTGGGTTTTTTTTTCATGAACGCAATTCATGTGACCTCTACAGCCCTGAGAGGTGTAGTATGTTGAACTTATGTCGCACCAACCGTAGCCAAATGTGCTAATCGGAGGTGCGCATTTCGGTGCTAAAATACACCGCAATGTTAAAATAATTGTTGGATTGTGAGCCCAAATTGTAACAGCGTGTTGCAGTCAAAATGCAAACAAAAAACACACGGATAACATATGCATTGTCCTTGAAACTGATTGGTCCACACCAAGGGACGGCTTGTGCAGCTCTTTCCACTGCCCACTCACTTTTGAACCCTTATCAGCAGTTGCATTTGGAGGCTTGCCCCCTCTTTTCTCTCCGCTTGATGAAGGCCGCTTGTGTTGCAATCGAAACGTAGTGGGTTTTTTGCTTTAATTATTTTCAATTTATTTTTTTATTTATTTGTATTATTTTAATTTCAATGTATTTTTTTGTTTTCTATCTATGTGGCTTTACCGAAAGAACCAATAATACTGGTAGGAACCTCCTGGTTACACCAGCCCACAGGGGATTATTGTGTCCGTCCGTCCGTCGTGCATCCAAAAATGGGAGGGGTGGGGCTGAGGTGGAGAGGGGAGGTTGTGGAGGGGCTGGGTGGGGAGGGGCTGGTCACCCCGTGGTGCCCTTATAAAACTCAACGTTTAACCTACTCACGCCGGCTTGTGCCCGCCCCCACAGTCGGGCATATTTGTGGAATACACCACGCCGCCGTTGACCCTGGCCATTGACCGAGCAGCCCAACGTTCCTACCAGCTCCCTCCGCAGTAATGTGTTATAATTGGTTGGTACACAAGGGAGTGAATTATAAATGTATTCTCTGGATTATAAGATATACTTTCCACCTCTATTTTAAAGCAAGAGTTGGTGGTGCACATTGTAATCCAGTAGATGTGATCAGATTTGTACACATTCATTGACACTGAGCACAAGTTAGACATTATTAATACCGTACATCCTATAATCAATCACCCAGGAACGTCCTTAATGCACGTCGACCAGCCCCCCTCATTAATATTCATGAGCAGGTGCCGTCCTGAAAATGGACACCCCCCACCCCTCATTAATAATCATGCACAGGCTGACATCACTTATTGGGACCCCCCCCCCCTACGTGTCATTACGTCACTCCACAAGCAGAAAGGTGGAGCGGAAGCAATTGCTTGCACTTTGCCACTATTACAAAGTAAGCTTATGTAACGTGCCAAACACGTCCGTGTGCGTGTCACGTCACTCCACGTGCGGCCCTCCCTCCACTCATAAATATTGACGTGTCGCTGCATTTCAAGACTAAAGCCGAGGAAGTTGGAGACTACTGTTGCTGCTTTTGTAACGCCAATTCACCCATCTTTATAGAGAGTTAACCATTGCATTAATGCAACGTCACATCGCGCAGCAACTCCTGGCTTCATTTCCTTTTTTCGGCCACGTCTAACAAAAGGGAGGTCAACGTGACGCTTCCAAATTATGCTGAAATAAAAATGTATTCTAAAATCGACATTTTTCAGCTGCTTTGCGGCCATTGACTCCAATTACAATTGTTTGCAACTCCGAGACTACGTCTCAGAGCACTGCACCTAAAGTCTTTTGAGTGTCCGTTTAAGGGGCCGTCCATAAATGACGTCACGCGATTTTGGACGATTTTTGACATCCCCCCCCCCTTTCGTCACACGACGTCACAAAAAGTCAGACCCCCCCCCCAAATATGACGTCACAAAGCTCTGCCCCACCCCGAAAAAATATCAAACATGCTTCGAATCGCTTTAAACTATTGTAATTGTAGTGCGTATTTAATGTGGCGCTGCACTCTGATGTTGTAGGAGAAACCATTTATTAAAAGTCTATTTAATTAAGTAGAACGTGTTGTCTATATTTATTTAAAGTTGCGCATTTTGATGTGACATCACATTTCTCAACCCCCCCCCCCTCGTCACACATCGTCACAAATGTCTGACCCCCCCCCCCCCACCGAGGTGCGTGACGTCATTTATGGACGGCCCCTAATTCAGTGGCACAGCGGCATTGTGCCAGCTGTTTTATCACATTGTTGCGTGCAACAATCACTGCCATCACTGCAGTGCTGCAGTCTAACGCTGAGGTGTTTTATGCCTTCCCTTTGTGCTACATTAACTCACATTAATACAGTGCCAATATTCCCCGCCATTACATTCAGCTAATTAATAATCGTCACTCCGCAAGGAGAAACGTGGAGCGGAAATGAAAATTTGTTTTGACACAAATTACATTTTTTTACGTCTAATGTTCCCTCTTTATCTAGAGCTCACCAGACAATTAATTCCAAGCCACATCCCACTGCATTTTCTGCCTTCATTTATTTATTCGCCACGTCAAACAAAAGCAAGGTCAACTTGACGCTTGCGAACATTTATCTGCTGTTTTGCCACCATTGCCTCTTATTAAAATTGTTTGCTACTCCGGCGAGCTACAGCACATCATAAGTAAGTGTCAGAGCACTGCACCTAAAGTTATTGAATTTGCTTGGGCGCAAAGGACATTTTATAACGCAAATTGCCCCTTCTTTATGGAGACATTTCTCGGTGATTTTCCAGATATTGTATCGACTTACCAATTTATTTAAAACAGCAACCGAAAGCAGAAGAGAATAAAGTATCAGAGCAGTGAATTTGAACAAATTGAAGGTCAGTTATGTGGAGTGCTACAGTGACATGAAGTGAGGTGTTTTAGGACTTATTTTTTGTGCCAGATTCACTGCTATGAATACAGTGCTACAGTTAAATGCAGTTACGTGTTTGATGACATACTTTCGTGCAATATTCACTGCCATTCAATTTACACATGCTACAATTATACTCTGCTCAATTTGTTCGTAAATATTACAGCTTCCGTCCTAGGACGGGCAAAGATGCTCGTTGTATACGTAAATCCAGGTGAGACTCCATTGAGATTACATTTCTATTTCAACAGAGATCTGAGAAACACAACAATACATTTTGAGCATCATGCCTGGCACATATAAGCCCATGTTATTCATTTCCCATTCTAAGTGTTTTGACCGCCCTTAACGCAACACACGTGTTTATTGTCCACAATTCGGGCGGGAATGTGCGACCTTTCCCACCCAAGAGAAGAAGAAGGCAGGCAGGCAGGCAGGTTGTACTATCGCTGAAGTCACCACACACTTACCCGCTGCGCTTTGTGTTCTTGAGCCAGGTCACAAAGTCCTTGGCCTGCTTCGAATCCAGATATTTGCTGTAGTCACTCGTGAAGGAGCCCTGTGAGTGGTGCTTGGCGAGTGTAATCTCTGCACTGCATTGTGAAAACAAAAACACCATAAATGTCTTCCCAATATAAATAAGATGAGCATTTTGTTACCCTGTCTGATCACCTAAACATAAATCACATGCATTTTACCATTGACCAAACATTACAGAATATTAAAGCCATGGTTGCCCATTACACAGCAGGTGAGCTTCGCATCCTTACACCCATCCGGTGCTCTGAGTGCGTTTCCACACGGCACACGATTTTCCATCGCACCTGAGGTCACCGTCATCTGCCTCATGTGGCACCAGTGACGCCAAGGTGAGGCCGAGCAGCATCATGACCATGTACGACAGCAGGGTGCCCGAAGTGTTCATGATTCTTCTTGGAGGATAGTTCTAGGAGAGGACGCAACAGAAGCAACACGTGTGTAGAGGAGTGAAATATGCGGTGGGCACAGATGACCGAGGGCAACTGAGGGCAAGCAGGTGCGCGTGTGCTACGTGGGGTTTGCACGGACAGGCCGCCACCTAATTAAGGGGAGAAGCGGGTGCAAACCGGGTCGACCGGTTGTGCACTGCTGACACCGGAGGTGTTAATTCTAGATTTGAAGTTTACGTGACTGCAAGGATCCATACTCTTAGTTTTTTTCGGTAAAGTCACGTAGGTGAAAAAATAAAAATGAAAACTACTCAATTAAATCATAAAATAAAAAATAAAAACAACTAAATAGTTGTTTTAATTTTGTGATTTAACACCTCCGGTACTCTA